ATTTTTTAGTTGATTGTAAAAAACACAACAAGTTTTAAAAAGATTACACACAAATAAAATTTTGGAGCCTATTTACAAAAGAATAATTGTTTTTCCAAACACAGGTTCTTCATTCTCAAAACTTGAAACTGTACACATTCCTTGTTTGTAAGCTGTTCTTGAAAATAGCACTTTTCAAGTGTGAAAAAACTGTTTATAACCTTCTGGAATCCTGGTGATTTTAGCAGAATAAATATTTTTATCAATAGGTTTGGCACTGGGTATAACAATATTTTTTCCTGTGTCTCTTTCTCAACTAAAATCATTGAAGTTGTTGGTACCTTTGTGCTAATGAAAGAAGATTAAAAGTAATGTAATTTATGCTAATAAAATGTACAGAAGAAACAAAATTTGAATCCTTACTTTTTTAAACATAGAAAGATAAATCAAAGCAAGTCATATTTTAATTACTATTTTTAAAATACAATATAAAGAAAATTGAGAAATTGCAGTTCTCATGTAAAAAAAAATGTTAAAACATTTAATTACCTTAAAAAAAATTAATTTCGAGACCAACTATTTACACAGGGAGGGGGGGGAGGGATTTTTATCTTAAGCCACCTTTCACCCACAAAGATCCCGGAAAGGAAAGAAAGATATTGATATTTTAAAATATTATTATTATTATTTTTGTTAAAATGCGCTAAAACATAAAAATAGAATTTCTCCACTTGAGAAATTGTGAATTGAATTTTATGCAGAGGGGCACAGTAAAAAATTTGCTGAAGGAACTGTTAACACTTAAAATAATAAATGAACAAATTGATCATCACTTGTATAGATAAAAGAGTTCGTGTTGAGTTTAAGAGGGTGGAATCTGGCTGCTGATTAACACACAAGCAGTATTCATGTGGATAGTATTAAAACGCCGCATGTATACTGTTTGTGAGGATTGCCTTTTTAACTAAAGGTCTTTTGTTTTATAGAAGCGCATATATTTCGGAATGAAAAAAAATTCACTTTCATAACTAAAATGAAACTTTTCAAAAAAAATTATTTAAAAAAACAAGAACAACTGTAAATATTATAAAGAATACGTATGACATTTTTGAGGACCAATGAAAACGTTCAATTTCATGGTTATATTATCTTTCCCCTCACCCACAAAACACAAATGTGGGCTAAATTAATATACATAAAGCTACAAAAAAATAAAAAAAATAAGTGAAAATAAAAAAACATAGAAAAATAAGTATCTAAAGCAGAGTATCTATGAGTATCAAAGTATTTTTTTATTTGTATTTAGTAAAAAAATATATATTTATGATCTTTCTAAATACAATACTTTGTTTCATTGAAATTTTTTTTCGCTTAGTTAAAAAATATTAATAATAAAATATATTTTAAGAAAAAATTATAATAAGAAATCAGCTTATTTCTAAATGTTCTAAAACAAATCTTGTTCTTGCCGGTGTTTAGTTCTAAATTTCAGTAAATTTCTAAAATTAAAAAATTTTAGAAAATTTCTAATTAAAAATATATATATATATATCGCTTTGTTTTGTTTAACGCCAATATTACCCACTATGTTTTTCTCCTACCTCGTGAGCTCAACGAACGTAAGAGAAATCTAGTTTCCATGACAACGGTTAGTATTAATTTGAGGTGAATAATTCGCATTGAAAATTTTACAACAGAAGCACTTTAGAATGTATAGACCAAAATTCGTGTAATTATGTGACATTACAAACGAAAATTAGCAAAATAGAACATGAAAATCAAAACAAAAGCATAGATATTGATAAGAAGTTTGAATCCTAACAGAAAGCACATACGATTTTTTTTGTTCGGTAGAATGAAATAAAAACACGAACCTAGAAAATTTTTACCGGCAGTAAATTTGGCGGAAAGCTATGCTCCTTTAGCCAAATAAACTGTAAATGTACTTTCTGTGCACATAAAATCGTTGTATCTCCTTATTTACTGAAAAAGAGCTAATATAGATTTTAAAATATTTAATTATTCATGCAACGAATACAGTTCCCTAGAAGAAATTTGAGGCTAACACTTTCTGAACAGACAACAAAATTTTTAAAGTTGATATTAAAGAAATGAACTGTAATTAATGTAAGTAATTAAGAAAAGTTTACTTACCTTCAAAAGAAATTGACAATTTCAAAGACAACTTGCATGAGATGATATCAAGATTCAACAACATAATCGTCCATCTTGTCAACAACTACAAAATAAGTCATCGGTCACGTGCTAACGAATACGAAAGTTTGGTGCAATCGATTGCGCCATAAACGCATTTCTTGATCATATTTTCCAATTTATGGTGCAACCTAGATGAAATAACTTTTGATTTATCCTATTTATGGTGCAATTAGCAAACTTTGCACCAAGTATTGGATAAACATTAACCGAGATTTTTTACAGTGTATACGGATAATCTCAAGCAATCTTGCTGCCAAGAATGTACTGTAATATAATTTATTTTTTTTACAGTTTCTGTCTTCTTTAGTTTAAGCAAGTAAAAACTTTTACATTTCGCTTCTTTTATTCCGAAATTATATAGTCAGTGCATTTACAGTGTTTTATTACCAAGTATATGAAAGCAAAAAAATAATAATTACCCTATATCTCGATGCAAAAGTCAACTTTTCACACTAAATTTTACGGAAATCAGTGGGTCGATCTGCACCAATAATGAATGAAATCGGACATTCATCAATCACAAAATATGGATGCATTATAAACAATGACAAAGTCAAGAGTACTCTGAATCAGTTTACCACTTTCAAAAGGTATTTTTAATAAAAATATACAATTAATTTTGAATTTTATCTCAAATTAGTCGCTTTAGTGAATGTCCGAAATATTTATTACATCCAAATCGATACTAATTTATTTGTGGATATAATTACATTTATTCGATATTTTAAAACTTACTGACGATAGATTAGAACAAACATCAGTGTTTGGAGTATCGGGCAAATATATACCGGGCAATGGCACTTGACTTCGAAAAAATATCAGTGTAGGGTATACCGGGCAAATGTATACCGGGCAGTGGCACTTGACCTTAAAAAAACATCAGTGTAGGATATACCGGGCAATGGCACTTAACCAGACATAGTATGATTAGACCTTTGGTAAATGTCCGAAATATATACTAGGTCTACTGCCACTTTTCCTATAGCTTAAATATTTAAAAAAAATTAAATAAAGCGTTTGAATCAATTTTAAACTGATACCGAAATTATTGCTTTAAAATTTAAAAAAAATAATAAAAAACTGTGCCAGATAAGAGTAATTGAAGTAGTTGCTTTATACAGCGAATGTGTGGGAAAAAATTTTAAAAAAAATTATCCAGGTGCATCTAAAAGTGGATGAATATCCCAAGACACCCTGTGGCTGTGTGTGACACAAATTGCCCACTTGACTTTTAGCATTATATATAATGACCGGGCAATGTAATAATTGCAACATAATTTATCATTTTGTCATATCCTTTTGGGCACTTCTCAAATTGCCCGGGCGTTATAAACAATGCCCAATTATTTACATTGCCCGGGAAACACACGGAAAATAATAAAGACTAATGAAAAGAGACGAAGAAAAATTTTAAAAAATATTTTTAAACATATTTTAAAATGTCTGTATTTATTAAAAAAAAAAATTTAAAAAGCCGGAAAACAAAATAAAAAAAAGATATAATTTCTTCATCAGAACTCACGATTATGATCTACCTAAGGAGTTTTTCTAGTTAATGAAAAAAATTTAAATATTTTTAAAAATATTATATTTTAATAATTTTTCTTCCTTTCTTTTCTTACTATTTTCCTTTTATTAAGTTCCTCCATTAATCTCTATTATTTTCCATGTTTTCTCTTTATTTTAATTTATTAAATAAAGAGAAAACATGGAATTATGTTTATCTCCTTGTTGTTGAGCTATAAATTTTTAGGTTCATCTGCACCTGTTATTGCTAATAACAATAAACAGAATCCTTTCGAAATGTATAAAATTTTGCTTTCATTCTTTTATATTCAAAACAGCTGATATAAATGTAAACAATCACGTAGTTTTGTTATCGAAAATATTTTTTGATAGCTTGGAGATAATCTAAATCTTTTTTGTGACAGATTTTATTTTTGTAAAATTGAATTTAAAGTAAAGTTCATTGAGTACATTTGTACTCGGGGAAAAAACGGACTAACTTATACGGGATAAATAAGGCATGATTACTTCTTACGTGTTTATTGCATGTAATTAGCTCTCTAAAATATAGTGGAGCAGATAAAGGAGTTCAAATATTTAAAAAAAGCAGAATATACCATAATGATGACTCTTAATACACAGTTTTAAAATCATTATTGAAAATTAAGACAAAAAGTGATGCACATTATGGATCATTAATTAAAATTTTAGCACAAAAAGAAATTTGAGGCTTAAAACATCAAAACCTGTTTGATAGCCAAAATAAAACAAACAAAAAAACTGAGGTGATATAGGAAATAATATCTTAGGAAATAAAATTTTAAGAATACGATTCTATGAGCTGGCAAAATACGCAAAAAGTGTAAACTATCACTAAGGGATTCAACCTTTCCCTGACTAAACGATTGAATCCATATTTAACCATACTTCCCACATTTTAAGTGTCAAGAATCTATCCCGTTGAGAATAAAATATATGTTAATTTAAAGAAATTGCTATTTTGTTTCTAATTTCGTAACATAAAGCACCGTTTGCTCAAATTAATTTGTATATTTAAGGTCATACTCTCAAACCACTAGAATCCTAGTACATATTAATTATTTTTACTACATTTCTATAGACTACTTTTTGGGTCAGTAAGGATTGAATCTTACGGTTGAAATTTCGAATAATGACCGACGAGTTGGAGCATTCAAATTTTCCCTGGAGCTCCATGCGGTATAACACTTCGACCATTTACTGACTATCCAGAACATTAAAATATCTTTAGGAGCTCCGTATAAGATAACATTTTGAACACTTCTAGACTATATAGAGCATTCAAATATATACTGTTATATGTCAAATATATATAGTTCCGAGTCTGATAACATTTCAACCACTTCTAGACTATTTGAGCAGAAATGGCGAACTTTTTCGATTAGGGTTACTGTTAAACTGTAATTAATTATTTTTGATTGATTAAAGCACCACTTGATAATTTGTTTTCATAAAAAAATATTCTTCAAATCGTTATAGAATAATTTTAAAGTATAGAATTAAATTGTGTAACTGTACTTGCTGTTTGGTTATTAACTTGCTTCAAATTGAAGAAGAGAAATCGAATAAACATTGTTTTAAAAACGCTTCAGCTTAATATAAGATATCAAAAAGATTCATCTTAATATAAGATATCAAAAGATGTCTAAGGTAGGATATCAAAAAAGCGCGAATTTTTTGTGGTTAGCAATAAACTGAAATTGATGTAGTTAGTGCTAAATATTTTCAGTTCTTCATAGATTTCTTCTATATGCTTCCATGGGCACTCTGGTAGGGCTGTTGGTTAAATCGTCGCTCACACTATCATAACTGGTTAAGAAAATTGTCCTAACTAAAATCATAACTGGTTAAAAAAGTTGTTACTTTCGGAAACCTGTGACTGATACCATGAAACCCAAGGGTACTGGGGAGCTTCTTTTTGGAACCACTGATCCAGAGTATTCAAGTTTCAACTGGAACTCTAATCAATGCAAGCAAATAGTCACATTTATTTCTTAAATAATGCGAATAAACTATATCAGCATTACCTTGTGGGGAAATTAGAAATCGACAATGTCTACAATCTTTTATCAAAAGGTAACTCAAGATTGAATCGAGTTAGATATCAAGATTAATATTTAATAATCATAGTGGTAAATACGCCACAATACTCCCCCACCTAGATTTTATCAGGGATAGAATTCAATAAACGGATACCACTAGTTGCCGTATTAGTGAAAGATCGGGAGAGCTGTGTTAAGTTCTCCGCATTTTGAGCTCTTATCGTGAGAGCTGTATTAAGTTCACTGATGTATGTGGTCCCTCCTGTGTAGCTGTAAGCAATCGAGTGTGTGCAGGAATCCGTTGTACATATTGAGAAGCAACAGCGCGAGGAGGACGATGACGCAGTCACTAATAGTAGGTCATCTTTTCAATATAAACCATCCATCGAAGTAGGCGTTTTCATAACACGTTCGCAGGGTTCCAATGTGGGGAGATTAGAAATCGGCAACGTCACTCTCTTCCATCAAAAGGTTAATCGAGTTAGCATGTTTAATATACTAGAGAATTGATGTTTAGTAATTGTAGTGGTATCTACGCCCCAACCATCCCAATGATGTTTTTGCTCACGTTCCGACATAAACTAACAAACTGTAAACTCAACAGGAAAAAAACAACTTTCCTTTTAGGTTGGAGGAAAAAATAACAGAAATATTTTCTCCGTTTAAAAATACTTAAAAAAATGTAGTTTTAAATTGTTCACTTTATTTAACATTAAATTAATGAATAAATTTTTTTATAAGCAATAAAAATCAAAAGAAAAAATAACATTATGCCACTTATTTTGTTCGATTTATTTTTGTTTTCATACACAAAACGAAACAAAGGATGATTTTTAGATATCTATTTCTACCGAGTGCAAGTGAACTCGAATGGAATGAATCATATCTACATAAAAATAAAGAGTTCGCTTCTTTGATATCACCGTGTTATCCAACTGCGTATAAGTTCAATAGATCATAATAAAAAAAGGGTGACTGAAATTTGAAAATGAAAGTTGGTAAAATATTTAGTTGAAAAGACGTAATTAGATGAAATATAGTCTACACTTTTAGTACGACCTCAATTACAGCGATCCTCCCATTATTACGACCTATGGATAAAATCCCGTTTGCAATTCCAATGACACGATGTTATTTTAATTTCCATTAGTGCGTCCGCACTGAACCATTCATTCCAATAAAGCAACTAGAGTCGGTGGTAGAGCGCACTTCCTGGTGGTGTGACCTGGATTCGAAACCCAGCGATGGCTGCTCGATACAAATTCCGCACCCGGCTTGCAGCTACCACAATACTGGCATAAAATATCGTCAGTCGCAGATATCAGTGGTTAGAGGCCCTTTGTCGTCAGGCTAACCGTGGGAGGTTTTAGTGGTTTTCCCATGCATGTAATGCAACTGCGGGTTAGTTCCATCAAAAAAGTCCTCCACGAAGGCAACATTTCTCCCAATACTTGATCCAAGAGTTCCCTTGTCTTCTGGATTAGGTTAAAAATTACCAGGCTATGGTCGTAAACTCAAAAGTGTGTCTGCTATTCAACGATGGTGATGATATGAAAAACAAATAAAGCAACTTAAATTAAGTCATTCGCTATATTACAATTATAATTATAACCATCGTTAACCAGCCGACCCAATTTAATGGGTTTACGACTACTAATGTTTAACTCCGTAGCCTTGTAATTTTGAACCCAATCCAGAAGACAAGCGAACTCCTGGATCGAGTATTGGGAGAAATTTGTCTTCATGGAAGACTTTTTGATGGAGCTAACCTGCATTTGCGTTACATGGAGAGGAAGACCATGAGAGCCTCCAGCGGTTAGCCTGACGGCAAGAAGACTATAACCCATGATCCGTATACCACAGAGGATATTTCACGTCAGCACTATGGTCGGTGCAAGCCGGATGCGGAATTCGTATTGACTGGGATTCGAACCCGGTCCGTCACATTGGAATACTATCCCCTGAGCCATCGCGGTTCTAGAAATGTTTAGAAAACTTGATTTGAAATAAATTTAACGAAATTATTGAAGAAATTATTTAAACCATTTTGATGTTACTGCACAATAAATGAAAAGCAAACACTTTGAAAGAAGGAAGAGTAATACTAAGTTAGTCGTAAAGTTATAATCATTCAGAATCTGAGTAACTTTCTTTTCAAGGGATTCTAGAGTCAAACTTTATTTGTTTCAAAATTGTATTCACTTTTTTATTATGAAATGTCAAATAATTTATTTATGATTATTTATGATGATTATTATTAATTATTATGAAATGTCAAATAATTTTAATAAATTATGGAGATAAATTATTTTTATTATTTTATTATTAATTCTATGTTCAAAAAATATTTATCATAGTCTTAATTTTAATATAACATTAAACTTAATGAAGGTTGTTTTCAAATTTATACAATTAATTATTTTAACTATATTAACTTTTTTTCTATTATTGATGATTTTCTACCTAAAAAGATATCCATTGTTTTCATATTAACTAACAGACATACAAAAATAACAAAGGAATGAGATAAGCTTAAAACTTGTTTTATTATATTAAAATCTTGTGTTTTTGCTTCTATCAAAACGTGTTTACTGTGCAGACGTCATAATTCGAAACATAAAATTTTATGTTTTCAATTTGTTTTAAAATTTCAGATCAACTCGATTACGAAATATTTTTAGCATAGTTCAAGCTAAACAAATGAATTAGATAAAACATTTCATCCAATGCAATTTCTCTTTTGCAAATGGTTCCTTATTTCGTAATTTTTAAATCATCACGCATGCTTTAGAATTTCAGGATGAGAGAGGGGGTGATGAAAGGGGGAGGGGTTTGCCTATTTTTCGTATTAACTACTAAAACACAATAGAGTTTTATCAGTTATTGATCCAGAACAGGTAATATGACACCTTTGGCGATAACTTTTTTAATATAAAAGTGAATAAAATTTCTCCATTTTTAAAATATCCAGCTTATTTCATTTACTTCATTATTTCCAATGATGCAGTTTGAAAATATATTGGGAGTTAAGATTGAGGTTTGGTTTGCCATCGGTTTAACGTTATTGGTATGCTTCATAACTAGTATTATTAGAAATTTAAGGAAGAAAATTCCACCAGGACCAATAGGGCTGCCCGTTGTTGGATATCTACCTTTTCTAACAAAAAACGTTCATTTAAAATTCACGGAACTCAGTGAAAAATATGGAGAGGTATTCAGGTTAGTTAGAAATCGCTGTTATTTTTGTATATAAGCAATATTCTTTTATTATTTTAATGAATTCAAATAACTGATAACTTCTTTAAAAATAGATACTTTTGAATAAAATGTTATTTTTAACAAATTGAAAAAATTATTAAATTAAATTAGTTTTGAAATATTAGTAATTTTTAATTCCTAAAAAAACTACCAAAAACTACCAGACTAACTAAACTGCTAAAAACTACCAGAATGTGGTAAAATATACCGTGTCTCCGGTTCTGTGGGAACACCAAAAGCTCAGTATTTTTACCGAAGCGATTTCATAATTATTTTGGTAAAATTAACAATAAATTATGGTTTTATAATATATGATGAAATTTGGTAAATGTGGTAAAATTCATAATTTTATCATGATATCTAAGAGTAGGGCATGAAAGCCATTTATTCAGTTAAATTTACTTTTCAGTTTTGTATTTCTTATTAAATGTGCGGTAATAAGAACTATAATTTTGAAAGCCAAAATTTCCGACAAACTGCTTTCACATAAACGTTAAAATTGCCAAATGAAAGGTTTAAAAACCGTATATTTTGGTTTTATTAAGCAGAATTATAGTTCTTTTTGTCAGAAATACCATCACCATACGGTACGGTTATTTTACCAGAATTTCTTTCTTTGTGAAATAGATGTTAATCACTTTTCAAATAGCTGCTTTGAATAAGGTATTATTTTTATCATATAGATATATTGCGTTTTAAATTAATTTAGCTTTTCAATATTAATAATTTTTAATTCTTAACACGATATGTAGCTCCAGTTTACTCACTCAAATAATTCGTTTTTGTGTTAAAAAAACTTATCACACATCCGTACTGTATTTACATAATGCATTAACACTCATTTAAGTTTGTTGATACCTAAACAATATTCAACTTTCCACAACAACACAAGTCTAGTATAAAAATGTAATGCATAATATATAATGTAAAATACAATTTATAAAATACATTTAATGTATGTAACATAAACATAAAAATTAATTTTACTGACCTCAATCTTGAAAGTCTACTTTTATCTTCTTACTTTCAAAATATATATGTTTATACCATATTAAATACATTATTTTATTCCTTTTTTAATAATTTGGCTTAATGTTGGTTTAAATATTCCAATTAATACTATAATTAAAGTGTTTTTCTTTTCGTAAATGGCAGCAGTAAAATGTAATTTGTTTTATATATTTTTTATTAGTTATTTTATACGATAACGCTTATATGTAATTAACACATTTTTATTTTATTTTACTTCATGTAGGTAAGTTTGTTTTCTGCTTTTCCTCTTTCATCTTAAACTCATTTGCAATTGCAATATTATTTTTTTAAATTTATTAAAGGCATAGACGCAATGCAAAGATTGATTTTTATCATAGGGAATTAATTATTCTTCATTTTGAAATGTCTGTATCTGTGAAGTAAAGGAATTCGTTCTAAAGAGAACCTACATGTTTTTCAATGTATATATAAATATATGTAATGGAATAATATAAAAATAAAATAATATAAAAATAAAATAATATAAAATAGAACACTATTAATGGAAAAAATCAAAAGTCTTCCTCAGGACGCATCTTTTGGTATAATTTAATGCGATATTTCTAAATGAAGAACAATTATCCTAAGATGGAAATTATTCTTTATAATTTTAAAAATCATATAGAATATATATATATAATCTATATGATTTTTAAAATTTGTCTTTTTCTTGTGTCACCAACCTGAGTAGTATTTAGTCATGTATGTTTTATTTTAACTTCTCTTTCAGTGTAAAACTGGGATCGGAATTGATAGTTGTTTTAAATGGAACTGAATCCATAAGAGAGGCTTTTTGTAAAACGGAATTTCTCGGACGACCACCTAACAGTGCTTTTTCAATATTGGCAAACAAAAGTAATTATAGTTACTATTTTATTGATTTATTATATTTATTTAATTAGAAGCAAGTTTAAAAATTTGAATGATTTGTTGTATATATGTGTTTTAAAAAAAGGTTACAATAAGGCTTGGATATGCGAATGCTTTAAAATTCAATTTCTCAAGAAGTATTTAACTGATTTCGCTGAAATTTTGTATTATCCCATGTAACATTACATAATTTAAAATCATGTGAAAAATTAGATACCTTACAATTCAATATTTTTTTTACTATTATTTAATGAAATAATGAAAAAATAACAACTATTTACTACAAAAAATTTTGCATAGAATTATCTTTGGATAAACGAATTTTATAATTGTGTGCAGAAATTTTTCAATTTGCTTAAGAAGTTCTCAAGGTTTTGCGAAATACGTAAAAAGTAAAATTAACATTAAGGAGTCCAAACTTAAGACCGCGCTTCTGACCAAACTATTGAGGACCATATTTCCCAAATTGCGGCTACCCAGTACGTATTATATTATGGGTGTCAGAAATTCAAATCCGTCGGGGAAAAAAGGTGTGTTTTTTCAGAGAAATTACATTTTCGTGTCTGATTTCATAACTTGAAATTTTGCCTGCACTAAATAAATAGCATTTTTGAAGTTACCTTCTCAAATTATCAAGAATGAGTTCTAGAATTTGAAGATTCGATCCATTGATCAAAAGTTATTCAGGGTGGTCCATTTTTGTTTTTTAGTGCACTGTACAGCGTTTTTAACTTTATAACTGAAACTAAGTTATTGGCTATAGATACAGTTCTTTAATGAATACATTCTTAAAGTTATAAACGAGAGTTATACAATGGGCTATTGGCGATGGTCTGGGAAACTTCCTTGAGGATGATCCAAAGACATGCCATCACAATTTTTATCCTCTGCAGAGGGGATGGCTGCCCTGCTTAGCATTTAAGCATTTGACAATATTATGTTATGAATTTATAAGTAATATGTTAAACATTTATTAGCAGAATGAAAAGCTATTGTAAGTAATAAATGTCTTGCAAAGACTTTATCAGAAGGACAATATTACTTGTTTTATTTTATTCTTATTTATTTATTTTATTTTATTTTTGTTTTATTTTAAGGTCCGTTTTTCGCTCCGAATCTACATGTATGGCAAGAACAAAGGAGATTTGTTGTTCATGCTTTGAAGGATCTAGGACTCGGAAAATCAAAAATTGAGGGACATATTCAAGTAAATTTTTATTCTTTAAAAAGCTATTAACTTACATACATATGCATTTATCATAAATTAACATACATTATTTAACATACAACTAACTATAACAAACATAAATTTTAGTAATTTTTAATGCAATATAGCGCAGTAAATACAAATCAATCCCAATTCGATTACAAGTTTGCAAAAATTGCATCAGTGCTAAGTTGCATAAATTTTCCAACGTGACACTGAAGACAGTATTCGTAAGACAGTATGCTTTGTGCATATTGTACCTAAGCAGCCGTCTGTCTCTGGATTTTTGTTAATCATGCTAATTATATTGTTTCTACATTATTTTACTACCAGTCCAAACAAAAGCCTACTGTATTGTACTAATTAAATGAAGGGAGCAAAGTGAAAAAAAAATTGTTCTTTCTTAAGACTATGCGTTTATTCACGCTATTCCCTTACGTACGAAAAAAAATGATTCAAAATATTAAAATAATCCCTTTTTCTTATCCGAAGAAAAGAAAACGCTTTATTTTTAAGTATAATATAATGCATATATGCAAACGTTATTTTTTAAGAATTCATTTCCAATCAAATTGCGACACGACCCTAAAAATTGGTCATTTCTTGAAAAAAAATTATAATAGTTTAAAAAAATATTATTAAACTTCAAAATGTTAGAATATTTAAATTAATTGGTCCAACTTATTCGAATATAATTTAATAATATTTGTTTTTAATAGTCTTAAGAGTTAAAGCCTTGGATATTTAGAAAAAGTGGCGACATGCCGCCTTCTTGCTGACTGCTACTCTTTTGGGAGTGCAACTTTCAATGTAAAAATGCTGAGTTTTTATTCTTAAGCGCGACTTTTTATTGATTAATATTTTCTTATTCTTAAAGTTAACTTAAATATTTACTATTTTTTCTTTTAACTCTTTTTTCTTTCTGAGATTATATATTTTGTTTTTATTCCATTTAGGAAAAATAATACCTTATCTATAAGATAAAACTTTCGCATTTCGTCTTTCATAATATGCTATAACTTTTTTTCTAAACTGCTTGAAATTTTCTGCAGCCGTATTTTATGAGGTTCAAAGAGAAAAATATAGTTAGATAAAATTAAAATAATATCAGTCTTAAGGAAACTTTAAAATGCTTTAATGATACTTTAAAATTAAAGAATGTGATAAAACAGTCAATAATTAGTAAATGGGAGATTTGTCACATTTTATAACAAAATACATGAGATCTGATTTGTTTAAAAATTAATAAATATTTTTTTTAGAATTCTTTTTCAAATTCTGAATATTAAATATAACAAATTTATTTTGCGCTGCCGCAAAATTTTATTTTAATGTATGAAATATTTAAAATAATAAGAAAATAAAGAAACTAAGAGTCCAAATAGGACTTAGATCATCTTATTAAAACGTAGACATTTTAAATTTGTTCATATTTCCTATCTTACGCTAGTTTACTTTTAATTCTGGCAACAAAACACTTAAATGCTACTAAAATTTATTATTAAAGCTTTCTAAAGAGAAAAATATTTAAATTAGAAAGAATATTGGTAGTCTATTTTCCTTTCTTTCAGTTCAATATATTTAATGCAATAGAATTAGTTAAACTTTGAATTGAAAAAAAAGAACGAAACATAATTGCTCCACACAGTTAATAAATAATATCATGAAAAAATTGTAACAAATGAATAAATAAATTAATTTCAAACTTACCTCACACAATCTGCTGCTTTGTTGTTTTATTATTTGGAGCTAAATGTCAGAAAAAAAGTGCGAGTAGCTAAAAGTAAGCTGTACACCGTGATCTGAAAGTTATGTAATGCTTAGCAATCTCACCAATTGCACTAAATGAATTAACCACACTACAAGCATGAATAGTACTTTTACTTTATTTACATAATTTCTCAAAAATCATCGATGCTTGTAGCATTATATTATTAATAAGGTCTTATTAAGTAGAGTCAGAGAACTTGACTGGATTTTAACTATGAGTTGTATTAACAGTGTTTCTACTACTAACTACTTATTCAACTACCATAGTTTCTGTTTCATAATCTTAAACACATGAAACATGACTGAACTGAAACATAACACTTGAAACATGACTGAATTGAAGCATAACACTTGAAACATTCAAACACTGAGAAGATGCTGTGAGATATCTCTTAAGGGTGCCACGACTTGAAAATTTTTGGAATCTCTGGATTAGTGCACATGTCATTGATTTCAAAATCTTAGAACCAGATTTTTATTTCCTCTTTTTCATCATGCATTTTTTTCGTCGCGCTGAGTCCTATCTGACATACCCATATTTATGAAAGGATCCTATAACGTAATATATATGCACACATAGATACTTGGTTAAATTAATCAACTTTCACAACGGTGACTGAGTTTCCAAAACCATTTGTTGAGAAAATCCCAAAACATTTGTTTCAGACGATGTTTTACAGTTTGTTCGACTAAAAAAACTAAATTGTTACGTAGCACAATAATTCTTTTGTATTTAATCCTAACATATTCCACAATTTATGTTCCATAGGTCGAAATTCACCATTTCTTGAAAGTTCTGGAATCTACAAGTGGAAAACCAATGGACTTGATGACTCCTCTGACTCCCAGTATGTCCAACAATATGGGAGCATTAGTGTTTGGCCATAGATATGAATATGACCATCCTGATAGAGTTCTTCTGGACGAGAGCATAAATGAAGTCAGTAAAGTAGTGGTTCAAACTTCACCTTACATATTTTTTCCGTGGATAAGGCGTATTCCATTTTTGCAAAGAGTATTTAATTTGGAAAAAGGATTGAAAGCTGCTGAAAGAAGTGACAATTTATTCCTGTAAGTTTTCTTCAAATTCCTTTATTTTAAAATAAATTTACTAGCTAACTGATATATCAATAAAAATGGTCATATAAACATTTTTTAATGTACCAAGATATCATACAAAAATTTCTTTTCGATTATTTATATTTAAAAGGCATGATGATTCAACATTTGCAGTAATTTAAATTAATTATGTGTCGGGTTTAATTCTTTTAATTCTTATATATTATGTATTATATATCATTTTTTATGGCAGGGGTTAACAGTATGAATATAAGTTTAAAGGCTAGGCAGATTCAGTCGACGCAGTAGATGCGTAGGATTTCAAGTACATGTTTGTTTAGTTAAAAAAATTGAGCGCAAGTGTAAGATCTAATTTTCTGTTCTAATTTTCCATTATACGGTATTTACAAAATAATAATAATTATAATATTTATAAATATATAACTGTACTTAGTCAGAAATATCGTATTGAACCATGATATCTCTTAAGTTAGCTACAGCTTTAATAAACTATCAACTTTAATAATATTATCGCTGAAATTAATCATTCTTAAGCTGAATTAAAGTAGTGCTATATTCATCTCGAATGGATATATTATTCAATTCAACATCAGCAAATTTTTCTTGGTATTATGGTTCAAAGTATAAGCGATTTTCTCACAGAATATAGCTAAATATTAAATGAAACTTTCTTCCAAAAAATCCTTTATTAACAGAAAATTTAGTTTCTGATTCTTAGGGGTAGCTTCAATATTTTAATCGACCTCTACAAGCAGCTAATGAACGCGATTAAAAAGTGATCTAGTATTACCATGTTTACGTATTATTTACGACAATTTTATTAAATATAATGCTGTGATAACTTTTATTTCATAACATCTTCTTTTATGATCTTTTCAATGATCTATTTGAAATCTCGTCTCACAAAATATCATTGTGAAAACTATAACTTCAAGGAAACTTATACAATACCGTTATCTTATTTGTATTCAATATTGTGTGATATTTTGTTCATATCGCTTTTTTTTAGTTATTGTTAACAATTAAATTGGGAATAATGTTACAAAATGTTGATCATTTAGTTGCTTATTTCAAATTTTGAATATTTCCGTATATGTATAAAGTTCGGAATGGTATAAAATGCCTACAATTATAAAATAGTTGATATTTCACACATTGCCAAGACATTCTAGTATGACCTATGAAAAACCTATAGGCATTGTTTACAATGTATAAAGTAACTCTCATATTTATTACTTTGCTTTAAAAATGCGAGCGTTCTATACAATGACAGTGACAAGGCATTCTATAGAATGAAGGCATGGATAGTAACCTACGCTATCAAGCTAAAAATATTCGGAAACCCAATAAAAGAAGTGAATCTGTTTAATCGAGTGGGAGAAATTTTCATGATTTGTCCTGGTTCCCTTGTTCAAGTGCTTGGTTCGAGAAATTTGTGACAGTGTTCTGGCATGCCGATCGGGACATGAGAGCATTTCATGCTAACGGTATAAGCGAAAAGGTTAAGAGTATATATGCTATAATATAAAAGCAAAAATATTCTTATTAAAACTTGTTTTAAGCAGCACTTTAGTAAAACTGGTATTTTTTTATATAAATTAACATTTTCTGCAAAAACAAGTATTCTCCGTGCTAATATTTTCTGTTTAATTTCATAGAATTTTCTTTAAATAGAATTTGAGTTTCCTATTTAAAAAAAAGTTTTACAAATTTTTCTTAAAAATGGTTTTTTTAAAAAAGAACACGAAAATAGTCTTTTTTTTACAATTTTTAAATAAAAGAAAATTATACATAAAATATTATGAGGCAAAATATTTTATTTATTTGTTTAAATAAAGTTACTAATATTTAATATAAAAATATTAATATTTTCTTTTGGTGCATAAAGTGAAGCAATAAAGTTGTATGCAAGCAATAGTCAAATTTTCAAACAGTGCGTAATTTAAAAAAAAAAAAATAATAAGTCTTTGTAAATTTATAATTTTGTGCGTAATATAAAGTCTTGTTGCATTAGATTATAATGAAATTAGTCATTCATTCTCTTTAATGTTTTATATTTAAAGGAAGAAAATAGAAGAACATAGAAGAACACTTGACCCAAAAAACATTCGGGATTTTATTGACTCTTACTTCATAGAAATGAAATCAAGGAAAGAAAAGGATCCGAATACGTCTTTTACTTGTGAGTGTAATTAAATTTTCAAAGAAGGAACCCAAAGTATTATTTGGGTATCAATCTTTTTTTCCTTTTTTTTCTTAGCAAACAATATATAAACTTTTATTTATTCTTTTTTTGGTGACAGATTCATAAATTATTAAAAATTAAATAGAACTAATTAAAATATAGCTGTCCTAATTATAGTAATTAATCATAAATTAAATTTACTTATTGGATGTAATTTAATTTTTTAAATATTATTATTATTATATTTGTTCATAAAACGAGCAAAGTGATTCAAAAATAACCTTTATTACCCTGCATAAATTTTAAATTACTCAGAAATAAATTTTAAAAATGATACCAAAAATTAAGTTTAAACTATTTCCAGTGGCATCACTACTGCCATCAGACTAACAGTGCGGGTTTTTCAAAATTATCGTTTTAGTTTCCCTCAGAAAGTCCAACGCAAAGGCGAATTTCACCCGATGCAAGAATCAGAAAATGTCTTGTCTCCTGAGTCGGGTTCAAATTATATAGTTACAGATTTTAGCATCCCAGAACTGATTATCCGATACAGACGTCTGTTCATTGTCGTTGATAAAACGAAACGAATCACCATGCTTGTTTGAAAATGTTCTTTTTGTCTTCCAGACGACATGTTGGCTGCAAACGCTGGCGACCTTTTTGGAGCAGGTAGCGAATCAGTTCGTACTTCGATTTCATGGTGTGTTTACATAATGGCAGCCTTTCCAGAGGTGCAGAAAAAAGCGCAGCAAGAAATTTTGAACATCGTGGGAACAGACAGAGATCCCGAAATACAAGATCAAAAATCCATGCCTTACACACATTCTATTCTTCTCGAAGTTATGAGATGGAAAACTGTTGTACCTCTAAACGTATTAAGATAGTAAGTGTACCATGTCTTTTTTCTTAATTAAACAAAAAGAAACGTAGTTATTAGTAACGAAAAATTAAGACTTTCTGCTATAAGTTTAAAGGTGAACCATTATGCTAGTACACTATAATGTACCGGCATTATGGTTCAGAGAAGGGACCCAAACAACCCTTCTCTTCTGTCTAAATTACCAAACCAAATTGTTACCAAACCAAAAATACCAGACCAAACTCTTCTGTCTAAATTAATGGGACTATATTCTTCAAATTGTGCCTATGTTTAACGCTTGCATCTAATATTTGATTGCTCTTTAATTATTGCAAGCTTTCTGAAATCGAACTGTGATATAATTTTGATTCTAAAAACTTTTCCGTAGGCAAGCATTTAAGAAATTATGTAATTGTTATCTTTTAGCGTAGCTTTAAGCTACGAAAAAAACGTCACTGTTATGTTTCTGTTTTTTGTTAGAATGCGGACATTTTTACATCTTTGAGTACAGGGAAGTTACTTGTGACGTTTAGCTACATTTCTGCAACGACAGAAAAATTTCAACGTTACGTTTTTGTTACGTAACTGTGACCATATGCTACAATAGGGGCATTTAGAAAATGTTAAATCCTAATATCGCTAAAATTTGATGTGACCTTAACATTGTTTTAAGTTGAATCATATATATTCGTAGATGGCAACTTGCCTAACTTGCATTTAAAGTTTCAATTTAACATCTTATTAAAATTCCAGCAGCTCTAACCGTGTAACAAAAACAAGATTTCTCACACTTAACGGTAGCACCTTGCTATCAAGTTTCAGAATTACTAATTTGCTCTATATAAATTGTTTTGCAGCAAATTTAAACGATATTATTGTTGAAGATGAACCAAATTTTTTTACAGTGTACTAAATACTTCTTCTTCTAATAACTTAGGATGTCCCGAAATTGAAAACTCACTAAAAAAGCGAAAAGGGATAGAATGGTACGGTTTGCAATTTTTTTAAGAAACCAGATTATTTATTCTTGCAAAATTTTAAAATTAGTTTAAAAATTTGTTCATAGATGGTCCTAATAACTAAATCACTATAAAGCAACTTTTTCTGTTGCATGTTACACTGATTCTACAATATCTGCTCGAATTTGTTCTTAATATCTTCGAGTATCTTCTTAATTTTGTTCTCAGATTATGCCTCAGAAAATGCCACAAAAGTTGAATTTTAAAAATATTGTTTTCTAGTTTTATTAACAAACTTTGTAATTGGCTTTTAAAATTCTAAAACTATAAATATATTTTTGTAAACAAAAATCAGCAGGCTGTGCGTTGCTATTTCCTTTTGCTTTTTATCCACGGATTTTTTAAGTAATCATCCTTTTTTTTTCTTCTTTTGCATTTGAAAATGAAATTTTCATTTCGCACTTCAAACGGAAAAAAACATAAGAACAAAAATACTGATTGCTTCTTTTTTCCAGTACATCAATTGATACAACAGTTGGAGGGTATGATGTTCCAAAAAATACAATAGTGATAGGAAATTTCTGGGCTGTTCTTCATGATCCAAAATGCTGGGAAAATCCAGATAGTTTTATGCCAGAAAGATTCCTAAGTCCTGACAAATTGTCTGTAGTGAAATCAAATCATTACATTCCCTTTTCTGTCGGTAAGTATTGCGATTAAGAGAAATTTTCCCACTAGCAAAAAAATTCTTTCAACTTTTTGTAACACTGTTTTTTTAATTATTGTTTTATTGTTTTTCTTTCGTTTGTTTGTTATAAATATTACTTTTTTAAATATTTTTATTAAAAATATTTAAGAAAAAGAAATATTTTACAAAACATTAAATTAAAAAATCATTTCATTACAATAATTATAAATTTAAACATAATAAAAATATGATTTCCCTCTCCCTCTCTCTTACACACACACACACACACACACACGGATACTCCGTTTTTTGTGACTGGAAAAGCGAAAAAAATTTTTTATTTTATTTTAAAAAAATTACGCATCTGTCTATATCAAAAAATCGGCTCTACTATTAAACTTAAAGTTAAAAAAAATTTTAACAACTGAAATGCAACTACGGAATAAAAATTTCACGTACTGTAAGGTCCATTCCTAATTATAAAATTATAGCGAGCTTTTTCCGAAATTCCAATTTGTTCGACAGTTATTGCAACTTCAAGTTACTTTTTCATGTTTTTTTTTTCACTTCTGTATGCGTTAAATAATGATTATTTATCCATTATTGTTATTTATCTATTGATTGTTTATCTATTGATGTCAAAAGCAACAAACTAAAATGTAAATAAATTTATTTTAAAAATTGAAGCAATAACACAGTTCGAACTGTTAAACAATAAAAAGTTATCATGTTGGATTGTTAAGAAGTAAATCTACCTCTCATTTATTATTTCTGATCCATTGGTGTATTCCATTGATGTCAAAAGCAACAAAATAATAAGCAAACAAAGTTTAACAAAAATTGAAGCTATTACGCAATTCGAACTGTTAAACAATATAAGTCATCGTCTTGGATTGTTAACAAGTAAAACTACTTCTCATTTATTATTTCTGATCCATTGATGTATTCCATTGATGTAAAAAGCAGCAAAATAATATGTAAATAAAGTTTTAAAAAATTGAAGCCATTGCGCAATTCGAACTGTTAAACAATATAAAGTTATCGTCTTGGTTTGTTAACAAGTAAAACTACTTCTCATTTATTATTTCTGATTCATTGATGTATTCCATTGATCTCAAAAGCAACAAAATAATACGTAAACAAAGTTTAACAAAAATTGAAGCAATTACGCAATTCGAACTGTTAAACAATATAAAGTTATCGTCTTGGATTGTTAAGAAGTAAAACTACTTCTCATTTATTATTTCTGACTCATTTATGTATTCCATTGCTGTCAAAAGCAGCAAAATAATATGTAAACAAAGTTTAACAAAAATTGAAGCAATTACGCAATTCGAACTGTTAAACAATATAAAGTTATCGTCTGGGATTGTTAACAAGTAAAACTACTTCTCATTTATTAATTCTGATTGCGTCACACATTCAGAAATATATTCCTATAATACTAAATTTAAATACTTTTTCTCGAGTGCGATTGATTATTTTTCAAATTCAAGAAATCATTCATTTTGTTACGATTAACATAAAAACAATTTTTTTTTTCAATAAAATTATATTAATTATATATTTCATTAATTAATATAATGATTAACAACATGATCTTTCTTAAAGCCTCGAATCTTAAGGGGAATAAAGCAAAGATGAATGAGAGGTCAGGGGATGGCGAGTAGACGCGAAGCCTCCTATTAAATTAAACTTTATGTATGTTGAGCTCTAATATTATTTAATGGCGAATATTATTTTATAGTAATGGGTTACATAATATTATCGTACATTTTAAACTTGATTGCCAGATATTATGGTTAAATGTCAACTTAAACGTGGTTCAATTTAATACCTTATTATTGTTGCAGCACATTTGAAACATATTTCGATTCAAGATGCCAATATTATGATTCAAATCTTGAGCTGAATTTCTTAAACGTGTAGTAAAAAAGTAATAATTTATAAATGGAATACTCTCAGAAAAATATCAGTAATATCAGTAGCCTAAATATCAGTATCTTAAACTATATTATCATGCAAATTTGTTAAAATAGTAATAACTAGTGGACTCTGCACCCCCTGCTCGCTAACGCTCGCCAACCCCCGAAAATTGATACGCAATTTTATATGGTTTGCTTCGCAAACCAAGCTCGCTTCGCTCGCTACTAACTTAGGTATATTGCAAATGCACAAAATTCTAAGAATTCAAAACAATCATTCAAATCCATATAAAAACTTTTTTTAAAAAAAACAATTACATCTTTTAGTAAATACTAAGTCATTAAAATAAATTTGAATTCAAATAAATGACATGTAATTCGTTTAACCTATTAGAAATATGCTATAGTATAATTCGTAATATAAATCAAAAATCGTGAAATAAATTCGTAATATATAAATTCGTGAAAAAAAGCGCTTTCGACAAAATACTAAAATAGAGATCTATCGACAAAGACTACTCACTTCTGCCTAGCTTAATAGTATGAGATTGCCGCAGCTGATGCTCTCTGGTTATTTCAGTTTCCGTTCTTAAAAGCGCTATATGTTGAGTCACCTCAGCTAGATTTGGCATGTGACATTTTTAGCGGCAATCATTGGTCGATTTGCCGTGTAAGAGAAAAGTAACGTATTCAAAACAAAGCAAACGTTGCCGCCGGCGGAAAAGAAATACAGCCAAAATTTGGAAGCCACGTAAGAGAATTATATATATTAGATGTCTAAAAAATTTATCGATGCTTCCATTCAAACTGAACTATAAAATCAAGTAATCAAGTTTAAGACGCATTGATTAGCATGGCAATATTAAGATTGCAGTAAGCTTGAACGGTAATGTAGGTCAATACTCTTCAATATTTCCATACTAATCGAAAGTTTCAGCATGCATTGTGCACTAATAACGATGAAAAAAAAAATTCTTTCAATAGTTTAACAAATAACAATTTTTTAAAAAGTACCCCTAAATTAGTTTAACGCTTGATATCTAACTCATAACTCTTGTTAAACAAGTAACAAGTAGCAACTTGTTCAATTAACATTTTTCATGCATTTTATAGGTAAAAGAACTTGCCCGGGTGAAGCTATGGCGAATTTGGAAATATTTTTGTACTTTGTTTCAATTTTACAAAAATTCGATATTGAATTTCCTCCAGGACTGAAACCTACTTTTGATGCAGAAATCTTTACAACTTACAGACCCAAACCTTACAAGATTTGCTTCAAACCAAGAAGTTAAATTAATAATCATGTTTGGTTGTGGCTTTTATTTCACGGATTTTTATTTATTCTATTTAAATGCTAAATTTTATTGTAAATACATTATCATACATCATTGTTTTTATGTTTGTAAATTATGAGTTTATTTATTTGGTATTCATCATCATACTATTGTTTTTAACCTTGTGAATTTTAACTACATGTTTATTTGAGATTAGTTACTTTGTTGCACACTGTATTAAATCGACTACATGTATTTGATATAAATTATTTTAATTTCTATTGTCTGAAATGCTTAATGGGATTCATAATATTTTTTTCGATTGATTTCTTTAAAATAAAACGAAATTATTTAACTAATGATGTTAGATTTTAGCCCAATGATGTTTGAATCAATCAAATAATTTAATTAATCAAATTACTTAATTTGTGTTTGTTTTATTAAACTTTCAAACATCAATGTTCAACTTTATAAACCAAAGTTATATTTATTTTTTTTAAACATATGTCTTATATTAGTATTTAAGACAACTCGTTTTTTTTTTCTTTTTTTAAGATTTAAAATCATTTTCCCGAAGTTTCTGTATGTTTTTAAAACTGTTTTGAATGTAAATAAAATGTTTGTATTTACTTTCTCTTGTTTATTTATTACATTTCATTGAACTCGTTTTAAATACTAAAGCAAAGATTTTTCGACATTTTGGCGTCTTCCTATTCAGAACTATATACAAGATTTCGTGAACTATTTTGATTTTAAACGCATTTTTTTTTTCAAAAATGTGGAGGAAAAATCCCAATCCCAAAATTAAGTCACGCTATAAATCAAGTTTGGTAAAAGATAAAAATATGAATCGATAAAAATACAAGTCATGATAAAAATATAAGTCATGCTATAAATCAAGTTTGGTAACGAGTTGCTATAATCAAATTTGGTTGTTAAAATAGGAATCGATAAATAAAAACATATTTTATTTTCAAAAGAAAAAAAGGAGAGGGAGGAAAAAACTTTTAAAATATTTCTGTTTGGAATCTTCTATGTTTCACTAGAGAAAAAATTTCCAATACACAACAAAATATTTTCTTATTTTTGGGAATCAATGTAATCCTTCAAATGTTATTAAATAAAATTTAACAATTACAATTATATGCGCTCCAATTATATCAATATTATTAATAAAGGAATAGAAGAAACCTTCTCTTGAATGTTACAGAACTTTTATTGAATAATTGCTTACTTCAAGCTATTGTCGTAAATATTTTTTTTAAAGTATTTGCTTTTTATTTATTTGCTTATTTATTTTTATGTATTTATTTTATTTATTTCGGTTGTTAAACGAATCGGAATCGTTAGGGCATATACCAATAATGCTAAAATTGACCTTTTTCGATGCACCTGTTAACAGCATCTAAACGAGATAATGCTTCAGTTTTTTTTCACACAATATTTACATATTGTTACATAGTTACACTGTGATAACTGGTAATACATATCTTTGGCAGAATTTTTTTTTTAAATTACGAACAGGGAACTTTTAATTTTCTAAAAAGTTTCATCAGTTTTGAGCAAATTCTTTCATATGTATTCCTGTTTACGCTAGAACATAATCACAGCATACAACTGATATAATTTCAAATATCCCCAAAAAATTTCAATGCAATTCTCAGAAAAGGTACAGCAAAAAAGGTCAGTTTTAGCATTATTTACATATGCCCTACCGACTCCCCTAAAAGAGACAAAATAGATAATAAGCATAACATCGAAACAGAATAGATAATAAGCATAGCATCGAAACGAAATAGATAATAAGCATAAAATCGAAGCAAAATAGATAATAAGCATAGCATCGAAACAAAATAGATAATAAGCATAGCATCGAAACAAAATAGATAATAAGCATAATATCGAAACAAAATAGAAAATAAGCATAGCATCGAAACGAAATAGATAATAAGCATAGCATCGAAACAAAATAGATAATAAGCATAGCATCGAAACAAAATAGATAATAAGCATAGCAGGGCTAAGTATGTATAAATCATAAATGGTGTTCATAAAATTAGTAATGAATAAGATAATAACCGAAATAAAAATTTATTCGTGAATAATGAACTGATTTAATTTATTTTAAAACTTTATAATTTTAGAAACTTTTTTTTCTTTGCAAACTCCAAAATATTAATTTTAAAAATATCTGTTTTCACGAAGTCTTAGGATAATTAACATTTTTGTGTTTAATAATAATTAATGGTTATAAATAATTAAAATTAAAAAATAATTGTTTCTTAAAAATTAATTAAAAAATATTTTTTTACGAAATAATTCTCTTATTTGGCAAAAAAAAATATTACCAACATTACAAAAGTGCAATTTTTTTTAATTATTATTATTATTCTTTCACAACTAAGTGAATATGTTACCACTAAATTTATATAATATGAAACTTTGACAATTAATCAAAAAATTTAAGACAATTGTCTTTCTGAATAAAAAACACTTTTAATTGTCAGTCAAAATTATGAATTATGATGAAAGCAAATAAATAAATAAGTAATAAAATAAATTAAAAATAAAATAAATAATATTTTCATTTTTTTTTTTCATATAAATTTTTTTAATGTCATTTTTTTTCAACAGTTTTTCACAAAAATGTTTTTACAGAATTAGCTCAAAGAAATAATTGTTAAATGAAACCTTTAAAAAATTGTATGCCTAACATAATTCCATAAAACAAAGGAATAAATATCGTTTAAAATTTTAAAACAACAAACGAAAAATCATTTAATTAAGTTGTTAATTTGTAAATAAAATGTAATCCATTTTTCCCTTTTTTTAAAAAAAAAATTTCTGATTAACTACATTTTTCATAGATAGATGGCACTACTATATGCGAATTTACTAGAATTGTTCCTAAGATAAACATAAACAAACGTGACATATATCCTTGTTTTTGTTTGGAAATGAAACTTCATTGATTTTGGACAGCTTTTGAAATATTTGTATCTATTATTTATGATTACCGTCTCACATAACATGTAATCTATACATTCCATATCAATTATAACAAAATTTAGTTATGGAAATATGGATCGCAGTATTCATCATTTTTGTGATTTACGTTTTCAAAAGATTTATTCAATCACTTTTAAAAAATCTTCCCCCAGGACCAATAGGACTCCCCATTGTTGGATATATCCCATTTCTCAACAAAGATGTACACTTAAAGTTTACTGAACTGAGTAAAAAATATGGTGAAGTTTTCAGGTTAGCTCTATTTCTATCACTATCATCTTGATTTATGCAGATAAAAGCAGCTTACTCTTCCCTTATAAATTTAATTTATTATAACTTTTTATTTTATTTTAATCCATGATGAACAGCATCTGATTTATCATAAGGCCATAGAGACCTTGGCCCTCCTAAATATTACAAATAATATGATTTCTTCTTTTGATTTTCCTCAAGAATTGTCCATTAGAATTATGAGTAAACAAAACTTATAATAAATATAAGTTCAAATTTATTAATAGGTTGTAATTTAGTCATGTCAAAAATAATTTAAAGGCACTTCAAGAATATACTACTAGTAAATTTGGTTTGAAGTCAAAACCAGGGGGATCCTGAGACAGTTATGTGCCTATGGCAACCACGATCCGCATCGTGATCTGCGGCAGATTAATCGCCAAGACTTGGCAACTTCCGGGCAGCTTTCCGCGAGAAACTGAAAAATAAAACATCGCAGAAGAGGGACCAAATCGAAGGGTGTAACTCACAGCGTAATTCTGCTTCCACCCCGGAATTAATCTCTACATGTTTCTTTTCTTTCTTTCTTTCTTTTTTTTTTAATTTGCAGGTGTAAAATCCTTTTGGCGTGACAGATCACGATGCGGAAATTTACCCGATTCGGGATTTAAAAAAACCTTTATGCTTGCATCAACATTTAAATTATAGTCAACTAATTATATCAACTATTAAATTAAATTATAGTTACCCACTGTTGTTTCAATAAAATTCGCGAAGTTTGCGGTGTCTAATCTTTTCGTCAATTTTGCAGTTTTCGATTGATTGTAAATTTTTCTATTTATTCTAAAGTTTGTTTTTTATATTTAGTTAGTATTTTTTTCGATATCAAAAAGGTTTAATAGTTTTAAAATTTTACTGCGAAATAAAAAAGCCGCCTACCGAGTATCCACATCTTATCACTTTTTTTTTATTTAATGTAAATAAGGAAAGAGTGAGGAAAAAAGAAACACATAAAATGTTTCTCTTTGGAATCGTTTACGTTTCTATACTGGAAAGTTTTCCACTATAATGTTTCTTATTTTTGGGGATGAGTGTAGCTCTAAAACACTATTAAATAACATTTAGCAATTATGATAATATTATGTGTTCCAATTATATTAATATTATTTTTTTAAAAAAAAGTAGTTATTTATTTCATTTTGAAACCTTACATACCTTTTATTGAATAATTGTTTACATCAAACTATTGTCCCAAATATTTTTTTTAGTTCTTTTTATATTTACCTATTTATTTATTCTGTTGAAACGTTCGTGATTCCTCAAAGAAGGTTCAAGTGAACAAACAGATAAGCAAGGCTAAGATGTTGATAACCTAAAAATGTTTAAAAAAATGAATAAAAAATTGTTTAAAAAAACTTAGCTTAAGAACGAATAAAAAATGACCTAAAAATAAGAAATTGGTAGATTAAAAATTTTCTGAATGCATATTTTCATTACCTTTTCTTTGCGAAAAAAAATTATAAATCTTAATTTGCATATGTAAAATTAGTAAAAAATAAGATAATAATTAAAATAAATATGTAATTTATCTTTCATGAATGAAGGTTCATGAAAACCAATAGATAATAAGCAGGGCTAGAATGTTGATAACCTGAAAATGTTTTAAAATATTAATAAATTTTTAAGAAACATCTTATTAAATTTAAGAAGGAATCAAAGATGACCTAAAAAGGATAAATCGATGTCCTAAAACTTTTTTGAATGTATATTTTACATTACCTTTTTTTTTTTTTTTTTGGAAAGAAAATTATAAAGCATGTATAAAATTAGTAAAAAATTAGATAATAATTAAAATAAATATATAATTTAAGAATAAAACAAAATGTCAATAAAAGCCTGATAGAGAAAAATAGTAATTTATAAATTTTTAGTTGCAATGTTCAAAATCACTAGAATTGTACAGTGTCATCAAATGCTTTTTGATATTATTCAATTTGAAATATTGCCTTTTGTGCAAAAGCAAGTTATAATATCTTGAAAGAAAAACTCTATTCATCATCTAAATTTGTTATTGGAGGTTACTTTAGTAAGATTCATTGCAAAATTTTTGCCTATTCATAAGGAAAAAAATTGAATCCACAAATAAAATGCTCTTAAAATGAATAATATCACACAAAATTCATAATGAATGATTAAAAGAAGAAAAAAATCTAAAAAGTTAAATATAACTTAAACCATGAATAATGCCTTATACAAGAAAAAACGATGATAAAAGCAAAAAAGAAAAAAAAAATTCATTTATCATCAACACTCTAACGCTTGCAACTAGAGATAGCACATATTCCTCCCCCCAGAACATTGCAACGTGGGTGGAGATAGCACTTGATTTGATGTCCTTTAACCAGAAAATAAATTTAAAAAATTCTCATTCCTCTCGCAGACTACATTAACCATAGAACTGGAAACAAAGTATCCCAAGATATTGGAAACTTTAAAAAAAAAATTAATAAAAATAAATTAAATAATTAAAAAAGAAAATATAAAAAAACAGTACAGAAGCGGCATCTCTAATTATAATTAGAGAGCGTTTTTTAGACTGAATTAAAGTATGTATATGTCTTAACCGATTTCTTCTTGATTTTGATCTAAGTTTATAATGAAGTAAAAGCTTAAAAAATTTAAATTAGCTAAATAACTTCGAACTTAAATTAACTTCGAACGACTAACAAATGATTAAAAATTTACATAAAAAATGTAGAATTTCTTGAATTTTTCTAAAACTAATTTTTAATCGATTGCAATGGCATGAAAACCAATAACATTATTTTTATTTCATAACTATTTTTAAGAATTTTTTTTTAACTTTTTAGCAATCTTTTAGAAACCTTATAATAATATAGTTTAACAAATAATAAATTATTATTTATAAATTGTTTTGTAATATCATGATAAAGCTTTAAAAATAGTTAAACGTTTCATAATCGATTCTTTATTCTCTCATTTTTTTTTCTAGTGTACGTTTAGGATCTAAGCTAGTAGTAGTATTGAATGGTACGATTTCAATCAAAGAAGCTTTTGGAAAATGGGAATTTCTTGGGCGTCCACCTAGTAGTGCATTCTCTTTATTGGCAAATAAAAGTAAGTTCTTCTTGTACAGAGTTCAAAGAAAAATCGAAAGCCTTGAATAGCATGATCGAATTTTTAACTAGTACTCAATCTTTATAGTTCCAAGAGTCTAACCTTAAATATGCCAATAAATTCGTGCGAGCAGCGATGGCGCTCAGAAGATAGAACGTTCATCTCAAAATGAGGTGACCCAGCTGCGGCTGGTTGCTTCGAATTCTAATTCGGCTTACACCGACCACAGTGCTGACGTAAAATATCATCAGTTGTAGGCGGATCAGGGGTTAGAATCCCCTTGCTGTCGTGGGAGGTTTTCCTCTACATGTAACACCTCAGGCTAGTAACCTTGTCCCAATACTTGATACGAACCGTGATGACTCAGGAGATAGAGCGTGTGCCTTCCAGTGAGGTGAACCGGGTTCAAATCCCAGCCATGGCTGGTCGATACGAATCCGCATCCGGCTTGTACCGACCACAGTGCTGACGTGATATATCCTCAGTGGTAAACGGATCATGGGCTAGAGTCCCTTTGCCGTCAGGTTAGCTGAGGAAGGTTCTCGTGTTCTTCCTCTCCATGTAACGCAAATGCGGGTTAGTTCCATCAAAAATGCCTCCACGAAGGCAAATTTCTCCCGATATTTGATCCAGGGAACTCCTTGTCTTCTGGATTGGGTTCAAAATTACAAGGCTACGTAGTTGAACATTAGTAGGCGTAAACCCAAAAATTGGGTCGGCTGTTCAAAGACGGTTATAAAATAAAATAAAATACTTGATCCAGGAGTTTCTTTGCAATCTGGATTAGGTTCAAAATTACAAGGCTACGGAGATGAATATTGATAATCGTAAATTCAGAATTGGGTCGGCTGTCAACGCCGGATATAAAACAAAATAAAATTAATTCGTGTAACCTCGTTACCGTCGCGTTAAATATGAGAGGTTTTAATGGTTTTCTTCTCGATGTAACGCAAATGCAGATTAGTTTCATTATAAAGTCCTCCACAAAGGCTAGTTTGCTACAATGCTCTGGAATGTTTGTAACAATGGTTGATCCAGGAGCTCTCTTGCTTCTGGGTTGAACTCAAAATTACAAATGAACAATGAACAAATATTCGTGAACCCAAAATTGCATAGGCTGTTTAATGCCACTTACGAAATAAAATAAAATTAATTAGCGTAAATGGTATTTTAAGTACTAAAGCGTACATTCTCTAAATAAACAAACATTTTTCCAAGAGATTTGAGTTTTTGAATCTCAAAATATGGGGTTAGCCCTACAATTCGGAAAATATGGTCCCAACAGTTTAAACTAAAGTCCAAGTAAATCTGATCTTACTTAATCCAACTTTTACTTACTTGAATCTAAACTTTTGATCATTCGATCAAAAGTTTAGACTCCTTAATGTGTATTTCAATACTAAACCCTTAAAGAAAATCTCAAGCTTTTGGTTCACAATTGTAAATTCGTTTATCCAATGAAAACTGCTTATACAAAATAATTTTTTTAAGTCTTTAATTTTTTTTAATCAATAAAATTAATTTTTTTTAATTAAATAAAAAAAATTGTAGCTGAATATGTTTTTTGCATATATTATCATCTACATATATATGATATATTATCAGCTTTATATATTATCATCTTTAGTAATTTAAAATTTAAAGTTGGAAAAAGTGAGTGAGTGTAAACTAAGAGAAAAAAAAATTCGAATGCTATTTTTTCCCCGCAAAATAAATGGCAAACAAATTACCTAAGAACTGTTCAAGATTATGGATTATACATTGGGGAAGTAATTCTGCTATAATTTGTTTGCATTTAGACATTTTGAAAACATTTTTTCTTTAATTGAACCTTCATGGTTTACTAGACCTGAGCTCATTTTTCTCTTAACTTTAAAGTTTGAAACATCAATGGAGGTGGAACAGAATTCGTCCGCTTAATATAGTTGATAGCAGAGTATTCCATTATTATAGAAATTTAAATGATTTTCTATAATTATTTATTGAAAATAATTTTAAGGTAACGATTTATACTAACAAGAATCATCAATTTAATTAAATTTATCATTTTTATTTTATTCCGAAGGTCCTTTCTTCGCACCAAATTTAGAGATATGGCATGAGCAAAGAAGATTTGTCGTCCATGCTTTAAAAGATCTTGGACTGGGAAGATCAAAAATAGAAAAATGTATTCAGGTATTTATTCAGGATTTACTTATAATGCTTAATTATTAATTTATAATTAGAAATGCATTCAGGATTAACTTACACTGGTGGACAAAATTAAGACAACATCAGAATTGGACACAGCTTCAATGGGCTAATGTTATCTTCACCGATGACTCCAGATTCAGTCTACAACCTGATTCTGGACGGTTATTGATATGGACGTAACCTGGAACCCGATACCATCCTAGCAACACTATCGAAAGGGACCATTATGCTGGTGGGGGACTCATGGTTTTGGCAGGGATCATGCAAGATACCCGGACACCGCTCCATGGGTTTGACAATGGTTCCGTGATTGCCCAGAGGTACAGACAGGAGATCCTAGAGCCCTATGTGCGTCTTTTTAGGGGCGCTGTTGGCCCTGAGTTCATTTTAATGCGCGACCACATAGGGATCTCATGGTTGATGAGTATCTGGAAAGCGAGGATATTCAACGAATGGATTGACCAGGCAAATCCCCTGACCTGAATCCTATTGAACATGCTTGGGATGCTCTTGGGGGAGCTATTGCGATGCGCCAACCTCCCCCCAGAACCATTCTTGAGTTGAAAATTGATCTGGTGGAAGAATGGGAGGGTCTTCCACAAGTCCTCCTTAACTCCCTTATTAACAGCATGCATACTCGTTGTGCATGCTGTCTGTCTGTCAGGGGTGACCATACACCATACTAGAGGCAACACACACTGTACAAGCCTCACTTTTATTATCATCTTTTATCCTTAAGTTCAGACTACATTGGATTTATTGGCAATAGGTCTTGGCACTGAATGGCACTTTCATTTTTGTTTTGCATACTTTATTATCATGGAATAAGCTATATCCATACCAAATTTCATTTATTTATATTCAGTATTTTTTGAGATATTTGGGAAAATGTCTTCCCTCTCTTAATTTTGTCCACCAGTGTATAAATTATCAAGCTGTGGAAAAAAATTACCACAAACTAGTTTTAAAAATAAGTAGTATTATTCAAATCGGGATATTTGATTTTTAAATACGAAAAAAAAATTACTCTTAGGATAATTGGTTTAAATATTGCATCAACAATATAACAATATTTTGCCCGAGCATGACTTCTCCAGCACAAAATATCAGAAATGAAGTTTTTCAAAACCTCACGTGGATGTAATTAGCCGAGACAAAATATCACAACGATCAAAATTTTGAGATAGCATAACTCTGCATGAATGTAATTGCCTGTGCGCAAAATATACTAGTCAAAATTTTACAACAGCATACCTTCGCGCGGATACAAATTTTGCCGTCTCTAAAATATCATAAAGTCACATTTTTTAGGAAACATAATAATTTTGGGTGGATATAATTTTCCGAGGACAAAATATCGTATAACTACGCGGGGATATAATTGGCTCTGGAAAAAGCATCACCAGGGCCAAAATCGTGAAATAGTATAGCTTCGCGAGGATATAATTGGCGTAATATCATTGAGCCAAAATTTTAGGATATAATATCGTAGTATAGATAAAATCTTGTCTGATCGAGGAGACAAAATTTTGTATGAGTTTAATAACAAAGCTTAAGTTATTTAACATTTGATAATTTGTTTGTTACACAAGGGGAAAATGAAATTCAAAATTTTACCGAAGCAAAATAATTTCACTTGGATCTAATTTGCAGAAAACGAAATATCAGAGAGGCGATATTTTGCGATAACATAACTACACGTGGATATAATTGGCTGTGGACAAAACATTACTAAGTCCTAAATTTTAAGATTACGTAACTTCACGGGGATGTAATTGGACTTGGACATAATATCATAGAGACAAAATTTTGGGATATCCTATCTTCGTAAGGATAAACTCTTGTCTGATTGAGTGGACAAAATATTTTGTTGAGTTTAATAACAAAGCTTAAGTTATTTAACATTTGATAATTTGTCTGTTACACAGGAGGAAATTAACTATTTCTTGAATGTTCTGGAATCTTCCAAAGGAAAATCGATGGATTTAATGATACCTCTGACCCCAAGTATGTCCAACAATATGGGAACATTGGTTTATGGTCATAGATACGACTATGACCATCCAGACAGAGTTATTTTTGATGAAAGCATCAATGAAATAAGTGTCATCATTGCACAAACTGCTTATCATATATTTTTTCCATGGATCCGACACATTCCTTTTCTGATGAAATTGTTTAGTCTGGAAAAAGGTGTGGAAGCTGTTAAGAGAAGTGACAAAATCCTTACGTAATCTCCATCTTATTGTTTTTGTTTTTGTTGATTGATTTATTTTGTTTTTAAAGGCAGTCAACATTTACAATTATTTTTTTTTTAATGCCTAAACATAAATTTTGTGTACCAGCAATGTATATACAAGATGCCAAGTTAAAAAAAATATTAAGAGCAGCAACGATTTTAATTCAAATATATTTTTAAATACGTTTAAAAAAGCTCTTTACAATACTAATTTTTTGAAGAAAATTGTTTTTAAAAAAAAAAGTTTTGTGACAACGAAGGTTTAGAATTACATTGAGTTATGTAAAAAATACCTTTGAAAGTTAGAGATAATATTTTCATAAAATTTTATTTAAAAATATACTTTTAAATCAATTATTTTAAATTTTAAACTTATGAATTTTACTTTATTTTTTTTTTATTTTATCTTAATTTTTAAAAGGTTTTGTCATGACGAAAGTTTCGAACAAATGTTACGTAGAATTATGTAAAAAATATACTTGAAAATTAGAATAAAATTTTCGGAAAATTTCATTTAAAAAAATAATCTTATTACTATTATTTTGTATTTTGAATTTTTATATTTTATTTTTCTAAAAACTTTGACTGTTAATAATTCTCGAACTAATTATCGAATGTTATTTTTTTTTGTTTTATCGTATTTTTTTTTAAATTTTGTCGTGACAAAATTTCGAACAAATGTTACGTAGAATTATGTAAAAAATACACTTGAAAATTAGAATAAAATTTTCAGAAAATTTCATTTAAAAAAATAATCGTATTACTGTTATTTTGTATTTTGAATTTTACGCTCAATTTTTATATTTTATACAAGTTTAGCAATCAATAAATCTCGAACTATTTTTCAAATATTAATTTTTATCCTAATCCGTGATCACTTTTGTTTACTCATAAAAAAAATTTAAATTTCTAAGTCTTATATTTCTTGCGCGGCAAAACAAAATGCAACATTACATTTTAACACTCAACACAGCGTCAGCGTTTTAAATTCAGTAAATACGTCATTGTTGCACCAATGCCATTTTCACAGTGGCGTAGCTTTTATCTTATTTTAATCTAATTAAAACTATATTTTTTAATGTCTGATTTAAATAATGTGAATGATGATAACTCAAAAAAAAATGAATCAATTTAATTTTCTAATCTGTGTTTAGAAAAAAATCTAGTGTTTAGTCTTTATTTCTTGGATTTTTGAAAATGGTAGTTTTTTATAACTCGATGTGTCTGTTATATACAGTTGTAAAATTGATTGTTTTTATTTTAAGGAAGAAAATAGATGAACACATAAATACTCTCGATCCTAAGAACATCAGGGATTTCATAGACTCATACCTTGTTGAAATGGAAGCAAGAAGATCAAAGGATCCTGACACATCATTTACTTGTAAATTTTAAATGCATAATATTTTAATGTTGTTGTTGACGAATGCCTGTTTAGGCAGAGAGGTGCGATTGTTCTTGTTTTCCAGTGGAGCCATCTATGGCCAAGAATTCGACTTCGGCCATACCATACGTCACACCCGTTTATAGGGCGAACCCATTCATACATCCATTCATTCATCCACAGATCGTAATTTTGACCTGAATCAGAGAACGATAATATTTAACTCAAGCGTTATTAAGGCAGTTTTTCGAAGGATCTTTTGTCTCGTGGAATAAGCCTTTAAACGAATACTATACTATTTTTATAACTGTAGTGAGTTAAACACCTGATTTTAGATATTATAAAAAAAAAATACTAATTCGTTTACATCATGTGAATTTACATCGCTTTCACATGCGAATCACACATTTTTAAACTTGAATTAGCCTGCTTTAACAAACAAAGAAAATTAATTATTAAGTTCTTGGTATAATTAATTATTAAGAACTTGTGTTTTTAGTTAAATAGGACTGTAAACAAACTAACATCACTCAAGATATCTTTCAATTAATTAATAAAACAGAATCGTCTGCAACTTTATTTTCAACAATGCATAATATTAAACCTATAAGAAAAATTTGTTTCTCGCACAGTTCTCCTTACGGACGAATTGAAATTTTTGAATAAATTCGGCACCGGGAGCTAATATTTCCCCCTTGCACCTGCTGTTTAAACTTCTGGTCTCTGATACACACAAAAAGAAGAAAAAAAAAACTTTCTTTTATCATTGTAGATACTACACTACCCTACAATAATAGAAGAGAACTTTTCAGGTTTTTTTACATTCTTTTTAAATTTCTCAAGAAATACTTAAAGAATTATTTTGTAACTTTAGAGGTGTTAGTTCATGCAATTTTTCATACTTAGCAATAAAATTTAGAGTTTTCAGAAGTTTGAGAGACCTACAAGTTGCTATTTTTAATAACTGCAGAAAATTTCGTGAACCTAGAGTAAATGTTTATGGAAATATGGACATTTTAATAAAAAATTTAATTTTTCGTCTTAGGTTCTTTTGCTCTAACTTCATAAATATTCAATGGATATAAACGAAATTTTTGAAAAAAATTTAAAATTAATTACAAAATTGTTGATTTAAAATTTTTAAAAATCCTTTAAAAACTGCTCAAGATATGAGTATTTAAACTAATTTTTTTTTATACTGAGCACGCGTAGAAAAAGTTTGAAAAAAAAATTTTTCTTAATTTTGTAGGGAATCGTATTTGACAGCTATTGATAAAAGCTTTCTTTGAATATCTTACAGTATTAAAAAGTTTCAAGCAATTTTCTCAAGTAATTTTTGTACTTTTTAGAAGAAAGCTCAAAATGATTGGGGGTTATCCACAAATTTTACCTTGTACTATTAAACAAGATTTATTAAAAATTAGACCGGTATTGACTCATTCCTCTACTTCAAGCAGCCACTCAGGCCTTGTCCCCTATCTCGGTGGTGTTGGATCACCTCTCTTAAAAGTATGTTTTCTTTTGCATGTTCTCTTTCTCTATACCATCAAAGTTTAGTTTCCGGACGATTATTGTAAGGTATTATCATTTGTTATAAATTTTTACTTATTATACAAAATAAAATTTGTGAAAAAACCCTTGATCGTCTTGAGCTTTTTTTTGGAAAACTACAAAAACTACTTAGAAAATTGCTTAAAACTTTTTAAATTCTTAAGAAATTCAAACGAATTATTTTATAAGTTGCCAAATATGATTCACTACAAAATTATGAAAAAACTTTTTTTTAAATTTTTCAGCACATGCGCTGTTTTTAACGAAATTTTTTAAAATTTTAAATCGTCAATTTTGTGTTTAATTTTAAATTTTTCCAAAAATTTTGTTTCATTCTATTGAAGATCTATAAAGTTATAATGAAATAAAATTCATCAAAAAAAAATATTTTTTATAAAAAAAATATCCATATCTCCATAAATATTTACTCTACGTTTATGTAGTTATTAAAAGTAGTAGAAATTAAAGTAATCGATATAAGTTACAAGTTTTTTGCTTGATTTTCTGGCATAGGGTGATCAAAAATACATGTTTCCGTTCGTAATATATAGTAGGTCTCTCAAACCTCTGAAAGCTTTAAATTTTATTGCTAAGTATGAAAAAATGCGTGAACTAAAGTTCTATAAAGTTACAAAATAATCCTTCAAATATTTCTTGAGAAATTTAAAAAATGTCAAAAACTGAAAGTGTCTCTTCCATTATTGTAGGATAGTGTATATTTCAATTAAAATAGCATCAATCCGCAATAATTAAAAGTTTAAAAGGAATCAAAACTGTAATTTAAGATATTGATATCCATCAATCTTAAGAAGAAAAAAAAACGCATATAAATATGCATTCTTTTAACGCTAATATTTCATGCATTATAAAAATATAATTCGATTTATTGAAAAATAATTTTTTAAATTAGTTTACTACTATTTTAATATTTACTTCCAATCAAATTGTATTTTGTAGATAAAACCCTGATGGGTAACGCTGGAGATTTATTTGGGGCTGGTAGCGAAACGGTTCGCACAACTCTCTCTTGGTGCACATATACCATGGCAGCATTCCCCCATATACAGAATAAAGTGCAGAAAGAAATTATGGATGTCTTGGGAGCGGACCGAGAACCTGAAGTCCAAGATCAGAAAAATATGCCTTATACGCATGCTGTAATCTTGGAGATAATGAGATGGAAGACTATTGTTCCCTTAAATGTTTTAAGATAGTGAGTGTCAGACTATGATCTTTTTGTTTAATTTCATAAAAAATACATAAATAAATAAATATTGTCAAGTAAGACAATTCTCACTTAAATAAATAAAGTGTTTCAATTAGATACCTGCAAGTGACGTCATCATAAGTTGTCGATTCAGGAGCCAATCAGATTCGACGCACACGCGTGACGTCGCTTACAAGCATCCAATTAAATCTGATTTAAATCACGTGGTTCGGCATAATCACTTCATTTCTTTTCGAGTTCAAGTATCCAGTTATCACCATTATTCCATCTTTTTTCCCCCTTATTTAGGAGAAAAAAAACGCTTTAATAATAATAACTTATTTTAAAGATATTTCTAGAAAACAAAGTTCAAAAGCGACTGAAGTTTAAAATTATATCAAAAATGAGCCGTACTTCAGAATCATTTTCTGGAAATTCGTGTTCTTTTTCTCTCTTTTAAATACTGTTTTTAAACATAATAATGCATACAAAGACTGCGTTCTGATTATTTATTTATTTATCATTATTTACTTATTAGATTATAACTATATAAATATTTTCCATTAAGAAAAATATCACAGTAACAATTTAAGTGCGTCTAAGTGAAATTAACGTCACCATTAGATTCCATCTTAAATTATTTAAATTCTAATTTTGAAAACAAACACTTATATTGTAACGAATTCAAAAGATATATTAGGAAATAAATATTTAAATGGCTTCTAGTTAACAAACTTTCTTTTATTTATGCAGATCGAAGTTCAAAACTAAAAAAAATGATTCTGAAAAGAACATTTTGTGGAATCGTTTGCAGAAAAACCTCGTGTTCTTTTTCAAATTTTATAGCATTATTTTTAAATAAAATAACACATACAAAGGCAAGATTAGGAGTAAATCATTTCACAGCAATTTGCTGTTGTTGTAGTTCATTTACGTCACACTAGAGCTGCACAATGGGCTATTGGCGACGGTCTGGGAAACATCCCTGAGGAAGATCTGAAGATATGTCATCACAATTTTGATCTTCTGCAGGGGGGATGGTACCCCCTCTTCGGTTGCCCGACGACCTGCACGCGAAGTCGAGCACTTTACGGTAGAACAGTTTAACGAGGACCAATACCGCACACCCTCGGTCCCTACGCAGACTGATCCCATTTCACAGCAATGGTTTGTGTTTTATGCATTATTTTAAAACAATTTTAGCCTACCACACTAAACATTGCGACATGATCGTTTTTTAATTTAGTTTTATCATTGCAATTCCTAAAAATGAATTTGATCACTGCCAACGCAATATTATTTACTAAGGCTATTTTGTAGTATTATTATATCTTTGATTTGACGTAAAAATATTTTTTTTTCGTATTTAGCACCACTGCAGACACGAGCGTCTGTGGTTATGACGTACCCAAGCATACAATTGTAATTGCTAACTTTTGGGCTTTACATCATAATCCTGAACACTGGGAAAATCCTGAAGATTTTATCCCTGAAAGATTTCTTGCCTCGGACAAGAAAAGTGTTGTAAAACCCACTCATTATATGCCTTTCTCCATTGGTGAGTTAAATAATAATACATTTAAAGTCATTTACTAATGAATAATTGAAATAAAATTTTTAAGAAAAATTAAAAGCTGCGTATTCCAAGTCGAATAAAAAGAAAAAAAATATTTTTTTAAAGTCAGACTTAAGTAAAAGATAGGGCACATAATTTTAAATCAAGTAATTTCTCACGGCTTCAGTTTCTTCTTTAGTTTCGGGAATATTTAGTAATAAATTGTTTATTGTTGGTTTATTAAGACTATTTGCAGGCGCATATACTCATGCTCATATATCAATTTTATGTTATAACTAGGGGGCTATTCACTTAAAATATATGTACTGAAAAAATTCTTGTTTGCTTGTGCCCACTTCCCACGTCCAACTATCCCTTATACTTATTTTTCTATTGAGATCTATTAGTGAGCATAAATAGTTTTTGTAAGTAATCATTTTTCAAAATAGCATTAAAAATTAAAAGTATAATATTATGACAAATATGGCGAGTTCACAACTATAATTTAATATTTTTCACTTCAAAACGGTACAGATATATTAAATACAATTTAGGTATGCATCACATTGTGCAAGAAGCTGATAGTTAAGCTCTAAATCATTTAACGAATCTCTTCAACTGTAATTTATAATAGTATATTAATGTAAGGTGCACAAATAATAATTGTAAAATAGTTAATAAGATTAGACACCAATTTAAATAACTTCACCTTAAGCGTAGCGTTATAATAAAAATAAAAAAAGCAATTCTCTTAATTTTAAACAATTTATTTAGAAAACAATCAAAATCAAGTAGTAATAGCATTACAGGTAAACACCTTTAAATTAGGAATGCGAAAATATTATCAGAAAATTTTGTGAATTTTATTAATTTTACGTTTCTGTCAACCAAAACAAAATGGAAATCAATGTGGGTAAATTGGATCCTACAATGTGATTTTCCGGCCAATAAAAATACATCCACAACAATTTAAAACTGTGTTAGACCATTATGTTTTTTTGTTCTATAGTATTAAATTTTTTTTCCACTCCCAGAAATTATACAATTTCTAATTTCTATAACATTTCAATACCTTATACATTATTAATATAGTTTTCGCTGCACTTATAATTTTTTTTATCAATCCTTTTTACAAAATGGTTATGAAAGGAAGTATTATTAATGAAATTTAAGATTAAAAATCCGTTTAAAAAAACCTATGTTTAAAAGACTTATATCCTGATGCGTAATGCAATTATGTAGTTTACCGTCACAAATTTTAAATTATTATTTTATTTATAAAATATTAAACCACATTAAACATTTGCTTTATGCATTTATTCTTTATTTAGGTAAAAGATCTTGTCCCGGGGAGGGAATGGCGAATATGGAAATCTTTCTATATTTCGTCTCAATACTACAAAAATTCAACATTCAACTACCTCAAGGAGAGAAATCAAGTTTTGATGCAGAATTATTTATTACATATAAATTGAAACCTCATAAGCTTTGTTTCATTTCTAGGCATTGAAGACGCCAATACACGCATACAATTTTATTGATTCTTTTACACTGTATTTTTATGAATGAATATTCACTTATGTAAAAAATATTATATAAATGATTTTATTAATTTGTATAGCACAATAAAAATATACCTATAATTATGTGTTTATGCTTGTTTTATTTTATAATGTGCTTTTTTGAAATAAAATGCGTCACAACTTCAAAATAAATTGGAAAAATTCGTGTTAGAAAGTATGCAACTGAATAATTTTTGATAAACTTGATTTGAGATTTAAAAGAAAAAATACCTTTTTACCATAATGAATCAGTTTATAAAATATATATAGAGGAGTTTTCTGTATCAAAAATAAATTTGAAACAAGGAAATATAAAAAATCATTTCGAGTTTTTAATAATAATGGCATAGATGATTTAAATGATAAGAATCACTTGAATTTTGCGTATTAATTATTATGTAATAAATTTTTATGTATATATATTTGATTCTTTCGTTATAAAACTTAAAAAAATTTTAAATACATTTTCAGCTTTACATTTTTTTTCACCTTGCAGGTGCGGTTTTTACAAATATCACACAGGAAATTTGTTTAAACTTCATTAATTTGTAGTAGAACCTGCACGGAACGTTCTTTTTACTCAAATCATTTTCTCTGATTCACAATGATTTTAATTAATCATATTTTATTAACGATTTTTTCCTTCACTTAATGATTTGTGACTCCCAAAGTAATTAATTTATAATTATTATTATTTAATTAATTTATAATAGTAAATTAATTTTAAAAATTAATTTTGCTTTAAAAAAATAGTAAATAAAAGAAACAAAAAATTATAAAAATAATTTTGCAACCACACTTACTACTTACCAAGCAACCACTTAGTGATGAAAAGTCAAGTATCTAGATTAATGCTGCTGTTTTTAAAAGCTGCACAAAAATGTTATTGGTCTAACAGTCCCGAATAGAACAGAATTGTTTGGTATTGTGCTATTCAGCCTACCGTTTTTTAAAAGTTATATTCATACAAAAGAAAAAATAGAGCCTGATAATTTTTTAATCAAATACTTAATTTTTTATTTCTACATTATTATCATCTTCATTATTATTTTATTATAGAAGAAAGGAAAAAATCTTGGAATCTTAGCCACTTCCCCACTAGCTAGATCACGCAAGTCTTTACTAAAACTCGGTGCCTTCTTCACAAAAAAAGTTACAATCGTTACGGTTACAAACAGAATGTATACCATCACTCAAAACCATGACCACTTTCTGACTAGCCGATTTAGTGTGCGCAAATTATCAGTTGAAAGAGATTTTAGAATCCCAATGATTAAGAACTGAAGAACCATTGTCACCCGGAGGGTCGCTTAGAAATCTCTTCAAAATAAAGCCTTGTTGTGTTAATGATTATGGTGAATACATGTTTTAATTACTTCCTGACCACTAAAGCCGCAGTTTCTACTGCTAAATCATAGTCAAACTGAATTTAATATAAAGAGACATTCAATCTAATTAAACCGGACAATTTTACCAACTGCAGCTCTGTATCTGATACAAATACTAGATTTAATTGCTTACTAAATACTGCAAGCAATTTTCACCCCATTTTATAGCCAAACAAATTGATAAAAATTTCCCGATGTTAGCAAACTAACAGACACAGAACTAAAAAATAATAAATTAAAAATCTATCTGTTTCAAGTATATTAAAAAGGGGATAATAATTTCAATTTTGACAGAGATAAACGGTAAAACGTAGGAACAATCATTCTCGTTAATAACTTCTATCACTTCCGAAGCTCCGCCCCCCTCAAGTTCTTCAAAATTGATGAGCCCTACATTATTCATTTCATGCTTGACAAAAATGAACATATCTTTTTATTAGCGTATTTGAAAAACGTAGTAAACATAGCGCACTTGAACGTTTCATTTATTTCACTATTTTCCCCGATTACTACCAATTTAAAATACCATCTAATGATTAAAGTAATAATCCCAAGAAATAGAAGATGTAGTATATTACTTGATTAAAAACTTCAATGACTTCAAAAATATAAAACTAGAAATAACAGTCGACATGTTTCAAGCGCTCAGAAACAGGCAGCCATTTTCAAAACTTGCCAAACGTGAATGAGAAGAAACCAAAATGATTTGAAATATAAAACGTAAAATTGCCAAAGTAAAATGAAAAAATAAAGGTGAGAAACAAAACTTGAAAAACCACAGCAGCCAAGAGAGAAAAAAGCAGAACAAGAAGAACCACAGTGGCCGAGAGAGGCAAAATAAGGGTAAAATGCATTTCCACGCACTATGGAGAGTTTGTTGAATGCAATGGTATTTCCAATTTGTATATTTTTTGAAGCGAATGAAGTTTTTAATGAAGTAACATCTAATCCTAAGCAGAAAAATAACTTCGGCCCTCATTGGACCAATATTCATGAATCTTGGCTGAGTTCAAAGGGCCTTTATTTTTCCAATTTTGGCCTTATATAGAATTTTCCCATTCACCCGATATTTTACAGCCATTTTACAACCGATAACGGTCCAATATACAATTGTCAGATTCACCCGATATTTTACAGCCATTTTACAACCGATAACAGTTCAATATACAAATGTCAGATTCACCCGATATTTTATATCCATTATTTAGCCAATGTAGATTCTATATTGGCCAATGTAGGACCATTCTAAAACCAGTATTAAAAAATCTAGACATCCTAAAATTGGTTCCTCGGTGCATATTCTTATAGAAGCCATATCGAGCTAATTTTGAACTCAACTGTAGCCAAGGTAAAATTTGCTATGGATGACTAGTTGAATTTTTATTAATAAAGAAAGGGAAAGAACAAAAACTAATTGTAAATTCTAAGAATGATGTTTCTGAGATTTTTCAATGTTCCACTATTCTCTAATTATTGCTAGCGGGATCTTCTTTAAAATCCATTTATGCTCTACCGACCATGTAAAGAAAGAGCTAACCGACTGACCTAATAAAATCATAGGCCTTGACATTGAATCGCTTCTAAAGATGCATTTAGAGCTTAGAAACGAAGGAGTATTATCTATTTTAGTTATTTTAGTAATTTATAAATTAGTTTTATCTTTAATATCTAATTAACATTTTTTTGTGATTAAATTTGTTCATATCTAATGCTGATTTCTCATATAGTTGAAAGAACGTACACAGTTTTATTGATCGCAATTTTGTGTATGCCATGTGTATCAAGTTTGACATTAAGTTTTATCCAAAATGGGAGAACATCAACTCTCAATTACTCCAGAAATGGACTGACAAGTGAGTATGAATTAATGGAGTATTAATTAGTTTTATTATTGATGATTTATTAAAAAATAATTCGAGTAAGCTTGTTTGTATCTGATGCTGGTTTAAAAATATGTTAAAAGAAAGTAGACAGTTTTTCTGGTCGCAATTTTGTACATGACGTGAGTATCAAATTTGTCGTTACATTTTATTCAAAATGAGAGCCTGAACTGACAAGAACAAATATAATATTTCATAACCCTACTTTTGAATCCATAACCCTTAAATCAACCCCAATTTTTTGACATCTTTGATCCTACAAAAAGACATCAAAAACATCAAAAAAAAGTATGCGAAGCGTTACTTATCAATACGATAAATTTTTATACTAACTATAATCTCGAATAGAATGTTTATACTTAGTAGTCATTCACTAGAATTTATGAGGCACTAAACAAGACATTAAACGGGGCCCTTCAAACATTTTTTTTTTTTTTTTGCGGGTCTATCACTTTGTACTCTGTTTGATTTTTACCCAACTTATAAAATTTATTATATGATTCCTTTTTCGAATTTCATTTATAAAAACAAACAATATAAATGGGGTTTTTTTATTTTTGTTATTATCAATTTTATTTTCAAATTTAGTTTTTTTTTTTAGTTTATATCCTTGATTTATCAAAAGTTAGGCTTTATAATTTAATAATTTTAGATGCAAGAACACTGCTTAAAAAGTCAAGTAAAAATTTTAAATATATCTTATTTTCTACTTTTGTGATTTTGATTTTCATTAATTAAAATATGAAAACAACTGCCTTTAGTTGCTATGCCTAAGTCTATCAGGCAGTGTATCTATAAAACTGAAATAGAAAAAATAGTTTTCGATGACAAGAATAAAATAAAAATAAAATAATAAGTTATAACTTAATAATTACTGAAATAAATCTTTTTTTTTATTTCGATATCTCTGGACTATGGCCCTAGAATTCTAAAAACACAATGCCGGGGCAAAAACCCGGCCTGCACCAACATTACGATTGCTCTGTGTGTGAATGCTCTGAATTTATTAATTTTTATATTATTCTGGTATCTAACTTAAAGATTTCAGTTCATGTAGTGGGAGTTTATTTGAAATCTTCTTTGTTTAAAATGCATTATTATCATTATTATTATTATTCAAAATTAATCATCTCATTTGGTAACTGTCTTATCAAACGGCCCTGCGATCAGTTTAATAATTTTCATGAATTTCTTGCGTACACTGTTTAAAAAAAACTATTAAATTTACGGAAAAAAACTGCAAGCTGATGTGGTAGTATAAAACAGTTTATTTCACAGAAAAACGCTGTTATTTAAAAACAGCCACCTCTGTTTTTTATGCAGAAAAGAACTGTTATTTAAACATATTCTGTTATTTTTAGAAACTCTGTTATTTTAACAAAAAATCTCTGTAATTTTAGAAGAAAAATTTTATATTCTAACAAAAACAAGAAGAAGAAAAACTTTAAAATAACTAATAATCTAACATTGCAAGCCTAGAGCAGATTTCGAATAAACAGTCGAAGTCGGAATTCCAGCCTATCCACCTCATCTGGAGACAGACGCTCTGTCATCCGAACCTCAGCAATTCCAGTTACGAAAAAAAAATCTTAAACCTGTTTTTACCGTAAAAATCTTGTTAAAATCTTATTGAAAAACGATTGATCTATAGTGGCCTAACCCATATTAAAATCTCTGGCAACTTAAGTAACCAAAAGATTATATCTAAAGATAGATAAGATAATAATCAGGTAGAGTATTAATTTGGCAATAAAATCGAATTACAATTTCCTTTATACGATGTTAAAAACCATGAAATAATTGCTGGAAAGTAAGTAAAAATAAGTGAAAAATTATTTGAAGAAAGGTAGTTGTCTTACGGTAACAAAACTGCATGGCAAAATTAGAATTTGATCTGACGGTTTTAATCCGTTTTTGTTTAAAAGAAAAACAGAGAAAAAAAATTTGTGAACAAAACAGCTTTAAACTATCGTATAAACGGAGAAGTCCGTGAAAAAATTGGAATTTTTAGTTATTTTTACAGTGTACCAATATTTTTCGTAACTGGTTTTAACTGAATTTTGCATTGAAACCATAAATTTTACGTTAAATTCGAAAGTTAAAGATTTATTTTATAATTTCTTCAGTTAAAAAATACATAGGACGTTAAATAAAGTAAAACAGTAGACATTGAAATTATTTTTTTGTAATAACTTTTAAAAAGGAGACAAAATTTGTGTTTTTAAGCATTTTTATTTAAAATTCACAAGCTTAACATTTAGTGCTTAGTTTGCTATACGAAAACCATGTAGTTAAAATTAAAAATAAAACCTTACGGACGTTAACTACTTTTATCATTGTTTTACTTTCAACAATAAAAATTAATTATATATATTTTACAGCCATTAATATACGTGCTACAATTCTTTTTCAAACAACTCAAAAGTCAGAATGTGATAACATAGAAAATAAATCCAGTGGAAAAGATAAAATTGATGAATTTCGCCCTTCGATTCACAGTTTAGTTGCTCAGCAAAAATGCTTTGTTATTGGATAAATAAAAGAGAAAGTTTATCTAATAAAAAACAGATGAATTCATGAGATAAGAAATGAATAAATAAACTGTAAACAAAATCAATGATTTCGCATAACGCATGAACATTGAATTTATATAATTTAGGAAAATTAATTTAAGCCATATTCAGTATTAAAATAATGCACAGTAAGAGCTTACTGTGCATTGGAGTGTAATTAACTTCCTATGAGAGTTAACCACACAGATTCGTACTTAATTATCAAAAATTATCAACTTTGTTAATTACTTAATTATCATCTTTGTTAATTACTTAATTATCATCTTTGTTAATTACTTAACTATCATCTTTGTTAATTACTTAATTATCATCTTTGTTAATTACTTAATTATCATCTCTGTTAATTACTTAATTATCATATTTGTTAATTACTTAATTATCATCTTTGTTAATTACTTAATTATCAAAATTCGTACTTAATTATCGTTTTTAATTGTCAAAAATTCGAGTCACCTACTAACGTACGTAGTGCTTTAAAGAAAATGAATAATGGAAATTTAGTGTATTTAATTGTTTTAAAAAAAACAGGTTTTACAGTAAATATTTAAGCAAAAAAAGAACTTTATAATATTTCTAAAAATGCGTATATTCATTTTTGCAATATTTTTAATGTTATGAACTAAATTTTAGCTAGTTAATAAACAAAAAAAAATCTGCTTTAATTACCGTACAATATAGCAATGGCATTTCTGGTAAAAAAAAAAATATTCGTTTTGACAATGAAAACAAAATTAATGGTATTTTAACCATTCACTTAGTAATTTTTTCGCTCACGTGGAAATAATTTACCGGAAATTTTGGATTTCAAAATTACAGTTCTTATTACACACATTTAGTAAAAAATACAAAACTGAAAAGTAAAGTTTGCTGAACAAATGATTTCTATGTTATGCTCTATTGTACTTAGATGCTCTATTATACTAATAAACCTCCCATAATAATATTATCAAATTTTATCACATGTTATAAATCCACATTTTATTGTTCCAAACCAAAAGGCTCGTTAAAAATTACCGAGCCTTTTAGTGTTCTCATAGAGCCAGAAACACGGTAAATTTTACCATATTCTGGTTTGACCTATTTTTCTAAGTATGGTGGACAAAATCATAATAAATCAACTTTGTTTAATAAAGTTAAAAACAATAATATATTCATTTTGTTCCCAACATACTTTTTTTTTCTCAAAGTAAACTAAATTGTCAGAAATCAAATTATTATATGCCTGATATCAGTGAATTTCTTTTTACTAACTAAATCGTGTTATACGATTTGTTTCAAACTTTCACTACCTGAATTGTATTGGTGTGTAGTTTTCATTGCACATAGAATTTTTTTTTTAAATTAACAAAATGGCAGCAGATGAAACAAAAATGCCCTAAAAATCGGAACTTGACTTTTAATTATTCAAAAATTTAAATACAAACTATATTGACTGTATACACACTGAGAAATTTAAGGAGAGAAAAGTTATGTTATCTGAAAAAGTTATGTCAGTGAAATTTTGAAAAACGTAATTTTGAAAAACTCAATTAGAAAAGAAAATTTATCACTTGTGAAAGTTAATTTAATCTGCGAAACGCAGAGATATATTTTAAACTTTTAGGATTATGCTATCACAATGTGCCTTATCGATTCATGCAAAAATAAAAATATTATTTTTTCTAAGGAAAAAATTCTGCTTTACTGATTGCCTTAATAAAACTGAAAGTTGAATCACATTGCTATTCACATTAATCCTTTTTAAAATTGATTACATGAAACAATGATTTAACCTGAACGAAAATATGATTCAACTTAAAATTTGCTACAAATTAGTGGCAAGTTTTTGCAATAGTAATATACCTTAATATTGGTTCAAAGAACCAATACTAAGATTCAATACAGAACTGATTTTTTGAGCTATAATTATATACTCTAAACCAAATTATTTAAAACTATGACATTTATTTTTTTTCCTTGTTGCTTACAGTGAGCTAACACTGTAACGGCTTAAAAGAACACATTATTTTCAAAATATTTTTTATCATTCAAAAATAGAATAATGATACAGATTCAGATTTTGTAGGCATAATAATTTACAAAATTTTTACGTAAAAATTATTACAAACTAAAAACTACTATCATTTTTTTCAATAGACTAACCACTTATGGTTATTGTTCTATTACTTTGTATACTTGTACTTTGTACCAGAACCCTGCTAATTAAGTTTAAAGTTCTATTTTTATTTAACTTTACTCACGTAGACTAATATTGTTCTTTTTATGCCTTTCCACATAAGAACGTAAGTGCGTGACAACAATACAAATTTAAAAATACAATTTTCGACAACAAAGCAAATTTAACAATTATAGTTACGAATTGTTTCTACAATAAACACGTAATAGTTACAAATATGCTTCAACAATACAAAATTTTTATATATAATTACAAATTTTTCCATGATATAGATACTAATTTGACACAACAATGCAAATTTTTCTAGAATATTTACGAATTCTTTCAGCAATATGTACGTAATAAGCACGAGTTTGATACAACAATGCAAATTTTTCTAGAATATTTACAAATTCTTTCAGCAATATGTACGTAATAAGCACGAGTTTGATACAACAATACAAATTACAACTACAAACTTTTACAACAATGAATACGTAATAGTTTCAAATTTACTTTATAATTTCAGTTAGTTTCAATGACAAAGGAAAATGCATGCCGGACATAGGATGTTTCAGTGCTGGGGAACCATTCTTCCATCCTGTATACAGACCAGTCAGTCTCCTTCCTCAAAACAGAAACGAAGTTGGCACAGTTTTCATGCTTTTCACTCGTAAGAATCCTCACTACTTCCAGTTACTAAGATCTGGTGATCTGAATAGCATTTTGAAGTCTAATTTTTTATTAGAGACAGAAACGAAAATAATCGTCCATGGATATATGGACAGCATAAAAGTTTCTACATGGATGCAGGTACTACATTACATTTCATAATAATTCAATACAATATACACTCATAGATTCCGGTTGTCCCAAAGATGACAGATGAATTTTGAAAATCAATAATAAAAAAAAAAGAACGGAACAATGATCTGTGGCAGTATGTTTGGGAAACTACGTTTTGTTATATTTGCTTTATGGAGACATATAACAGTACCTAAAAATGTGTCTCTCATTAATTTGAATTGCGTTGTGAATTTGAATAACTAGTTAGTGGAGAAAAATAATTAATATTCCTTGATAATTACTCATCACTATCGAACCGTTTCATTAATTTAATTATGAAATTAATTAAGAAAAAATTAGAATTAACAATTTACTATTCTAGTTCAAGTCTAAATCAACACGTGTGGATCGACACGTGCTTCACTAATACTTAAATCTAATTGCATCTAGGCTTAGATTTCTTAATAAAATTATTTATCTTGATTTAATATTTTATTATTTTTATGCAATCAAAGTAATTCAAGCATTTTCCTCCAAATAAATTATTTAAGCTAATCTAAAATCAGGTTCGAGCCTGTCAGGAAAATATTCAAATATATAACTAAAAGCTACTAAAATCACAATAACTGCCTAAAGTGAATCAATTAATAACTGCTAATAAATGAGAGTTAAGTTTATATAAAATTACAATATTTATTGAAAATCATATTAATCATGTTCAGCTCAAACAATTAAGTATAACATTCCTCATGTGGTTTAACATTCTAAAACAATTAAGTATAACATTCCTCATGTGGTTTAACATTCTAATTTAAACATGACAATGAAAATCATTACTAATCATTTTAATACAATAAAAAAAGATTCTCTGGAGCAGGGAAAGATAAAAAAAAATATTAAGTTTTCATTTCATATTAAGTTAAATTAGCGCGAGCACGTGGCACAGCTACCACGAAGTTAAGTTTAATTATTAGAATTACTTATTTGATAGGATCCTACGGATTTAATAAATAAAAAAAAATAAATTAGTTTATTTAAATTTAGCGTTAAACGAAGCAATATGAAAAGAAATAGGAAAACTTATCGTGATGTCCATCGGGAGATAGGGACGCGTCCGTCCCGCCGCGTTAACTTGATTCGGACCCTGCAGGCGCCAGTCACGACCATCACCTCGGGAAGCTAAGAGAGAGAAAAAAACTCTCCCTTCGTCGATCGCGCGCCACACCGTCCACGCTGCACAGGTTCGATGACGACATTATTTCGTCACAGCTATAGCTACTACCTATTGGTGGTTCGCTCGTACGTCAGAGCGGGAAAAAGAGAACTTGAAAACAGGGAATAAATAATTAATGAAAGGGATTTAGGGAAAACAAACATTACCTGCTCCAGGTTGAAATAATACCTTAACCTGCTTCCAGAGATTTAATACCCTAATATAATACATAGTTTTTCTTCATTTCCAAAATACTTGATTATACATTCACATACATTATGATGTCTGGCTTTTAAAGCAAAGCCCAGCGATATAACAGTTTCATCCCCTAAAATTGCACACTTAATTAAACTTCCCACCAATAGCTGGCGCTGCATAATAGGAATAACTATGCATCTAAGCAATACAAATTTTTTAACAGTGATTTTTAAAATATTTTATTTTTATGTAGTTTTATGTGAAATTTGAATGTAGTGATTGTAAAAATTTTGTAAATAAGAATTTGTTTAAAAAATAAACAAAAAAAATTCAGAACAGCACCTTAATTGCATTCATCAGCAGCATTTTCATATCGATTTTAGTTATTCTATTCTGCAGTGCCATCTGTTGGTGAGAAGATTAATTTGATGTGCATTTTGGTGCAAAGAAAAAAACAATAGTTTCTCAAAAGTGATGCAGTTAACCATACTTTCTTATAGCGTTGCGTTTTTTTTTTTTCCTTCTTTTTTTTCTATCTATTTTCAAGATCCATCAGTCTTGATAGAACACCCAATATCCATGCAAATTTGAACCATAATACTGCGTAAAATTTACAACAATTTTAATTGAAGTGATAAATTTAACCATGCGTTTAGTTAAGTTTAACCATAGTAACGTAAAATCAAATTTAAAGAGGGTTGATTTTTAATGATAATATGGTACAATTTGAAACCGAATTAAGGTTTTAGTTTAATTGAAGAATATTTTGGTTTAGCTCCTTCCAAAATCTCTAACCGTGCACAGAGGAGGAAGAATATTTTAAATTATTTCTCCCTTATTGAACGATTTCCGCTGTTCAGTGAATTTAGACTTCTTAGATTAGTGCTGGATGTATAAATGTGACAGAAAAGCGCTTTCAGACTCATAGACACTTTCAGAAAAATCAATTTTGCGTTATATTATAATAGTGGTACCTTGAACGCGCAATATTTATCTTGCAAATTTGCTCCAACCTAGATAAGGTGATAATTTGAACCTCCTTTACATTCAAGCTGAAACACAGTATCATGTGATCAAATAGAAGATTTCATTTTCTTGATAATATGTCATAAAATTATAGCATTTTTACGCTACTATGGCTCAATGAGATCCGAAATTTCACGGGGAAAATTTAATCCAAACTAATCCACTTCCAAAATTTTTATGGAAAAAAAAGAGCTATATATTTATTTATTTTCTTAATCATGATCCGATAGTCATTTTTTTCTCATAATCATCAATACTTAAAAATCTCAGGGCACATTTGCACTACAATATCGGGCAGAATTGTTGCAATAAGCAACACTGTAATAAGTTAAAAGAAGAAAATAATCGAAAATTTGAAGGGCTAAAAATCGGAGAAAAAAATCCCATAATTTTTGCAACAAAAACCAAAATATACGATATTTTAACCATTTATTTTATTTTTTCCCGTTCCTATAGTAACGTTTTACCAAAATTGTTGGTTTTTAAACTAGTAGTTCTTATTACCACACATTCAGTGAAACATACAAAACTGAAAAGTAAATTTAACCGAATAAAAGGTTTTTTATTTCATGCTCTAAGGCATCCCAATAAAATTACCAGATTTTATCTCATTTTATGTAACCATATTTCATTGTTAATTTTATAAAAATTATTACGAAAGCGCTTCGGTAAAAATTACCGTGGTTGTTGGTGTTCTCATAGAACCAGAGACATAGTAAATTTTACCATATTCTGGTTGCTTTGATCATACTTTTCATTCTCAATACTCGATACTGTGGTTCGAAATAACAAAAAATTGTTCAACTTTGCACCAACTTTTCTGAATTTCCTTACTGAACTAGGTATGTCTTCATATTTTACCTCTTTATTTCAGGACATGAAAGATGCTCTTTTAAACTATGATGACATAAATGTGATAATAGTTGATTGGAGTAAATCAAATAATATACCATTCGCTCTGGCTGTTGCAAATACTAGAGTAGTAGGCGCTGAAATTTCACTTCTAGTCAATTTTCTCCAAGTAAACCTTTATTTCTTTTTTACAATGTTTTCATAAGTATCATTAACATTTCCTGATAAAATATACACTATCTGGAAGAAAGTGACGGAACACGATCCTGTAACGACATAAACCCATATTTATTAAAATTAATGGGAGGTAGGGCCTCCTTTGGCTGCGATTACATCTGCAACCCTTCTGGGCATACTTTCCACTAAATTAGCCATAGTGGCAAGAGGAATTTCCTTCCGAATGTTTAACAGGAAGTTCCATTGTTCATGCTTGCTTTTGGGGAGAGGGGTGCAGGCCCTCAACCGACGGTCCAATTCGTCCCAGAGAGTCTCTAAGTCTTGTAGCGACACAAAACACGTGAAACACTTCATTTTGAGCAGTTACGGTGGCGGGATATCTCCCTAATTGACACATTGACAAGATGTAATCCAACTAACACACCTTTCTCGAACTCAGACAACTCTTTCCGTGGCAGCATCTTGACAAAAACAAATCTAGTCGACTCCACAGAGTATTTATGGGATATGGCTGACACGTGATACCTATTATTGCGCATGTGTCAGCTGTTATTGTCGACTTTTCTATTTTTCGAGGGGTGTGCCGTCTCTTTCTTCCAGATAGTGTAGTTGTTTGATTCTTTTTATAAAAAATATAATATTCAGATACAGAGATTATAAAAGTGTGAAATAAATTATTAAATTAAAAATGAAAACGAATTCTCTGCTTTAACGTTATGCAAAGCAAGCAAACAGCGGTGTGGTAAGGTCTGTTGACACCCGGGGCGGAGTTTAAACTTGTCAACCCTTTGTCCATTAAAATTTAAAATGATTTTTTTTTCTTTGGGTTTATATATAAGAATGAAATATTACCTATTTTCTAAAGAATTTTGTACACAGAGTAAATAAATTTTGGTAAAATTACCGCACTGTCAATGTCATTTCTGGCAACAACAAGAAAAATCTGATTATAAAACCAAAATATATGATAACCATTCACTTGGTAATTTTTTTGTTCATATTGTAACGGTTCACCGAAAATTTTGGTTTTTAAAATTATAATTATTATTATCACACATTTATTGAAAAAGTACAAAGCTGAAAAGTAAATTTAACTGCAAAAAAATGGTTTTAATGCCATGCTCTATGAAGTAGCATTATAAAATTACTAAATTTTATCACCTATTTTAAAACCATATTATAATGCTAATTTTACCAAAATCATTACCAAAGTGCTTCGATAAAAACTATCGTGCTTTTTGATGTTTCCATATGATAAGAAATACGTTAAATTGCTATATTCTGGTACTTTTGACCATACTTTTCTCTGTGTAGGAGTATTAAAAAAATGACTTTCCGTTTTACTAAGGATTTAGTATACTGTGCAATAGAAATTAACAATTTAAAGTAACTAGTGCAGAAAATAAATAAAAACAATAAAATAATGATAAAGTTGAAATAATATAATAGGAATTAAATTATTGTACTGTGGTATAAGCCAAAAATGTATCGCATAAAAAAGTATAAGCGTTTCGATACTTCGTACGCTATCTTTACAAATACAATAGGCATTTTAAAATATTTTTACTGTACGGATGAAAGTAGCATGTAAACGATATAAAAAATATAAGCGCTTCGATACTTCGTATGCCACCTTTTAGATCCTTTAGAGTTGATACCCGGGTACAGTGAAATTTAATTTAGTTTCAACCAAAATTTGACATAATTAATGCAAAAAATTCTACTTATCTGCTACATAACATGAAATTCTCGTCATCCCCTTGAGCTGGTACACCACTGTAAGCAAATAACAGAACTTGTAACAGAATTGTATCTATCGGTGCTTTAAATCAGAAAACAGTATTAAATTTATATGTAATCATATTTATATATAATCATATTCAATATAAATAAAATATGTCACATGAACAAACTATAAATTAAACATAAAATTTTTCTACAGCTTTTCTTGTACGAAAAGTTCATTTCAGTAACTATTCCCTTAACAGAATATTGCATTACGAATGGGGTGTTCTCTGATACCCACCTTTAACGTTTATTTTTGAAACTTTCGTTAAAAAATACGATTATTGCATACATTTTTGGCGTTTTCAGTCACAGGAGAGGAGAGGTGTCATCGAATAATTTTCAAAGTGATTCATTCTTAGTATACAATTAAAATAATCAAAGCAGTTTATTAGTACAATAAAATGGTATGGTGGTCCACCTGTTGTATGTACAGGGTAATTTAATACGTCGATTTCAAACTTGAAGGGCACATCATTAGAATTGAGAAGCTACTATTTGAAATAGTACTTTTGTTCATCTGAATTATCTTAAATTTAAGTTTTCTTATAATTGTCGATGGCTGTTTCCAAATAGGCCTATATTCAACTGTTTTAACGTCCTTTACTTGTAGAACTAACTCGCATAATTGGTTGCCAAAACGGTAAATTTTGATGAAAAAACTAAATCTGAAAGTATTTTAATTGCAAGGAAATTTAGGCAAATGAAAGTATCGATTGAAATGCTCACGAACAGCCAATACGAAATAGAAAAGAGCCCATAGTGGCATAAAATGACAATTCTGGTCATGAGCTGCTGAGGGATTTTCAATCCTATTGATGCGCCTTAGCTCCCCTCTAAGTTAGCAACTAATGTGTTAAGTCATCCTGTGTATTCGACCAATCCTGAAGATAAGAATATTTTTATTTTTCGCGTTGAACAATTGGCCCGTATAACGGATATACGGTTTTTAATGTTCAATGGTGTTGCTTTTCAATTGTGAACTTGACCCAAAGACAAAGTGGTGGGGAATGCTTCGTTAAGTACAATTCCTTTGTGATATTTTTAAGTAAAAATAAATTATTTGAATCATCACACGGATAGGAAATCCACGAAGCACTTCATGAAAAACTTTCTAAACGCACAAGCGATCCTAGAGTGAATTTGTCTAATAGAAAATAAGCTCTCTATTGGGAAATTCTATGCCAAAAATATTCAAAACATTTCATGCAGGATTCCTTTGGAGTGCCGCCGGAATCATGCCATATAATCGGCCATAGTCTGGGAACGGAAATTGCTGGATATGCCGGTGAAAGAATAAACAACCTTGGGCGTATAACAGGTGCGTGATTTCAATTAATCTCAAATGTATATCTCATTTAATTTCGTATTTCATCAATTTATTTATGAACTAATATCATTCACAATCTATCTATATTATAGCGCGAAAATTTAAAATTCACCTATTTTTTACAATTTTATTCCTTAGTACAAACGTAATTTCAGTCACTTAATTCCCAAAGCTATAAAAGCGAAAGAAAATTCTCTATTTTTCTTAAGTTAAATAGAGTTAAAAATAGGGCAAGAAATTTTAAAAAGCTTTTTTTTTTATTTCACGGTTCAACAAGTTTTGATAGAAACTTTTCATTCATATTTTTTATTTGTTTTTGAATTCAATTGTATGACAAAATTAAATTTGCTTATAAATTCAAAAGTGACTCGATCACCAGCTTTGGATAAAAAAAGATAGAAATCATAGGCAGTTTTTAGGAAGAGACTAGTGTCCTTTGAAAAACTGTCTTTCAAATAGGGAACAGCAAACTTGTTTCAAACTTCAGCTGCTTCATTTCAGATTGTCATTTGGTGCTTCATTTACAAATTGTACTTACTTATTCCCCATTAAATTCTCTTTGTATACAAATTGTACCTACTCATTCCCTATTAAAATCTACTTGCTTCAAACTATATAAAAATTGTACCTATTTTTCATCTTTAACTCTATTTGCTTTAAACTACATACAAAGTACATCTATTTATTTTCTATTAAACTCTACTTGATTTATACTGTATACTAATTATACCTATTTATTCCTTATTAAGCTTTACTTGCTTAAAAGTGAGTACAATACCTAATTATTCCCTATTAAACACTATTTGCTTGATACTGTATACAAATTATACCTATCTATGCCCTGTTAAACTTAATTGCTTCATAATTATACAAATTACACATATTAATATACAAATTATACCTATTTATTCCCTAAAAACTCAACTTGCTTTAAACTGAATACGAATTAAATCGAGTGGGCTTCATATTCTCGCCTTAAACTGAAAGGCAACTTGGATTCAAATACTTCATATAGAAATGTCTTTTGCATTGAATTTTAGAACGACAATTAAATGCAGACGATAATTTTTACTAACCATTTAGAATTATACTTCGTTAATGAAAAAAATCCATGTTTAATAAAATAATAAAAATATTGAATTATTTGCGATTAGGGAAATAAGTTTTTCAGGTATGAAATGTATTTGATCTAAAATGATTTTACTTTGAGATTGAAGAGTTGAAATTAACATAGCTTAAAAAATTAAAAAATATTACCCATTGGAGAAATGGGCGTTGTTCCAGATCTTTTATGTCTTTATACTTTTTGACTAGACCAACTTCACCATAATCATAAAAAGAGCTCTAGAAAAAATTATCTAACAGCAGCGGACGACACATGCGCACTGTTTACTACCACAGCTGAGAAGTGTGATGACGTCCAAATAAGGTGCGCACGCCATCAAACCCGAAACAACACCCATTTTGCCAATGGCTGAAAAATAATGAAATGTAAACAATAAAAAAAATCATTCTAAATTTAAGCTCTTGATCCTGCTGGTCCATACTTCAGAAATGTTTCTAAAGAAGTAAGACTGGATCCATCAGATGCTTTGTTCGTAGATGCAATCCATGCCCAGTCAAGTGACACAAATACTGAAAGTAAGATTTCTCTTTAATTCCTATTTTTGTTTATTCTTATGGGATTATTGTGATTTTTCTCAATATCTAGCTCAAGTTAAAATAGCCTACTTTTCATTTTTTCATTAAAACTATAGAAACATTTTTTTACAGACAATGAACAACAGACAAAAAACTGAAGCTATTTTGTTATTTCCAGTATGACATTGAGAATTTAGTGACTGTTACTGTAACTAAAATATTGATCTGGCATTATTAAAAACAATATTTTAAGAACAAACTTGGCAAATTTAATAATGATACATTTAAAAATTTGTCCAAGAAAAGAGGAATTGCCTAACTAATACAGAAAAATTAATAAGAAATTTAACAAGAAAGAAAATATTCCAAACAAAGAAATAAGGAATCATTGCTCAGAGACTATGTTTGCATAGATGTTCAAAAGCAACATAAACTCTTTTTAACACTTAACAGCTTAATATTGGCGATCGAAACGGGCTACAGGGGGCGTAGAGCAGAACTCTCTACCTATGGCAACACTTCGCATGCTTTCACTATTAGTGCGCAGCGAGTCATAGAAGTAGGAAGTACGTAGGTTTCTGTCTTGATTTTCAAATAGATTAAAATCTTTTAAGTTAGGAAACTATAAGGAACTGAAAACTACATTAAACATAGTTCTAAAAGAAAGCGTCATGGAAATTTTAAAAAATATTTTTAACAATTAAATTCGAAAAATATTAAGAAAAGGAAAAATATCGTAGTACATTCCTATACAACTGAAAAGAAGAGGAGAGGGAATGGCCAAAGGCACGGTAACCGGTCTTCTAAGGTGTATTCGAGCGTTGCGATCGCCTATTTATGATCTTTAGATTTCTAGAAGATGCGAGATTTTCAAGGTATTTTTTGATCTTTAAAAAATCTTAAATGTATGGGGTACAATGTACTTTAAATTTTTTTTAAACGCAATTATTTATAAATCAACTTATTTGCATGAAACAGTTTTATGGTAAACGAGATTCAGAACTGCATGCAAAATCTTTTTATTAGTGAAAATAACTCTGAAAATATGGACAAAAACAAAGAAAAAAGTGAAATTGCCGAAGAAAAAGTGAAATTGAAGTGCATTATCATATTCGTATTACCGAAACCCAATATACAGAATTCGTTGTTTATCCTGCAGATATTTGCGTTCTCTTGAAAGTTTTCGTAAAACAAAATGAAATCGTTTAATCTCTCATCTTAATTCCTTACGCAAATCAATCAATTACTGTATACAATATTAGTTGGACCCACGAACCATGAACTCAGACCATGAACTCAATTTTTCCAGATGTTGCTATTTTTGTCCACTTTACGTTCAATAATCAAACAAATTACATATTTTTATTTTTCATTTGTAATTATTTGTGTTTTACTCTATTTAGACATTTTTTTATTATTATTTTTTAAAGCTCCAAGCAGACTGCAGCAAACAGGTCACATAGATTTCTATCCTAATGGAGGTGAAAACCAACCTGGTTGTCCAGCACCCGTTGTAAATACGTACAATAATAGGGGTGTTTTAGAAGGTAAAGTTCTTTCAATCCTACAGGTCTGTATATAAAAATAATATCTTATACCGAATATTCTTGGAAGGCCGCTTCGGATATTTATTTTGAACCATTGCCAACAATGGCTACTAAAGAATCGACGTGTAGTAAATTAAATATAATAATTAAATAGAAATTATCAATTAATCTAAATTTTAAAAGCGGGCTCTCAACAGGATTGAATAACTATCAACCTTGGGGTTGAATAACTATCCTATACAATCACAGATCAATGTCTTAACCACTGCACCATTGAGGCGCACTGATTAATCTATACATTGCGAAAACCCATAAGCAAAAAAATAAAGTTTCAATTCTTTAAAATTTTTATAGAACTTTCATAGTGTTAATAACTTGTTTTTTTTTAACCACGTATATCATCCCATATGCAAACCCAGCGATATGTCATGTAATTCACAGCTCCCAATGAATTTTATTTTCAACAGAGTCTAAGAAAACCGAAAGAGTATATTCTATGTGGAGCTTCAAGAACACCCTGCATAAGCCATGACGTTCTAACGCACGTTAATATTGCTGTAGAATAATTTTTAGTAATACTGTATGATTACTTTTAAGTCTGACACCAGACATGTGTTTGTGCTTCACAATATTTGTTCTTAAGAATGTTTGTACTAAATGATACTGTTTAAGGCGCAATTGCATTGTTTGAAATTATTTTAATAGTTTGTAGAACGTCAATATTACTGTAAAATAATTTTTAGTAATACTGTATGATTACTTTTAGATCTGACATGAGACATGTGTTTGTACTTCACGATATTTGTTCTTAACAATGTTGGTACGGACGATATTGTTTAAGGTATTGCATTGCTTAAAATTGTTTTAATAGTTGTAAATCAATAACAGATCTAGAAATAAAATATTTTTTCAAATAATTTTAATTCACCTCAAGTTAGACCTCACATGTAATGCATATATTGTGAGCAAGTTGAAAATTCTGACCCTTTTCAAATGTTACCAACATTTTGCAATGCGCCAGAGTATTTGAAAAAGTCTTCAGTATTTCCAAATTTGTTTGATATTTTTATTCTTATTACTATCAACTTATATCGCCAGGATAATTAGAAAATGTGTGAAGAATTCCTAAATTACACTCGTACCTTAAGGATATTGGCATTTATACATCTATCTAGTTTTTAAACCAAAACAGAATTTTGAACCTAGCTGTAAAATATCTACCCAGTTGGAGGCGCGATATAGCCAAGACTGGTTCTTGAGCCCAAAACCCAAACAACCAACCAATTCCTCAATTATACTGAACTTTGCATAGGCTTATTGCAATAAACCTTTAATAAGGCTTTTTAACCTAAACCTTCACAAGCTTATCCCAAATTGTCTGAAATAAGTCAAGCTAATTGAGTTATACACTATGCATTTCCTAATAGTTCTAAATGCATGCAAGCTCTCTGCAATCAGATTAAAAAGTATCAGGTAGAAAAGAAAATACTGGAGACTTTTAGAATGATCATTTAGCCAGGAGCTTTCAGGCTAAGATATTCAATTAGGCTATGTATATAGATATATCTATATATTTATGTGACTTTTCTGTTTCTTTTAGGAACTAGGAATTTATTTGTCTGCGATCATTACAGGGTCATAGATTATTTCCTGGCTACTATTCCTAACCATTATGGATGCCAACCCATAGGAATTGCATGCGATTCTTGGAGCAAGTTTATAAATGGCCAATGCTCAGATTGTTTGGCGGACGGAAGCCAGTGTTCTGTAATGGGTTTTCAATCTGATATAAAGAAGTTACTCATTAGCAGACACCCGCCAAAAAAGTTTTTTTTATATACCAATGCTCTGCCTCCTTTCTGTGGTACGTCTGAAGCAAAAAAAAATTAAAATTTTACTCAAAAAGAATTCTTGATGCTTAATTGATACCATTAAAATTTTTTTTTTTTTAAATTTAAACACTGATTTTATTATTCGAAAATATTGCAATTTTTGAGCAAAAAATCTCAAAAGTGGTGATAGTTAGGTACTTTATCTACGTCGCACTAGAGCTGCACAATAGGCTTTAGCAAATGTCTGAGAAGCATCCCTGCGGATGATTCAAACAAACATGCCATTACAGTTTTGATCCTCAACAGAGGGGATGGGTCCGCCGCTTTGATATCATGAAGACCTGTGCGCAAAGTCGAGAACTTTACGGTAGAAGGTATGGTTACAATCACTAAGCAAGCTAATCAAAGTGGTCACCCAATAGCAGCCAGTGATGCTTGACTTCGTTGTTCTGACTTCGTTACGATCAGTCAGTCCACTGTGGGATCAAAGGCGGTGAACCAGAACACTCCTGGTTCACTAAAATTTCAATCAAGTTCATACTCAATGAAAATGGTAAAACCAAATGAATAATAAACTTGACAGTTGTTGTTGTTGTTAATTTACGTCGCACTAGAGCTTGCACAATTGGCTATTGGCGACGGTCTGGGAAACATCCCGGAGGATGATCCGAAGGCATGCCATCACAATTTTGATCCTCTGCGGAGGGGTAAACTTGACAGTATTGGAATAATTATGATCGAGTATCTACAAAAGAAAATTCAGTATTATCAACGTTTTGGTGTTTTTACCCAACATGAGAACTATTGATTGAATTCAAATTTTGAATTCGTTCATCTATGGTTAAGAAAGAAAGACTAACCACGAAAAGGAAAGATATAAATAAAAATAAAAGTACATTAAGATAAACATAGATGTCTTATTCTTGATATTTATTATTATTTAATAATGAAGCATTTTGCAAAACTTAACATGGACATTAATGAGATAAGCGAACAGCGGTGAAATTTACGATTGAGGAATTTCGAACTATAAAGTTTTCAAATAAAAATAATGATAAATTTAAAAGAACCTTTGACTTTGCTAGAATCGAAAGAAAGTAATTCAAATATACCATGCATTTTAATATATTATAAACGGTTTTACTTAAAACATAACATGCATGTATATAGATACTACTAACTTATGCATAAACACATATAAATTATACTTATATTCATTGTATAATTCAAAATAATAACAATAATTTTTATTTAACAGCTCAACAGTATCATGTATCTGTAAAACTCAGAAATCAAGCAACTGTTCCAAAAATAGTTGGAGATATTGTAGTAATATTAAATGGTCGTTATGGAACAGTTCCAGTGAATGTAAATAAAAAGTAATTATTAGTTATATTATTTCTTCCAAATAAAGTTAATCATATCTTGCATACAAAAAATATCATGTTTTCTTTTTTGTAGAAACCCATTAGTTAGACCAGGTGCCGTATTCAAAACTATAGCAACGTCTAATGAAAACATAGATGTAAAAAGTGTTACATTCTACTGGTCTAGTTCTACCACACTGTCCACGGGGAACCTACGAATTGATATTCAAAGTCCTCAACAGCATGGTCTGTACCTACACAGCATTATTGTAACAACATATACAAGTTCTCCAGAGTAAGTAACTACGATGTATGGTCAATGCATAGGCGCGAAATAATGAAAATATGGCACGAGAGCAACTAGGTGGCATGTGAGGGACCTTTTTTTCGGACCCGGAAATTATATATTAAATTACTTTATTCAATAGCATTATTTTTTTCTAATATATCCGTAGCTGAACAGCCAACCCAATTCTTTGGGTTTACGAATACTAATGTTCAACTCCATGGCCTTGTAATTTTGAACCAAAATCCAGAAGACAAGGAAACTCCTGGATCAGTACTCCCAGAGGTATTGATTTGTTATGGGAATATTGAGGACTTTGCCACTCGACAGATTTATCGTGCATCAGTCACCATTTACTACACAAGAAGTCTTCGGCTGGCCAGGATCAAACCCACGACCTCTTGGCATGGGGTCAGTGCCCTACCAACAAGGCTATCCCGGCCCCCATTGACTTTATTTGAAGAAAAAAAATTTCCAATGCTAATTGTGTATGCAGAAAAAGGTATGATTCTAGGAGCAATTATGAGCCGGTCGGCCTGTGTAGGTGTCAGGAACTGGCCTTGTATCAGAAAGGTTCTGGGTTCGAATCCCGGGCAAAGGCATGGATGTTCTTTCACTTTCTGTACTATCTGTCCTTACTGTGGGAGTAACGTTAGCCCACCTACAAATCTGCCCTTGAGGTGAATGTATGACGTAAGGTCGTTCTTCAGGTTGGACATTGGAAAAAAAAAAGAACAAAAAAGGTGCCATTATGACACTTATTAGGATGTGAGGCTAAATATAGTACACTTTCCACTTTGGTAGTCCATGTTGTAGAAAAGATGTATAAAAAATTAAAAATATCTAGCATTAATTATCCCAATTGCATTTTATTGCTCACCGTAAAGGTTGCCCCTTTTAGTACATTTTACCTCAGCTCAACATTAAACTGAAATATTTAAGAAAAAAATACTTTTTATTCGATTTCCGTTTGAAACAAGTTAATAACTGAGCAGCAAATATAGTCACACCAAGTGATTTAATAGTTTAAAATTAATGCACAGTACGCAAAGAAAGGAACTAGCCTACTTTTGATCTGATCTAATGATCGGATCTTCACGTTCTAGGACTCAATGATACTAGTAGAGGGGATAAAGTCAAACATGCTAATTAATTAGTGCAAACGATATTTTAAGTTATGAAATTAGTCACCAACGTATGACCTTTTCTTCGACATATAAACCGCAATCTGTGAAATATGGTCGCACTAGTTTGGTCAGGAGAGCGAATTGAAAAAAAAAATTGCAAACAATTATAAAATTCGTTTATTTAAAGGTAATTCCATGCAAAAAAATAACTTTTAGTAAATATATTTCTTTCCTTTTATTATTATTTTACTTCAAAATAACCGAAAAAAATTTGAATTGTAAGGTATACAAATTTTACATCATTTTAAGGAATGAAATAAAATAAAATATAAATACCCTATAATCTTCAATCTGCCATAGTACCAGGCCTAGCTTTAATTATGTACAATACTCAGGTGTTAAAATTAAGTAATGAAAATAAATGAAAGATATTTTAATTTTTCAAAACATAAAACATATAAGTATTTTCCATTAAATGTTTCAAAAAATATCCCATTTCTGCAAAGTTTTAAGTTATTAAAGAAAAAGAATAATTTTGCCGCTTTTTAGCTAGTTATTTTTCGAATTTATTGAAGCATTTAGCCTGCAAGCAATCATAAAAGAAAAAAGATCGTTCTCAAAGCAATTTTACTTTCCCTCAGAATTTCTTGACGAAACTTAAGCTAAAAATTTCAAGGCGTGTGTACCTAAAAACGCCTGTACTTTACTTGTACCTTCATTAAAAAATACATTTACAGTATAGCTTCCAAAATGTGCCCAATTTGAAGAAGAATTTTCCTAGTGGTAGTGAAATAACAATTAAATTTACAACAGCAAGAAGAAATTCCATTAATTTCCTTAGCACTTAAAAAGCACATCAAAAACTTGCAAGACTCAATAAATAAATTAAAATTGTTTATAAATAATGGCAAAAATGTAAAATATTCCCGCAACAGTCCGTTTTGGACCAGGGAGATCATAAAGATTAAGGTTCCACAATTCCACGCCCTAAAGCCTGATTGTGGCAATGAAGTGAGTATTGCGCACTGGCCGGAATAAAAAAATCTTCCGAGAAAACAGGAAGAGTAAGCGGATCTGAATTTTTTCAGTTTAATGATATTAAATTTTGGAACAAAATCAATTTAAATTTATAAATCTTAAAAAAAATTGGACAAATTTAATTTTTAAAACACAAAGTTCACCAACGTTGGCAACTCTATTTAAACTAAAGACTTTCATTACAAAAGTGTAAGTATATTTAACACACCTAACAGTAAAAAAAATATTATATAATAAATACTAAAGGGAAGTTGTATACTGTTAAATTTTATTTTTGCATGCAATTTATATGGTGATTTTTAAATAAATTCTTTTTCATAATAATTTTTTTTTTCCACAACACTTTTTATAAACACTTCACAGCATTCGCATAGTTAAAATACTTTATTTTTTTAAACATAGATGGATTTGAGTAGGCAAAAATAATCACACAAAAGAATGAAAAAAAAATTTCCTGGCATGAAAAATTAAAATTGCCTTGAAATATATTTGTCCTCTCAGGAATTTAAAATATTTTTTGACTTATACACTAAGCATTTGCACAATTATTTGCCTAAATTTCCTGATCTATTCCTGAACACTTAACTCTGTATTATTTTCAAGCTGTTTAAGTATTGTAAGCATAAATAAAAAATAAATAAATAAAAATAATGAAGGAAAAAGACCATTATCGATTAGGTGATCCTAAAAGACTGCATACAGTTCTCTTAAATAAATTCCAGTGGTATCGCCATTTTCGGTGAATAAAACAATATGGTACTGCTAATACCTATTTTCAGCTTTGTTATAGTAATAAATTTATGTTTTAATATAAATTCGTTGTTACAGAAACCCAGGAAAACAGATTGTAGTGTGTGGTCCAGAAGCTCCAATACAAGCAGAATTCAAAGTTCAACTAAAACCAGGAAATCATTGCATAAAAAACTTATAACAAACAACTTTATTCATTTAACAAAAAGCTTTCATCCATTGCTCATACATTGTAATTTAAATACATAAATAAAGCTGGTAATTTCAGAAAAAGCATTCGAGCAATTATTGTATTTTATAATGAATAAATAAATATTTTTGAGTACAAAATTCAATTAGATTTAAATAATTTCTAACATTCTTATGCCATAACACATACATTATTCAACACAGGAAGCATAAAAGACGTTTAAGATAATACTTAAAATTGACTTTGATTATTATCATGAAATTGAGTGGAAACCCAAGCTAAAGCCCATTTTAGATTAGTTAACATAAATTTAAGCGCTTTTGTCCATTGTTCTTCAGAATTAAATTGCACTTTAATTGAGTACGAGCTTTTAGAACTTTTATCAATTATTTTGCCTTTATCCATTGCATAAGGCAAATGAAAAGAAGCATCTCCACTTTCAACTTTCTCTTTGAATTGCTGTAAGCAATCGAGGAATGCAACCATTGCAAGATCAAACTTATGATCCAACATGAAACGAATGCCTCCGAAACAATACAAAGGCAAATCTTTGGACTTATTTTCAAGGGTTTCTATGTAGGAATGGTTACCATAGGGTACAAGACGATAACGCTCAAATGTAAGATTAATCTTCTTCGCTAAGGAATGTAATAACAAAACAGTTTGGCCCCAGGCTGCATTGATTTCAGGCCATTCCACAGGTACTGTGGGTAATCTGCCAAGACGAAAATTGTTTATAGTTCCAAAATGGCCATTGTGCCAGATATGGAAAGTGGCATTAAACACATTAGTTTTATTCAGTTTGTCTAATTGTGCTTGAGCATATCTAAGTTGATTATTAACACTACGTTGACTGTCTTCAGCCTGTAGTAGTTGTCGTTGTACACGACAGTATTCTTGCCAGCGTTTTTCTTCTTCCCTCTGCAAAGATTCCCATTCATCTTCGCACGTTTTAAGAACTTTCTTCATTTCTTCTTCTTTCGACTCCATATGAGACAGTTCTGCCTCTAGATCAGCTTCCTCCGTTTGAAGACTAGATAACTCGGTCTTCAACTTCTCCAGATCATCCTCTTCATTTCCCATTTCAAGATGTTCAAGAAAATCCCTATATTCCTTGCATTCTTCTTCAGCGATTCTCAACTGCTGGTCCATTTGATCCAATAAGTTATCAGTGCATTCTTCACATAATGGATGATCCACATCAGACTGATCAGACATAATATCAAACAGAGCAGCAGAAACTCTTAAAGTTTGATTACTATCCAAGGGTAAATTAGAGAATTCATCTATGACCATAAAATCACTGCTTGCATCAGCAAACTTGACAGGTAGAACTATTTTTCTCATAACGCTACTTTCATCCAACTGCTTCTGGAAATTTTCTATTAGATAATTTCTATTTTCCCGATCATTGTTAGGATGAAGTGGCATAGATAACTCTGATATCGTTTGAGAATCTAAATCCCTAAACGTTGGATGCAACTTCAAGGGTTGGCAGCATCTCTGGCAACAGAAATTCACAGATACCGTTCTCTCCTTTAATGCCATTTTTTCAAGGGGAAAAAAATTAAACCTGCAAAAAAATACTTCCGTTAAAAATATAAACGTATAAAATTTCGATATTATTAGACAGCAGGGTTGACATCACTTGATTTATATCAACTGATTTTTAAAAAAATAATAATAAATTATGGATTTAAGTACAAAGTATTTTTTAAGACTGATTTCATTGAGATTGAAAATCTTATACACTGAAATAACGCTTAAATTATTATTTGATGATTAAAATGAAATTATAAATAAATAAAAAGAGATGAGAAGATTAAATTGACATAAAAGTTTTAATTAATAATTTACCATGCATACCAATAACATTTTTTTGTCATTTTAAGGCATTAATAAAGCTTTTTTTAGAGTGTTGATTGCTAAATGTAAAAATAAATAAATAATAATAATAGTTAAAAATATCTTATATTTAAAAAAAATCCGTTTTTTTATTTAAAGGAAAAAAAAGTATTTTACCAACCCCTATAAAACAGACTAATTTATGCTTGGCTCAATTCTCAGACTTTTTTACAATATAACGATTCTTGTGAGTCTTACACACATGCACTTACACCAGGTTATTATAGTACAAATAAACATTGTTATTAATAATGCATTATAAAGAAATTTTGTTGATTGAAGGAGTTGATGTATTGGCCATAAGTTGAAAATGTTGATTGGCGTATTTCCAATCGTCCATATATTATTCAAGTATGATGAAGGCAAGACTGATGTAGATATTAAACAATTGGAACTGCTTGAATGAATAATTAAATTAGATAAGTAATAAAAATATTTTATTTCGGAAAAATGGAATCATATGGAGCACCAAAGTTAAAAATGATTCCTTTTTGCTGATTAGAATGATCCATGGGCTGAAGAGTGTGGCTGCAGGGCCGAGCCCCACAAGACACATCTGCCGACCAAGAAATTAAAAATGCGAGAAAGTTAAGGAATCCATATATTGGCTATTAATTGATTAAATTCAATGCCAAGGCTCCTTTTCTTAGCCTTACGCATTCAAATGTGTTGGCAGAAAAGAAAGTGGAAATAATAGACATCAAATAAACAAATATACAAAATATCAATCAATAGACAAAACATCAGCAAAAATATAATGGTTTTCGAATTCTATGCTAATGTGTTAGACAGATTTGGGGGAAATCTCTAAAAATAGATTTTATTCTGCACTCAATTCAAGGTTGTGTTACAAAAAAATTACAGATTATTTTAATGATTTTTATTTATTGAAAAGTATTAAATAAGATAATAATTTGGTTTTTGAATGTTAAGAATATGTTATGCATATTTCAGCATGACATGCATACAGTATCCTATGCAGGGTTATAAAATACGTGGAGCAATTTTGACAATTAATTAATGACAATTTGAAATAGACTATTTTGCTGCTCAAAAAGCTAAAAAATTTGCATTATATTTATCTTATCAACATTTGCAAGCAATACTATAATTTTTTTTCCTTACATTCCCTAAATCTAGGATATATTATTCCCATTTCTAGGACATATTATTCATACCAATTATTTTAATTTATATTTTGAAATTTGTCTAATTTCATTTCAGTTACTGATTCTCTAAATCAGAACTATAATTTTTAAAATAATAACATAAATTCAACTTTGATGTCCTAGAAATTAATTATATTAAAATTTTATTAACTGCCTGTTAATGAGTGTGTAGTGGGAGATCCCTAAGAACTGAAACGGATAATGTCAAGAATAATAAAAAGTAGGATTCTCATGATTAAAAACCCTTTCATTAAAAAAATCATTGATTTATATGATTCATTATGATTTTCTTTTTATATCACAGATTTATGTAGAAAATATTATTTATACAGAACTGCATTATTTAATATGCACTTACTTAAAGCTCTAATAATGAATTACTGATGTCAAATCTCAATGATAATTTTATCATGCAATTTATTCTGGTAATTTTGACCATACTTTTTTCTGAAGAAAATTACAATACTTATTTTACTTTCCAAGATTATTTTATTCTTATAATAACAACATTTTATTATTATAATAAGGAATAGGTTAATAAATTAAAAAAACATAATAAGATTTTTGTTTTCTCTTTAAGAACTTAAATGATAACATTTCAATATTCTTTCTATGTCATTTTCATATTCTAATGTGTTCATCGTAGTATGTAAAATTATTTGTCGTTTCACTGTCAGTAAATATACTTCAATTATATCCATTTAATTTTATACAATATATATTTATTTCGCAAATTTATTTTAATGCAACCAATTTTAAATCTTATTAAATGTGTAATTAATGAATCTACTTGTAATTAAAGAATAAAAACTTCCTTTGCCAAGAACAATTTAATTTTAAAAATGCTTTCTGATCTAAATTTACTTTTTTTTTTTTTTTTGACAAATTGATTCCCTGTCTTTTCAATTAATTAAGGTTTTAAGCTTGATAAAAAAAAATTGTAACTGATTTCATTTATTCAGTAATATGTTTGCCATAATCAAATAATAATATTAACCTTTTTATTATTAGGGGTGTTAAAAATTTTAGTTGCAGCATTGTTTTTAAATAATATTAAGTTTTATTTATACATTTAATCAGAGTTGTAAACATTAAACAAGATTTTTTTTTTTCTGTTCGAAAATGAAATAAAAAATTCCAATTTCCTAATATTATCAAGTCCCAGTAATATTTTATCGCCTAATATCCAATAGTTTAAAATAAAACATGCTAACCCAGACTCACTAAAACCTTAAGCACACTCCTGTATATTTATCTTGTTATAACATTAGTTTCAACCTTATTGTTAATTAGTATCTCAAATTTTTGTGAGAATACCTTAGTACATTATCTACAATTTAAAATAATATGTGCTTTTAAAAATATTAATTTTAAATTTTAAATCACAATAATATATATAAAAGAATATAGAAGTAATTAAAATATAAATATTTCAATGTACATAGCTTGTATTTAATTCTATTATAAACTTAACATCAAGAACTGATTGATTGAAAATGCAGTTATGGAAAAAAAAATCTTGGATTTTATTTATTTTGGATTGAGTAAAATCATAACAATCCTGACTCTATTATACATAGAAAAATTGTGACCATTTTTAAAAAATAGCACAATATTTCCTACTTAATGAAACAAATGCATTGACTTATTTGTTAAATAACAAAAAAAACAGCTTTTTAGGAATATTTCTTTTCAGAATTAAAACAAATCCCACAAAAACATAAATTCAAAATAGTTTCATTAAACATATTACAAGGTTTTCAATACAAGGTTGTTTTTTTTTATAAACAAAGACTTTAAATTCTGAATCATATGCCGATATAATTAATAAATAAATTTAGGAGGATACAATTTGATAATGCATTTAATGGCTTACCATACAGCAAATGAGAAATTTATGACTAACAAAGACTCTAAATTTTATATGTTTTTAAAAATTCTGATGTAGCATGCACCTTTCAACAAACCTTGAAACAAGTAAATCTTAAATTAATGAGGTAGATTTTGATGAAGTGTGATTAGCAGTCTCATCCCATCACAATTTTAAACTAGTCAATTGATGCACAGATCCTTTTTTTTTATTTTTTTTATTTCATTTTTTGTTTTTACTGAATTTTGTTTTATTATTAACTTTTCAGTTTATGCCTCACTCTCCTTCATAAAATATCTTAGAAAACACTAACCATTAGAGTTAAAAGTAAAAAATATAATTTAAAAATTTTTTTACAAGAACAATCCGTATTGTGATCTGTCATGCCAGCAACAATTGCAAGGTTGTCAAATAGATTTTACACTTGCAAATATTTTTAAAAAAAAACATGTAGATGTTTGTTTTAAGGTGGTTGGTTACCAGTTAGAATCTTTGAGTTGGTCCCCTTCTGTCATTATTTTTATTTTCTTTGTTTAGTTTATGGAAGGCCGCTGTCCAAAAGTACCAAGATTTGACAATTATTATGCTGGAAATCATGATACAGAAATACACCCAAGTTAATATCTTAAAGAATTTTAAAACTTTTTCAAGCTTGTATAACTGTCATAAAAAGAAACATTTGTTAAAGATTACAATCGGGAGCCAAATGGCAATTAAAAAACAAGCTAATTTAAATATTAAAATAAATCTAGATCCAATCACATAATGATAACAAAAGTTGCGTAAACAAGGTGACGTTTTTGAAAGCAAAGAATATCATAACCAAAAAGGGGCTTCTATCAAGACAGAACGAAAATTATTGCAAAACCAATAGGCCCCCTGATTCTTCAATTAATCTTATTTACATAAGAGCTAAAAAACGTTCTTAAAACTAATTTCTTTACTACCCCAAAATTTTCTTGGAAAACATAAGGAAGGAGGAAACGCAATCATCATGCTCGCGAAAAATGAGCATTTAAAACAACTTCAATAAATAAGGTCAATTTAAACTATTCAAAACAAAAATATATCACTACTTATTGTTATAATTCAACCTTTTAACTTACTTTAGAATATTTCAAAAGCATCAACAAACTTCTTTCCTTCGTTCAACGCAGCCGTAAAAAGAAACAGCTTTTACTTTCAAAAGTCGGATTTAATACTTTCAAACCAGTTAATAAAACTTTCCATTTAATAATAGTTTTGACAAAATAAAACAAAATGATATTTGAATACACAAATTATTAAAAAAAAAAGGTCAAATTTCAAAACAAATACTAACAAACTCACTATTTAATATTGTTTACACAGTACATTTCCGCCGACTTATTTTTGTAATCCTCCAACATCAAGCAAGCTATTCTCCAGGAGCTATTCTTGTTGCATGCATTTCGACCATATTACGACTTCGCGTGCAGGTCGTCGGGCTACTGAAGCGGAGGCGCCACCCCCTCTGCAGAGGATCAAAATTGTGATGGCATGTCTTCGGATCATCCTCAGGGACGTTTCCCAGATCATCGCCAATAGCCCATTGTGCAGCTCTAGTGCGACGTGAATGAACTACAACAACAACATCGACCATATTACTGCACAATAAAGGTTCCAGCTTTTTTTTTCAAGGGCCATTCTTACTGCCCAAAAAACAATCGCAAGTTTAAACTTCGTGAGGAGATAATAACTCGTTTATTCACCAATCACGTTCTTGCTCACTTGTCTGAATTCGCATATTCTCTTCGCGCACTTGTCTGAATTCGCTTTTGCACTCGTCTGTTCCGTGAATTTGAGATACAGTGAGATTGATCCTCATGAGTAGGATTACCACAGCACGATGGATTAGCTTTAGCTTTAAAATGCTTGCTTTAAGCTTTAAAATGCTTGTCAGAACAGTGACGCGATGATGATGACTTTTTTAATTTATGGTTGACTTATTAATCATGGGAAAAATTGGAAATCTCTGAAAGCCCCCCCCCCCCTAATATTTGAAAGACAAAGAACATTTTCCTTAACCATTATAAAGTTAAAAACAAGAAACAGATAAAAATCATTCATCTTTTTGTACAGTAGACCACCTTGAACAACCTTTGATCAAAAGTTCGGATTTCCACGTTCTAGGACTCAATCTTAATGGCTGACGGAGAGGGTGAAATCAAATATTAAGAATTTATTGCACATTGTCATGCCGCATTATTAAATATGTTTTGGTTTCAAAATTCTTTAAAGGCCCCTTGGTTCCAAACATTTTGAAGTTGGGCCTGGTTTTACAGGAAAAAGTTTTTATACTCAGAATTCAAAGCACATTACACCGCAATATTAAGTATATTTATGTTTCATACCTCATCATTGCGAAGTTAAAATATCATTTTGAGTCAAAGCATTTTTCTTTTTTTTTTGTTAATTTACGTCGCACTAGAGCTGCACGGTGGGCTAGTGGCGACAGTCTGGGAAACATCCCGGAGGATGATCCGAAGACATGCCATCACAATTTTGATCCTCTGCGGAGGGGATGGCACCCCCGCTTCGGTAGCCCGACGACCTGCGCGCGAAGTCGAGCACTTTACGGTAGCACAGTATAACGAGGACCAATACCGCACACCCTCGGTCCCTACGCAGACTGATCCAAGTGGTCACCCACCCGCACACTGACCGCAGTCCGTGATGCTTGACTTCGGTGATCTGCTGGGAACCGTGTCTTAACGATCAGTCCACTGCGGGACAGATTAATTATAGACTTGCAATTTATTCACATTACTTCCCAAATCCAACAACAATCACCAATCAACGACAATTGAGAAACAAAATATTCCTCACATATTTATAATTATAGCATAATGTTAATGATGGCCTTCTTACTATGTGTGGCACACTACCTTAAAATAGTTACTTCCCAATCTAACAGAGTGTTTATTTTATTAAATAAGTAGATATATTCTTGATAAAAACATTGATAATGAATAATAAGTAATGGAAATTGTAACTTAAAAACTTCTGTAACTAACAAGGGAAACTAGGGAAGTGTGACTCGCCAATTTTGAAATAAACTAGTGTGATGTATGCCTTATGAGGAATAATTTTAAGGGGCAACATTTGTTTCGGCCCATAGAAGGTCCTATGAGAGATAAAAAATAATTCAATATATAGAAAAATCGGTATTTTATTATTTCAATGCAGACTATTAGTTATTGTAATTGTCTCATACTCCAATTAGTTTTGTGGTATATTCACCTATATTTATTGTCAAAATTGATTTCGAAAATTTTATATATCTGTAGTTTTTCAGAAAAACCCGTTAGGTTAATTTTAAAAAAAATTGACATCAAATTTTTTAATTTTTTTCTTCTTCAAAAAACTTTCCAAATTAATTGGAGTATGTAATTGCAAATCAATTAATTAATAATTAATTAACGATTAATAAAAAAATTAATTTTTTGATTAATTTATTAAGTAGCAAATTAATTAATTATAAATTAATTGGATTATGAGACAATTACAATAACTAATAGTCTGCATTGAAGTAATAAAATATCGATTTTTCCATAGGTTGAAATATTTTTTATCTCTCACAGGACCTTCCATGGGCCGAAACGAATGTTCCCCCTAAAATTATTCCTCATAAGGCATACATCCCACTAGTTTATTTCAAAATTGGCGAGTCACACTTCCCTAGTTTCCCTTGTAAGCCAGTACACTTAACTATTTACATTGTTGTAAGCAGGCCAAAAGTTGAAAAGCTAAGCAAATCAAAAAATTTATTTATTAGTTTTAATATTATAAAAATATTTCAATTTCTTTTTTTAGTATAATTAATAAATACTTAAATGAATAGGCATTATTTCTTAAGCATTTGTATTTAAAAATAAATTTTGAGATTTATGATTGATCTGTTGTGGACTAATTTTGTTTAACGATGTAAAATGATCTATAAAACAGTAAATTCCAAACAATAAAATGGGAAAAACTATAAAATTCACAGAAAGAAACAAAAGGCATAATTTCTGGCTAGCTCTGGATAAGTTACTATTTTTCTTTTAAAAAAAATATCGCAAATACAAGTACCAAAGGCGATTGTAGTTGGAACAAAATTTTCGAATTTCCACTCATTTTATCATACTTGAGAACCACCATTTAAAAAAAAAAAATTTCAGTGCAGGGTTTAGGACAGAATGGATTAATCTACGGTTTAAACCGCCCTGTCCAAAACCCTTTTACTCGAATCATATTACAAGTTTATCTGAACAATATTTAAAAGGTAAAATAAACATAGAACTAATAACATATTGATAATTAAATCTACTAGAGAATATTTGTTTTTAAAAGTATCATGTTTTATTAATATTGTTTGACTCTTCAACTTAAACAAAGGATTATTAATCAGTAATCAAGTTCAATTGGTCCTCTCATTCAAGTACATAACAGAAGTTTGACTTTGCCATACAAGTTAAGCTATTAGGGAGTAAGTGCTCGGTTTGTCATAAACAGGTTTATTTATCTATAGTTCTATTCAAGAATACTTTTATTTCATCCATGTTCTAATCTTTTAGCATAGTGGTGATACATCACCAGTGTCAGTAATTGAAACTGAAGTTATGCCCCTCAAAACTGTTAATACATTTTTCAGTTATTTTGTATTTCTCATTTAAACTAATATATTTATATTTAAAAACAATTTTCTTTTAAATATAATGTCTTTTTTATCATCCTGTGATGCAGAAATTATAACATTTTTCAAAAAAAATATTGTGAAAGATAAAAGGTTAATTTTTAAACAAATTTAGTAATTAAATTTTTTTTTTTTTTAATATTGCATTATTTATTCTTATGCAAAAACATTATTTATCAGTATTAAAAGCATATTTATATTTAAAGGGTTAGGTATTCACTTCTGTTGTTCAATGAACTGTGGAGCTTCAAAAATTATAAACGTTTTCCTATTATATTATCTTATTTTCCTTTAATAAGTTAAAGTAAATTGTATTAACAATATCAAATATTTATTGATACATGTAATTATTATCTGCACAATGGTTACACCTATAGAATTTTTACCTTTTACCAAAGTTTAAGTTTTTGGACACTTTAAGACAGTTTTATCCAGTTTAGGACAGTAAAACCCACATGTCCTGTCCAAAACCAGTTTAGGACGTCCAAAACCCCAACCTTGGTTCAGTGAGAAGAAAGTGTTCATTATTTTTTATGCACACATAGATATAAATCATAAATTTTGAAAATCATTGTAAGACTATTCAACTTAGCTCCGTGGCAGAATAGCAGCGACATTGTCGTTCCTGCAGAAAGATTCTTATTTCGAAAAGTAAAAAATTTTACTCTTCTCTTTTTACAGAAATTTACGCGTAATATTTGAATCGTGCATTTAGATAATAACTTTTTGAAACACTCAATTTACACCGATAGTATTGTAAATCGATGGACTGTTTAGATTTTCGGCAGTTAATAATATTGATTTTCACTTGGTTTTTAAACACCCTGATAAATTTCTAACAATATGGAAAATTCGAATCCTGCATTTGAGTATTTATTTAAGGCAATAATTCTATCGAATTTTTGGAAGTTATTGCTATTGATTTCTCCATAGTTTTTAAATCCAATATTTCTTATAAGATATTATTTATTATAACTTAATCTCGAAACAAAACAAGCATTTGAGGAATACGATTTACGTGATTTCGTCATAGATCTCTTTTTTTTTTTTGGGTAAATACTACTACGGATTTCATGCTATATAATTTTTTTTTTGATGATTATTTACAAAATGCAAATAATATGTGTGTTTTTCCCCCAACAAAATTTGAGAATATTACCCACAATATTAGAAAAATTATAAAAAATTATTACAATTAAGAAAGTTCAATTAAGAAAATATTTTTTTCCGTAAACACAGAGTATTTGTTGTTTCAAATAAGTAACATATATGTTGGTTAGTATTAAAAGTATCAAGCAGAAAGATATTAGTGCTAAAGAGTTAAGTCGCAGATAGCTCTAAAAATTTTGCCACAGGGCAACTTAGCATACATTCATTAAATTTTTTTATCTTTTAGAAGCATTCCACATTAAACAGTTTGCTGTCGATGCCAAGTTATTTTATTAACAATTTTTGAAGCTGACTAAATCATATTAAATAAACCACTGTACAACTTACAATTGAAATACAGAAAAGTACTTATGTTACTATTGATTTCATAACCTACTGGCTCCCAAAAATTTTGCATTATTATAGATCACTGAATTTATGCATCAAAATTGGAAGACACAAAAATTATATTTCAGTAATAGGAAAAAATAAGGACATTTTAAGAAAATTTAAATAAGTTAATTACTTACAACAAAATATTAAAAATCAAAATATGATTGAGTAAAATATCTGTTGATTTTCAGTTGCACATTTAATTTTTGACAGATTTTTAAGTGAAACAGCCACACATTTGCATGAATGATTGTCAGTTTTTCATAATACCTAATTGAAGTCAATTTATATTTATTACTTTCATATTATAACATTTCAACAAGGTTTTATAAGAGAATTTAACAGGCATAAGAATTCTAAATCAAAAAGCAGCATAAAATTAGTGCAAAAAATTTGAATTCAAACATTTATATAAAAAAGCTCATTTTAATAATCACAGCAATAACAAAACTTTACAGAAAGCTTAGAATTAAAAATTAACAAACAATTCTTTAAAAAGGTTCATTTTTAACACATTTAAGTAAAAACATTGAGAAAGTGAGCAAAAGTATCACTTAGTAATATAAAATTCATTCTAAACCATGCAGAGAAATAGGTTCAATAAAATTGTCCACACTATTTTGTTCTGAAAATATCACACTCGATGAATCAATAAGCACTGATTCATCACTTTCAACACTGTCAGATAATAATGAAACAGGAATTAATTCTGCTTCAAATGCAGAGCTACTTATTAACAGACTATCCTCATGATATAAACCGTTAGAACAATCATCAGGTAAAAAGCTACTTTTCAAAAACTGATCAGATGTTTGGTCTTGAAATATTAGAGAGGACCCAAGCATTACATCAGGCGATTTCACTTCGGTATTTAACTGATTAGAATAGCTTTTAGAATCCTGTGTATCATAATTATTTTGATTAAAAAGTACATAACTTGGAGATTGTTCTATATTTTTAGAATCTATTAAATATGAACAATATATATCAGTCCTGGCACAGCCGTTTTTATTTTTCTGGAACAATTTAATAAATCTAGAATTGCTTTCTCTTCTTTTAAGTTCTGTTGTGGTATTTTTGTTATTAGCAAGTTTTATTGTCACTTTGTTTCGATTTTGAGAACGACTTTTTGGTTGTTTTGGCACAGAATTACTTAAAATCTCGGATGAAATACTAGAACCGGCAGAACAGTCAGAAGGTAGTTGGCCATTCATATTAGATGCAGGATCATCTGTTATGCTTTCTTCAATCTCAAGTATTTTAGATGCATCAGAATTTTGACTTACTAATGACACAGGCATAGTAAGTTCTAGCTTTTCAGCAATATTTAATTCTTTACCATCACCCATTTTATCTGGATGAAATTTAAGAAGATGTTGTCTTAAAGTTGCTTTGTTATTATATTTTTTGACACATGGTGTAACAGGACACGGATAAACAACTTTCAGTACACTAGGACAATGTTTTTTAACATGCACATACAGACTAGATTTAGCAGTGAACCTAGCATTACAATTTTCATGAGGACAATGAAAAGGTTTATCGCCTGAATGAATAACAATATGTCCTTTCAAGTGTTCAGGACGCATAAAAGACTTACCACAACCCGGTTCGGTACACACAAATTTTCTTTCACCAGTATGTTTTCTCATGTGTCTCGTCAACTTACTCGCACTCATAAAGCTCCATTTACAGCCATCAGCAGGACAAATATACGGTCTATCTCCCGTATGATGTCGAATGTGTTGCTTTAAGCGACAAATCTTATCGTACACTTTCCCACAACCTTGAAAAGGACATTTAAAATCATCTTCATTGTATTGATGAGTACGCAAGTGAGAAGCAATGCAGTTAGCAGAGTAGTATTGTTTCCCGCAAAGTTCACATTTATAAGGGGCCTCAACATCTTTATGAATCCTCAAATGTAATTCTAATTTTCTGCGATTGGCAAAACTTAATTGACAATCTTTAGCAGGGCAAGTTAAGGAATTTGCCCACTTATGTTGCTTTGTGTGAGTTTTTAAATTATAAATAGTTGTGAATTTTCTGTTACATCCTTCAAAATCACAAATATATTCTTTTGAACCTAAATGAGTTTCTTCATGACGACGTAATCTATATGGCGTTGTGAATGCCCAGTCGCAGCCATCAAATGAACATTTAAAAGGCCTAGTATCAGTACTGTGACTAAACATATGCACTTTTAATTTACACTCTTTATCTAAAATTTGACCACATTCTGGTACAGGACAAACAAAACATTTTGTTTTTTTATGAGATTTCGAGTTTGCTAAAGTTGTTATTGGAATAGTTCTTATAACTTGCATGAATGAAGAAGGTTCAAACATCACTTCATCTTCAATAGACTGATTATTCTCTTCTAATAAAAGAGAAGTAGATATTTCGGTTTCATTTGCCGATATACCACTTAACTCCAGAGAATTCATCTCAGCACTTTGAAATGGTTCAGAATTTAAAGCATTTTGTAACTCCAAACCTAAAGCGTGTTCATTAATATCACCACTATCAGTATCAATATCATACACTTGCTGACCCTGTTCGAGCGTTAAAACTATCTGCATTTTGTTTGAGCTTTTATCACGAGTGATTAACACAGTACCAGAGGAAGGGCAACTTTCACTGATATTTGTAGGCTCTAAAATATCAGGTATCTGCATCTGTGGTACATTATCTTCTAATTCCTCTTGTACAGTGTCAGTTGATGGTATAGGAGAATCTGAAGTTTGTCCATCAAGAACTATTGCATTATTCTCATAACTTTGTTCTGTATTTTTTGATCTAAATATTTCAAGAGTCTGATTTTCAGAAGATAAATTAACTTCTGTATTTATAAATGCTGCTGTATCATCTTTTTGTGACGCATTCTCCAATGAATCACAAACTTGTTTCGAAGCAAGAATATCTAAACAACTTAACTCATAATTTTGCACATCTTTCGAAAACTGTTCAGCAAGATCTAGTGACGACGTTGGAGAATGAAGGGCTGAACACTTCTCTAAATCACCCAAAGAAATATCTCCCATATTGCTATCATTGTTACCACACATGTCGTCATCAACAGTTGTATTAGTCGAGCTGCCGTTCTGAAAATTTTCTGGTAGTAGGTCTTCCAAACCGAAGCTTTTCGCAATTTCAGAAATTGCTTCAGTGACATTTTTACTCTCTTCTTCTGAGTAGTTAGCATCTTCATGAGAATCAGATTGGTTTTCAGTTTTGAATTCAGTTATCAAATAATTGTCTAAGTGTTCATCAAAACACGGAACAAAACCTTCAATTGAGCCAAAAGAGCTGATTTTAATTGGAAAAGGTGATTCCGGAGAATCTGGAAATTTAATATTACAGTTGGATACTGATTCAACTTCCAATCCATTTTCCAACCGAATAACATCGGACGGCAATCCCACATCGCCGACGAAATCGCATAGAATTTCAGATTGGAAGCCATTTTGAATAGAATTTGTTATGCACTCGACGTTCTCAGATGTTGAATCACTTAAATCTAGATGAGAATTATTTGGATAATCGTGATCATTAATGGAACTAATAGAAGGATCTATAAGCGTCTCACCATTGACGTAGCCGTGCTCATTTTGAATTAAATTTCCTTTCTGTGACATTGGAGTCCCCGTTGTGTATTCGAGCGCGGGGTTCTCCATATTGTTTTCAAAATTTATCATGGAAATCCAGTTGATAAAGAATGAACAACAACAACTTAAAAATGTTCAAAATGGTAACAATCATTAGTAATAGAATTTAAGTTAATATACTTTTTTAAAAAAGAAACAATTTCTCCTAAAATATTATTCAAACAAATAATAATTAGTGTGATAAAATACCATTTAAACAAATAGTAATTAGCGTGCTATTTGAATTTACATCTAAATAATGCAACTCAAAATACTTTTTATGGAGTAATTATTAGAAAAAATTTTATTGTATTTTTCAGGTAGAATCAGGATTGTTTAAAATTTCAATTTAATTTATTGGTTTTTGCATGGTGGCACAATAGACGCGCTTGTGAGCTGCTATTATTCTTCGATGACGAAGTAAATTTGTAATTTTGTTGAAATATAACGAAAGTACTCGTCTTGTTTGGCATGATGATAATAAAACTTTTCTTTTCTCTACTAATTAAAACTTTTTAATGCTTATTTAAATAAATTGCAACGGGCAGTACTGGATCTTTTTGCATCAGTTGGTATCAGATTTTGCCTTTGTGCTTATAACTCGTATGGATGTAATTAAATAAAATCTGAAAATATTTAATTCATCGATCATTAATTATAATCGATATCATTTTGTTGCTATGATACAAGAAGCGTAAGTGATTGCGCAATTTTTAAAGAAAAAGTTGTTTATCTTTTGTCGTCTATCCTTATTGTAAATGTTCAATATGATTTATCAAAAAAAGATCACCAAACTTCAAATAAGATTAGCGTAGAAATGAATTGTTTTTATATTTTGAAATTTTTGTTTTCTCTGTAGTAATTAGTATTACTTTTCCCACTCTTCTTTATAAAATAATTGTAAGTGATTGGCTTTCTATATTTCCGGGATAATTATTATGAATTAAAATTGCGTTTTTCCGTGGTATTTTTTTTTTTCATTTCATTTCATTGTGGAGAGAGATGAAATTTGATTTTTCCTCAAATGACAGTAACTCACTTGAAATAAATTCGTTACTTAATATTTTTTGTCTATTATTTTTAGGTTACTAGTGCAAGAAATTAATTCAAACCAGAAGTAATCATTAATATTTTTAAATTTAAGAATTGAGTATTGTATTTTGCAATGGAATTTTCTGGAATAATATTATTTGCATTTAGAGAATTAATGGTGTATTTAGAATATTTATTTATTTGGTGTAGATTTGTTGCATGCTCAATCGTGTGTTCGATTACATATTTGTTTTTAAAAAAATTGTTTATTAAATTCGATTACAGGGCTTTACTTTATGGAATTACAACTCAATAAATAGTTATCTTGGTACATTTTATTTTAATTATGTGTACTATATTTTGTATAATTATTTTGGTTAAGCCAAAAGCAAACTTCTAAATTTGAAGCTACATAATCAAGTTTTTTTCTGTTTTATGACATCTCATGCTTGATGTCATGTCAGACCTTTGTGGAGTGTGTGACAGTCTTTGATTGTTTTTTGAAGTGGTATAAAAGTGAAGTCAAAATGGCAACAAATAGTTGAATATTGTTAAGAACCTTTAGCAGCATATGAAAATGCTAAGAATGTAAGCACTACGACATGATTAGTTTAAGGGAGTGTTAGAGACTTATAGATTTTAAAATGTTAGAGATTTATAGATTTTTATTGAAAACATGAAATGAAAGATAGGGATAATTTTTATTTCCCCATGTGCAACAAAGATCAATAAATAAATTTTTAAAGGTAATTTAGACAAATTCAATAAAATATACTTCCGAATCTCCATTACATTATTCGGATATTACAATTATTTTGCATTATTTAGATGGGCTTTTTCCTAATGTAAACCGTAATTTATTTCTTAGTATTAAAATATATCTAGCTACATTTATTCTTCTATTTAACTATGCATTTAGAATACTTCTTGATTTTTAGAATATTTAACAGAAAAACGGTTCAAAACGAGTAAAATGTTTGAGTAGTCATTTCTGAAACACTCAAATTTGTATATCTTTCTTGATATAAACTTAGAAAGTTCTGTAAAGAACAAAAAAAATGTATTAGAATGAAAGTCACTATTATGCAGAACTGTAATTTAATTAATAATATAATTTTGATTGCAAATTAGTGCCAGATTGAATTGTACATAAAGTTTAAACAAAACTTGCCTATTGGTCCGTTAAAAAACAAATTAATTTACCTTTTTTTATTAAAAAATTATTTGAATATTAAGTGATGTACAACTACTTTTGAAGTATTATAAATCTCCAGGTTGCCAAAGAAAGATTTTAAATAAGCTATTACCATAGACATTACAAGTAAAAATATTTTGGGGGAAGGGGGAGTGAAAGATATTTACAATAAACCTATAAATTTCACAAATTAAAAAAAAAAAAGCCTTCCATCTGCTTAATGTACACAAAATTATTTTACATATTTTTTTAGTGAACCTTTGTAGCACTTTTTTATCTAGCTGAATTCAATGATGATTCATAAAAAGTACACCTTAGGTCAGACTCGGGTTTTATGGGCTGAAAATTTTCTGCTGACATCCCTTCTTCAAAACTCAAAAATTGTTATTTTTAGTATTTCGTAAGATTTTTGGAAAAGTTTTTATGAAATTGTAGTTTTCCATTTTCTTATATATCACACAGCCTCACAAACATGTTTAAGAGGATGCTATAGTGCTGAGATACTTTTCATTGCAAATTCTCTTTTCAGTTTCTTAAGTAATTTAAAATTAGTAATTGTGTACTCACTTGTTCCTGCAGTCGATTATGAACAAGTTAAAAATGTTTCTTAGAAACAAGTCTAAAAAATTTTTTTAATATGTAGAAATCTGAAGTAATTAAAATGTGTTAAAAGTTTGAAATATGCTTCTGGATAAATAACAAGTGTTGTTTATTAACTACTCTTAATTTAAATGTATGTTAAAAAAATTTTATGTATATTTTCAGATTAAAGTGAATTCCAATCACCATGTCAAGAACTTCAAAAATTGAACGTATTGCTTATATATTATCATGGATTGTGAACTTTATTCCTACTGCCTTTTTAACTCTTTGTCCAAAATTTATATCAAATAGAATTAGATGGTGTCCTACATCTGATCAAGAACTGGAATCCGCTGAATTGATGGTTTTTCTAAGTAAGATCTTGATAATTTTTGTTCCAAACATAACAATCCTTCCAATTTCAGTTTATAATTTTAAACTAATAAAAAAGAAAATTAATTATAAGTTATTATGTAACTGACTAGGACCCTTTATCTCCTTTTTAGACATGATTCTGTCATTGCATCATAAGCCTATCGTTATAATTTTTTAAATTTGACTAAAAGCAGTTTTCAGCAATGTCAAGAATAAAAATGTTTGTTTAAATAAATTTATAAATTACTGTAGTGAGAGTAGATACTGAGAATATCAACCTTCATCTCTGAAAATGTACGCTGACATAGAATCGAGTTAACATGTCTTATATACTAGTGAATTGGATTGTTTTTTTTTTTTGTAGCGGTAGATACACTACAGTAATCCCCCAATAGAATTATATTTGTGATAGAATTCGATGAATGGATACCACTAGTCGATTCATTGCTGTTTTGTGAGAAGCCGGAAGAGCTGTCTTAAGATCACCATATTTTTGGCTGCTAATCGTGAGATCTGTATTAAGTTCACAGTCGCTCCTGTGTTGCCATTAGCAGTTGAGTGAATACATTGTGAGTGATTGAGAGTGAGAAGCAACAGCGTGAGGAGGTCAATGTCACTGCCACAAGTAGCAAGTCAACTGTTCAATGTGTGGATAATCCATTGAAGTAGGCTTGTTCAAATCGTAGTGGGCGTTTCTGCCAAGGTAGGCGTGTTCACATCACGTCCGAAGGTCACAAATGTGGGGAATGAGTAGTTATCGGCCATGTCAACCTTCATCTATGAAAAGGTACCCCGAAATAGAATCAAGTTACCGTATTTTTCTGCGAAAGCGGCGCTTCGTCGCAAGCGCCGCACCTCGATAAAAATGAAATTTTAAAAAAAAAATTATAGTAAGCGCCGCAATGGTGCTAAGCCGCGCATATCAGCATCCATTTAGAAGAGATCTTTAAATTATCATTTAGAGTATCTGTATTATAAAAAATTAAATTTTTTTATGCATTTCATAAAGTAAAGTTTTAATTTCTAAATTATAATAAAAAATTTCTTTTTCAGCAAAAAAAAAGCAACAAAAAAAGTTTTCTCTTTCAGCAAAAAAAAAGAAAACAACAAAACTATATAAAATAAAGTTGTTCTTACCAGTTGGCACCGCGCCAAAAAACAGAAGAACAGCAAAAAAATATTTATATGTTCAGTAGCTGAATTAAGGCTGAACTGATTACAGAAATCCGTAAAACAATGTAATAAGAAAAATAAAATAAAAATTTATTAAAAGAAAGATTTTAAAATTNGAATTTCCGAAAGAGATCCGAAGTTCGGCATTTCGTCAGTCCCGTGAGTGTCGGATTTAGGGTCCTATTCTTCATTTTCTGTTCGCTTAATTTACAATTGCCAAGGCGCTAAATAGATTTCTATCTTGCGATTTTTCCTTAAGCTGGGGGTGGATACAAGATGCATACCTTTTAAATTTTCTCCATATGCGATGTTTTTTTAAAATTATTATTTCGTTTATTTATTTTCTTACAGGCTGCTGCCGAAAGTTTGCTAAGAATTGGCGATGTTCTGCAGTAGATCGCGATACGGGCGAATATTTCGTCGACTTCGTTATTAATTTTTTTTAATAGTCTTTCTCTCAGAAAATTATTTCATCTTGAATAACTTTCCTTGACAAATTTTTTTGCTACAAAAAAATATTTCGTCGGAAGCGCCGCTGCATCGGAAGCGCCGCATGTAGGAAAAAAACAACTTTTTTTTCGATAGCGCCGCGGCTCTTCCGCCGAAAAATACGGTAACATGTCTTATATATACTAGTGAATTGGGATTGTATTTTTTTTTTGTAGTGGTTGATACTCTACAATTACATTTAGATATTTATATTTACAATCAAACTTGTTGATGTAGAGATTTTGAGGACTCAGACATTTTCCTCTTTAAATCAAGGTGATCATTAAACACAAGCCTACTTAAATTATCAAAAATAAAAAATACAATGTACAAAAAGGAATTAGAAAATGCACAAAACGGTTTACTTTTTATAATTATTTATTTACACTGGTTGGAATTAGGTTGGAGTTTCTGTTTGTATTGAAAAAGTGATTATTCTGTTTACAACACACACTGCACTTAATACATTACAACAAAGCACTTATTGATTCCAGAAGATTTTTATATTTCTCACTGAACTCAATATATTTGGATATTGATAACAGTGATTTAATTGTTTCTTACTTTCGCATTGTCAGATTTTATGTTTTATAAGCATTTAGTCAGAAACATGCACACATAGCATTGCAACTATTGGTATAAAATCTATTTAGTGATTTGAGTACTACCATATTCTCTATAAGTTCATGTGATAAGGTGATTTTTGGCTAGACATTAATTAACTTGATGTTTTTACTCTTTTTTGTTTATCTACATACATATTTGAACATACATCGAGTCTTTTTAAATGCTTTTGAAGGAGTAATCCATTTGGCTGTAAAGATGCTTTTCTCCCAAATTCCCCAAGGACATGATTTACATGTTGCCAGGCAATTATCACAAATATACAAAAGGTGTTCGTGGTTTGTATCACAGAAATAAAAAAAGATTCTTTGGATTCCTATAAGGTATCAAACGCTCAACATCTTGTAGTGAGTTGCAATTGACAGTTATGGTAAACACATCTGTGAATTTCTTGCCAATGCAATATTCGTTCCTTTAGTTTCCAAAAATAGTTCTGACTTCATTTTTAAACCTCAATATGTTTGCTAAAAATATGCATTCCCTTGTTAAGATGGATAAAAGTAAAAAAGCTTTTATCAATTCTTTAGCTGTTTTTTTTTATTTGCTAATTATTTCTATTAAGGAGTTTAGTAATATATAAATGGTTCATATTAAGGAAAATTGAATAAGGACTTACAGGTGACAACCTCACTAATAAGTGTGGTTGTACCTCACTTATTAACAACAATATCACAACAGTAACAATACATAACAAACAAACATTAACATAACAGTAACAAAAACAGTAACATGACAAACAGTAATGTTACTGTTGTTTCTAATTTCACTTGCCAATATCAGCAAGCTTTGCTTGGTTAAACCAAGCGAATTCAAGGCAGAAGTTGCATTTCTTGTTTTCAGTGGCACCATCCATTTCCCAGAATACGACTTTAGCATCACACATGATGCAGCCCATTTTGAAAGACATATCCTTTCGTTTATCCATTCATTCCTCCATAGATCGCAATTTTGTCCTGAACCAGAGCACAATCAATCTCTAATTCAGTATCGTCAGAGGTATTAACAAGGGCGCCGGCAGGGGGGTGCAAGGAGGTGCACTTGCACCCCCCTTTTTTTAAAAAAACAATTAAAGAGATACAGGAAAACAATTTTGCTATAAATTTTTTTTATTTAAAATATTTTTATTCAAAAACAAATAATTAAGTAATTATTGATACATAACAATTAAAAAATTGTTTAATCAAACAAGAACTGTAATCTTCTTGTTTCCTGTCCAAATCTGTTAATAACTTTTTCAATGAATTCTGAGTCATCTTTGATTCTTTTCTTATGCACACTGAGCTACTAATCTACAAACTACTTAATCTCTCGTGAGACATTGTAGACCGATTTTATGTTTTGATGAGTCGCATTGTACTAAAAGTGCTCTCAATAGTGCACATAGTAGTTAGGCCAATTTTGATTGCCTCCCCTACAGCTGGATAAAACGGTGTGGCTTCAATAACCAAATCAATGCATTCGAGGGATTCATAAGAATTTTCGTTATTCCTCCACATTTCGTGCCCCATTATAGCTTCAGTGATGAAATTCGGTGAGAGCAGATCTTTATACATAGTATATATATCAACACAATAAATACCAATGTTAAGCGTGCACAAACACGTTATTATACGAAACAACTGTTTGTAGTTATTTGTGTTTCAAAGTCAGTAGCTATGCCAGCGCCATCAATGCAGTTTCTCGTGGCAAAATTAGCAAGTACAAGAAATTCGCACTTTTTTTTAAATATCTTGTTAACAATGAAGAAATATATCTTGAAAAAATTAACAGATGAAAGTATATGTAATAACAAAACAAAATGTAATAACAGAATATTTTTATTTTATTTTTTTGTTAGAGGGTTGCACCCCCTTTTATATAATTCTGCCGGCGCCCTCGGGTTTTGATTTGTCATGGGAACTTGGAGGACTTTACTCTAGTAAGGAAGTAAACTTTCTGACTTGACAGATTTAATGAACACCAGTCACCATTTAAGGATAAAAAAAGAGGAATAAGGTGGAATTTCACAACTACTTTAGAAGACCTTGATTTTGCTGATGACATCGTACTTATTTTATCCAAATGTACAGACCTTCAGCTTAAAACAGACAAATTCAACAAATATTCAAATAGTGTAGGTTTATTCATAAACAGGAAGAAAACTAAAGTAATGAGAATAAATCAAAAGAAAAATGACAAAATTAAAATCGAAAATCACGAAATAGATGACATAGAGTGATTTAGCTATTTAGGTTCTATTGTAGATAAAAAAAGGTGGAAGTAGTGAAGATATTAGACAGAATAATCAAAGCAAGAACATGTTTTAAGGGATTACATAAATTTTGGAGAGAGTCAAATATTGAAATAAAGACAAAAATAGTTGTTTACAAAACTATTGCTAGAGCAGTACTATTATGTGGCGCAGAAACCTGGAAACAGACTAAGATCAAAATACAAAAATTAGAAACCTTTCAAAACAAATGTTTAAGATTTATTTTTAAAATTTTCTGGCCTTACAAAGTATCAAGTCAAAATCTATTAAAGAAAGCTAAAATAAGAACAATAGAAGATGAAATTAAAAAACGAAGATGGAGCTGGCTCGGACATATCCTTAGAATGCCCAAAAGAAAAAATTACATCTGTTGCGCTTACATGGGCCCCTGATGGTAAAAGAACAAGAGGAAGACCCAGACTTACCATCCAGCGCATGTTTTTGGGCGAATTAAAGGAATGTAGAATATCTGGCTGGGAGGAAGCAAGATCTATTGCTAGAGACAGGAGGCGTTGGAGGGATATACTAGAGGCCTTAAGTGCCCAAAGGCACGTAGAGGATAAGTAAGTAAGTCACCATTTACTTTATGAGGAGTCTTTAGCCATTCGGGGATCGAACCCACAACCTCTTGGACATGGGCTCAACACCCTAACAACCTAACTATCCCTGCATGTATTGTTTCTGAAGAGTATTATCTATTATTTATGTTTGTGTTTTAAAATAAATTCTAGTGAATAAAACTTTTTTTAATTGGTCAAATATTGCTGCAAAAGTAAAAAAAAAAAAAAAAAGCTTGTATCAACCATTCTGGCACATAGAAACTAGTAATTGAGTTTATGTTGTTGTTACTTTAGAAAGGTAATTACATTTTTCTATAAAATATATTACTACCAGTTTAATAGTGTTTTAATATTTAATTTTAAAAATATTGATGGAAATTTTTGTTTATGCATATTTTTAAAATCTTTTATTTTATTTTCTTATTATTCCTATTATTTCTTTTAGATTTAAAGCAATCTTATGAACTGGAATTTGTGAACATAGGAAAATGCTGTGGTAAAACGGACAATTTTATTAGAACAATATCACTAAATAAAACTTCTGATAATACTCCATTAGTATTACTTCATGGCTTTCCATGTGCGACTGGGTATTGGGTAAAAAATCTGGATAAACTTTCTATGCATAGACCTGTTTATGCCTTAGATTTGTTAGGTTTTGGCCGGAGCTCGAGACCTCAGTTTAGTAATGATGCTGAAGAAATTCAGACACAGTTTATTGCTTGTAAGTGCAATTTTCATTTATTATCGATTTTTTGGAATTTTTTAAACTTTTATGCAATTACAAGATTTCCATTGACCTTAAATAATTTAATAGTGTTAGTAAATTCACATTAAAGCTAATAGGGTTTCTTTTTTTAAGACCCCACTTAGGTGTCTTGTTTGCTAGAATATTTATACAGTTACATTCTATTTAAAAAATTTCATGTAGTGGTCGTCAGAAATGTATTAAGTGATCAAGGCTCTTCTTTTTGTTTTTCCCAATTATAATTAAAAGGATTGTAGGGATGTTCAAATTTTAAATTATTCATCTCTATTTTTATAAATTAATTAAATTTATGCATATACACTATATTTTTTTAAGGGTAAGTCAAATTATTGTATATGCTGTGGGCTAATTATAATCTAGCTCTTTACGAACAGTTGTTTTGATTTCACTGGTGCATTGTAATCTACATTTGCAAGGAGCCTTTTTTATTAGCCCACACTCATGGGCCAGAAGTAGCGCGCTACAAGTACCGAAACTACTGCAGTCACTACTTTTTGCTGCTGTTTGTAATATAGTGTGCTACTTTTTAAAAGAAGTAATGTGACACAAAAAAACAGTAGTTTGTAACGATTCCTGGCAACTACTTTTAACGTTAGTTGAGTAAAGAAACAAAGTTCAAACACAAAATTTTTTTCGAATCTGTTTTAAACAAATTCTTTGCGGGCCTGTCCGTGCATGCAATGAGTATGTCTCTATGGCCGAGCATTAAGAAGATCTACGCCTGATGCTCGGAAAAATCGGTCGGTTTGTTCCTAAGAAATTACATTTTGAATATCTGATTTTTCACAGGAACTATGAAGTGCATTTTTGTGTCAGATTTCGTAAATTGAAATATCGTCTGCATTAATTAATAAGCATATCTGAGGTCAGCCCCTCAAACCATTAAGATTTGAGTTCTGGAACGTGAAGATCCGATCATTAGATTAAAAGTTTTTCAGGGTGGTCCGTATTTTGCTCTGTAACTTATTTATTGAAGGATATGAAAAAGCAGTGATCATAATATTTAATAATTTTGTCCTATCATTTTTTAAATTAAATGTTCACTGTCAAGAAAAGCATAGAGTTTGAAGGTTAAAAGAACAAATCCGTAAAAAGTGCTTTAGAATAAAAAAACTATTTTATGTAACCATAAAATCAAACTTCTTAATAGTTCCTCATATTTAACCAAGCCAATGTTTTCTTTAAAATCATGTTGAATATTTGTGAAAGTTCTCCAGTTAAGTTTGTCTTCTAAATGTTGTGTAGTAAGGACTACATTTTGGAAGAAGTTAGTAGTCGCTACATTTAAAAAATAGTAGTTTAGTTGGTTAGTAACATTTAGAAAATAGTATTTTTAGTTACGAAGTTTTGTTTAATTTTAGTTAAAAATAGCAGTTTAGTTTTTAAAAGCTATATTTGCAAAGAAAATGTAATTTTTCGAGTACATTTAGAAAACTAAACAATATATATCTAAATTGATTTCTTTATCAATTTAATTAATTATTTACCTTAGCTTTGAAAATTCATGTTGAGACCATGAACCTTGCATTAATTTATTACCCTAAATAGTGCTTCTAATGTTATTGCTGTATTTTTGATTTTATCACCCTTCCCCATTTGGGCAACTCTTATTACATAAATCTAACAAACTGCAAAGCGTAAGAAGAAAAAAAGAAGCATGTGAATACTACATGTTTTAACTCAATTATTTTAGAGAAGAGAATAAAAAAATTAAAAATAAGAAATGAAGATTATAATTTGAAAGATAATACCTAAAATATATTTCTGTAAAAATGTTTTTAAGTCTGAGATCAGATTAGAATCAATATGTCTTCAATAAGTTAATTTTCTAAACAAATTAATAAGTATTTATTGAATAAATAAGGAATTTTTTTAAAAATTTATTTTATAAATTTTATTTTTATGAAAATTTAGTTTTGATCTAATATTTAAAGAATAAATTTTAATTATATTTTGAAAATTGTTTTGCATAATACATTGTTTTCTAATTTTCTTGTCAAAATATTTAAAATACTTTAGATGCTATATGTAATGCTGTTTGCGTGAGACAGAACAATTAATTTTAAGACTTTAATTACCATTTATACTTATCTTAAAGGTGGTAGAAATAAAGAACTAAACAGTTGTTTTAAAATACTACATGGAACTATGTTTAAATCATTCTGAAAATTATTTTAAGTGAGGATTAAAATTTATATTAAACCCTCTGAGCATTTACTTAAACTATGAGAAATTGATTAATGTATATGCCAATTTTGCTTGTTTTCCCAGTTTTACCCTCTATAAAAAGTTTCACTTTAAAAATAAATCTAAACTTTTAGATGTTTTATTTCATTTTTTGAAATTTATGCATTCAAAAATATCTTGTATACAAAGCTGCTAATTCTACTCGATTTTCCAGTATACTGGATTTTGCCTGTTTCTTTTGCTGGTCTACTGGCTTAATAAAAATTCTCCTGGTTTTTGTACATTATAGAAAATTCCCTAAAATTGAGTTAGTTTCCTAAAAAAATCCCTTTTGAAAAAGAATTTTTGCACAGATTATTGCTTGTTTGAATGTTTAAATAAGTATTACTAATACATAATGAATCGATCATAAAAATCAGTTTAAAACTTTTTTTATTTTAAAATGTTTAGTTTATTTTTATTCAGAACTACCTTTTTAAATTAATTAAAAAGTCTTTTAACTATTCAAATATATTTAAAGTTAATCATAACTGGAAACTATAGCAGTTTTTCCATTTTGAAGACTAAAAATCCCTAAAATTCCCTATGTGTAAAATATTTAGTACATTATGCAACAATTATCTAATAATTTATATTTCGTAAAATCTAGATGTTTTCCTACCCATGTTGGCAGCTATGTGTTTAACAACTTTATAATTGTTTACAGCTTTAGAAATGTGGAGGAAGGCAGTTGGACTAAATAAATTCATCCTTCTTGGTCATGACGTGGGTGGCTATATAGCTGCATCATATGCTAAAGAGTTTCCAGAGAGAATAGCCCTTTTGATTCTTGCTAATCCATGGGGTATAGAAGAAAAACGTATTCAGTCTCACCACCACTATGAAATGGACTTGTGGGTCAAATTCTTAGACACCTTTTTTCAAGGATTCAACTTTTTGGCTCTTATTAGACTAGCCGGTCCATTTGGTATGTTTTAACTCATTTTTAGTATGCATAATGTGTAGTTACATTAGTTTTTGAAATTAATGAATATTTGAAATACTGTTGAGAATACTGTCTAGTATTATATTAAACTCAAACTCTCTGAGCGGCACGACAGCTCATTGAGGGCCAAGGCCTACTGTGCCCATCTCAGTTTTCTTGACCTTGGGCTCTGGGGTGCAGGAGCAGATGTTCTGGTCATGTGGTCAGCCGAACGCGGAACCCCCAGTGTTTAGTTCTCAAGCACGCTTGGTACTCATTTATCGACCCACTGAAGGGATGGAAGGTTGAGTCAACCTTGCCCGTCCCGAGCATCGAACCAGGAACCTGTGGCACGACAGCGCGAAGCGCTACCGCTCAGCTACCGGGCCTCAGTATTATATTAATGATTGAATATAAATGTCAATTTAGCAATATTGATTTAAATTTTATTGTTATTTGAAATGAATTTGTTAAACAATTAAAATTATAGGTGTAAAAATCTTTTAGTAGTTGAATATGATTTTTGACCCAGATGAATGTTTGAATGGCTTTTGGGAAATATATTTTTTCTGCTCATACTGTCTAGTATTATATTAATGATTGAATATAAATATCATTTTAACAATATTGATTTAAATTTTAAATCTTATTGTTATTTGAAATGAATTTATTAAACAATTAAAATTAAAGGTGTAAAAATCTTCGATTTTTGACCGAGATGAATATTTGAATGGCTTTTGGGAAATATATTTTTTCTGCTCATTCTGTCTAGTATTATATTAATGATTGAATATAAATGTCATTTTAGCAATATTGATTAAAATTTTAAATCTTATTGTTATTTGAAATGAATTTGTTAATCAATTAGAATTATAGGTGTAAAAATCTTTTAGTAGTTGAATATGATTTTCGACAGAGATGAATATTTGAATGACTGTTGGTAAATAAATTTTTTCTGCTCAGCTCAAATTGTCTAGTATTATATTAATAACTGATTTTATATGCCAATTGAGTAGTATTGATTAAAATTTAAAATTTTATTGTTATTTGTAGTGAATTTGTCAAGCAATCAAAATTATAGGCGTAAAAAACTTTATGTGACCGAGATTCGATAATCGTAGAAATGAATAAAAAATAACATTACTATTTTTAGAGATTTTACATTTTTTGTAATTTTTATTAGAGAAATGAAAGCGTAACATTAAATTTAATTAAAAAATGTTGAAATTAAAATCCGCATGGTATGTAAATTTTCATTTTAAAATACATGTGAAATTTTAATTAATTGATGAGTTTAAAAACTGACAATCTCCAATAGGTTTTTTATGAAAAGATCCTGTTTTCTGATTTCTGGATTGATATAAGATAATATATAGTTTAATGAAAGACTTTAATGAAAAACATTTTAATATTTTAGAAGTATTTCATCACAAAATAAATAAACTCTTTTTCTTTCTTTTTTTTTTTTTTGTGATATCATTGATTTTATTTTTTAATCTGGTGCTGAAACATGAGATACTTTTGATTTGAAGAAGAATTCTAATGAGTAATCTGATCCATTACAGCATGTATAATAATTACCATGTTTATTCATACAGCTGAAATTTTTATTTCTAATTATAACTTATCACTTGTTTCCAAAACTTAAGTGATGTTTGCTATATATATTTGTAAGGCCATTAATTACTTTTACCTCATTGCTGCATTCAAGAACCCTAATTTTTTTAAATATAGACAGGGTATCATGGAAGGCTCAAAACTGGCTTGTGTGATATCGAAAGACCGAGCTGTAGTAAATAAATGTACACATTACATGGCATATTATTAAAAGAAGAAGAAAGAAACAATGTAGTGTAGATAGTTCTCAATTTAATTTTCAATCATTGATTCTTTCATATTATTTCATCACAGGACAAGATCTTCCACTCTTGTGTTCTGAAAAGTGTAATTATCCTATGTAGTTGTAAACACAATTAGATTTTACCACTTGGTTTATATATATTTTAGAAAATTTCTTATAATTAGGAAAATTTCTGAAAAAAATCCTTATCATTAAATGGACCTGATTATACTTTTTTTTTATATTCTTAAATGCACAATTTTGATTGGTAATAGGTATTCCATACATTTTAGACAAATGTTGTGAAATATGATAATCTCAGGATCAATGGTTATTAATTAATTCGTGAATCCCTATTTCAAGATCTTTATTATTTGGGGGAGTTACATAAGTTATAACAAAATGCTTTTTAACACAAAAATATATTTAATAACAAAGACGAAGAATAGTGTTAACGTTACAGTCAGTGAGGTACATAAACTTAGGTGCGCCCACCTGCAAGAATCTTAAATGCGCCCTATCTTAAACATAACACAATTTTTTTTAAAAATTTTAATATGAGACAAGAACACTATGAAGGAATCTGGAATTTATAATAATTTATTTTCATTTATATTAATTCATTGACTTGCAAAAAAAAGTGGAATTTCCTAAAAGTACTAAATTTTAACTGAGTAATATTTACTGAGTAAGAACATTAAAATGAAATTTATCTTAATAATACAACAAAATAACTCACTATCTCACAATAATTATATTCAAAGTTTAGTGAAGGGTCACTTTTATTTATAAAATGAATTTAAAAATGTCTTATAAAATATAAAAATATTTTTATTGAAATTCATACAGTAGGGTGCACAACCATTTTAAATGAAGAGCTATGTGCCCAATTATTTAGATATGTTGATGGCTATTATGATAATTTTAATGTAAATCTAAGTGTTTTAGACACTTATGTTTACATAAAAACTAACAACTAACTTTAACTAACATCTCAATATGACAGTTTTCTTCTTCCCATATAACTCATAAATTATAATTTAAACATAATCTAATTAAAATCATGCATACATAATTATACATTATGTAATTCAAATTATACATATATAATTTATTTCAAAGCACGTTACTTCTTATTCTTAATTTTTATATTAATTGAATTGTTATGAATTTTTTTAGGACCATATCTTGTAAAACTTTGTCGACAAGATTTGAAGAAAAAATTTGCCATGTCTCACATGGACCCTAAGTTTGTTATTGACTATTTATATCATTGCAATGTTCAGAATCCTAGGTAATTATCTGTTTTTTTATATGATATTTTCTTATCAATGCCATATTAGAAATATTTTAACGATATATGATACTCATGATAATTTTACTAACAATAAAAACATAGGTTATTTGTTATTTAAAAATTATTTCAGATTTTATTCTTTTGTTGTTTTATAATTGAACCCTTAACTTGGCTTTTATGAGAAAAATAGTTAATAGTTATGCACTAGACTTTGGACTACAGGAATCACATTAATGATTAAATGAATTGCGTGTACAGTTTTTAAATTATGAAATGGTTCTTGAATGTAGGTGTTTTGGACACTGCCACTATACAAGATGTCAATAATTGTGGAATAATGACACTATAAAAAAACATTGATAACTTTTAAATTGTTGGTCAGATTCAATTAAAACTTGGTAGTAGAATACTTGACCTACATACATTTTTTTAACAGTGCATTTTGTTGTACAATTTGAGAAAAAAAGCTCCAAATACCGTTTTGAGTAGAGCAAAATGTAGTAAGACTAGGTAGGTAAGATTCAAAGGCCTGTTGCAGCTAAACTGTTTATCTGAAAACTGTCAAATTTAATCCAGATATTTATTGTTTAGTTATGTAAAATATATAATTCCTAAAATGTCGTAGATACTTTTTTTTTATGAATGCTTTTTTTTTTTGTGAAAAAAGTCAAATCACCTGGGTTACTCTGCTGGTGTTGTAAGACTGGGTATACTGTCTACTGGATTAACGCTATGGGAAATTTGCAAATACCAGAAAAATAATAGACATTTTTATTTTATAAGACCTACGAATTTTATGCATGTATTTGCTTGTGATGTAGATATCTGCTTCCTCCACTGCACTGTGACTTTTGTGGGTCCAGCATAGACACACAGGATGACATGACTCTTTGTATTATATTAAACTGGACTAAAAATAATTTTTATAACTGTAATTACCAATAAATATGGATAGTTTATGAGAACATTAAAGAGTTAACAACAGTAAAACAAACTTATCTACACAGATGCCTTGAATTAATCAATAACAACACGATAATAGCCAGACTGTGGCTATTTGTTGGGACCACACCATAGCCATTGGAAGCTAGCATATCAAACATGTCATAAACACAGTTGGAATAGTTATACTTACTTTTAAAATTTGCGTAAAATTTTTGAGGTCAGTAGTTCTGAATTGAATTTTTTTGTACATAGCATAAATATTTTCTGAGTATTTCCAATTATTAGCCTAATAGACAATTCTCATGAAACCAGGACTTTATATTTCTTTTTCCAAAAGTGTTTATTGTAACAAAGTTTTCTCATATTTGTTTAGTTTCTGATAAAAAATTATAACTATAACTTAGGGCACTGATATATTTAAATGCACTACAATTTAAGTAAACTAAAATTATTAATAGATATTAAATAGTTCTTCAATTATTTCCAATTAGGAATATTTTTATGAAGTTTTAGTGAAGGAAAATATCTTAAATGATATTGGCATGGAAATAAAAATTTATTTATTGTTATAAAAGCTTAATTTATAGTTATAAAAGCTTAATTTATAGTTATAAAAGCTAAATTTATTGTTCATGTTTATTTGGTATTATGTTAAACTTAAAGAAATTTTGCTCTTTTGATTATTTTACTTTCTTTTATCATAAAGTAAATATAATTGTAAATTAATATTTAGGATTTTTATATAAACTTTATCAGACTTATAAAATTTTAAAAACTTTATTTAATTACCATAATTTATGAGTATTATTTTTTTTTCTGAAGTGGGGAGGCTGCTTATAAGGCAATGACAGATGGTTCAGGCTATGCTCAGCATCCAATAATGAATGACATTATCCATTTAAAACGTAACCTACCCATCACTTTTGTATATGGGTCTAGATCATGGATCGACAGGCAACCTGGTTTGCAAATTAAATTTTCAAGGCTGAATGCTTTTGTTGGAATTCAGGTATGTGTATCAAATTCTTTTTTCAATATTTACAAGTATTACTGAAATAATACCTTTTTTCATGAAATTTTTAAAAATGTTTTTATAAAGATTAAATGATGAATGATCGTTGAAATTTTTTTTATATAGATTTTGAAGTATCATTATATTTATGAAAATAAACCCTGAAATTATCTGTAAATAACCGTTTTGGACAATTAATTCATACTTACTTGTAACGAAAGAACATGTTTAAAATTCTAAGTGTGAAAACTTTTTATTGGGTAAATAACTAGTTGAAGAAAAAAACAATTGTGTGAATATTTTTGCTTAAGTGAGGAAAGTCATCTAATTCCTGTGATAAATTTTTTTCAGATTGTTGAAGGAGCTGGAATCCTAATTCATGCTGATAAACCTGATAACTTTAATAACTTAATTAACAAAATTTGTCAAAATTTTGATCAGGGACTTTTACTTCCTCGGGATCTATGATTATTTGCCAAACTTTTAAATAATGCAGTTTTAAGGTTACTGCATATTTATGTAAATAATATTTATTGTAAAAATGCAACTTTTTTTAAACATTTATTTGAGATATATTTTTCTCAATGGTTAACTAATCAATCTATACTCATTAAAATCAAAAAATTTTCCTTAAATGACATTTTTTACAGAACTGTTATTATATTTTTTATTAATATTTTATGATTAGTGTTTTTTTTATGTGTATGTATATATTTGGGATTTTACTTTGATTATTTAGAACACTTTTAAATTATGCTCATAATAACAATAAAGAAATTTTTTACTAATATTCAATTGATTTTAATCTTTACTTTTTTTTTTTATTTATTTAAAGATTTAATCTTTATTTTTGTAAATATTTATCTTGGTTATTGTATACTAAATAAATGTTGATGATACTTTTATTTATATTTTCAAAAATTAAAAAGTCAAAATATTAAAACATAAAATTTTAAAATTATTTTTCATGTATCAGTTTCAATTATTTATCAATATAATTTATTCAATACAAAGTGAACTTTTCATATTAGTTTACATATAAACCTGTTTTTGTGATCAAACAAATACCTTAGCTCAATTCTGTAACTATGCATACTTTTTTTAAATAATTTGTCAGTTAATTTAAACTTTTGATTAGGGTTGATTCTATGATTTAAAGATAATTTTCGTTAACACCAGTTATAGTTATCTATATAGTTGTCATTTTATTCACTTTTAATTAACTATATCTCTGCTAATACATGTATATATAATTTTTTTTAATTGAAATTGTTGATTTTTAATCAGTTTTTTAAAATTATTTTAGCGAATCACAATAGGAGGTTTTTAAACATTATTCTAAGATATTCATTGTTACAAAATAAAATTCAATATTATTGTTTAAAGTTTGTAAAATGTTAATTCAATGAAAAAAGGTGGTTGAATCATGTTAAGTTTGTCTGTATGTTAACTCATGTGCTGTAGTTGAAAAATAATATGTGCAAATATTTTCTTTCCTTCTTTTATACAAAATATAATAAAGTTGACTTAAATATGTAGTCAACTTTAGCTTATTTGTTTTGATTGAAACTTTTTTTTTTTTTTCTGCTTGCATGAGTAAAAGTTTCTCAATTGAAACACCAATACATTGAAAAATGCCTGATTTTGAAATTGTGTAAACGTAAAGTTCTCTATGAAACTTTTTTTTGAAATAATATGCCTAAAAAAATGTCAAAAAAAAATTTTATAATGGAAAAAAAAAATGCAATCTTAAAATTCATTAAAGCAACTGGCAAAGTAAAAATGTAATATGCTTATTAGTTTATATATTTTTATAAGGTTTAACAAATGCTACTTTTTGTGATTCAGATGTTTTTTTGAAGAAACTTATAAGATTTTGTATAACCTCATCTACGTTTATGTACATATATACATTTAAAAACCTTTAGTAAATTGGTGTTTCAGTTTTCAGTTAAAAAATTCGCATCCTTTTTTTTTTTTAAATTTTAGATATAGTTTGATTTTTGTTTTAAATAATGTTTTGATTTAAAAGTGCAAAATGTCTACTCTTGTGATATTGAAATATAATTTTAAATATTATGTGTAATATTTGAAACCTTCAATTAATGTATATATTTGCCAAATCTTTTAAGTAAAAATAAATTTTACATGTATTTTTATAATAATTTTTATCCATTTTTCTATTAAAATACATTTATTTTTCTTATAAATAACTTAAAAAAAAATTTTTTTAAAATTTTTTTATCTTTTTGTAGTTTTTGTCTTGGATTTCTATTGACTTTAATACAGTTAATAAAACAGCTATGATTTTATTTTCATACAGGTATGAATTTTAATACAGTTGAAATAAATAAAGAGGAAAATTGCAATGAAATCAGTCATTATCTGAATACATCTACAGGGGTCTGTCTAGGTTTTTCTGAGAGGTACCTATTTTGTGAAAATTTAGACATAATTTGTGAAAAATTAAAAATTATATTAAAAAATCAACACAAAAATATGGTAAAAATATGAATTTATCGTGTCTTAAGGGATACAAAAATAAAATTTTAAGAAAAGTATTTTGTGAAACTACCATTTTTCCTAAAGTTGATTTTGTGAAACTGCCGTTTTTCCTAAAATTGAATTTGTGAAGGTACCGCTAAACGGTAGTAAATTTGGCCTGGACAGACCCCTGATCTATAAATGCTATTAACTGTAAATGCATTAAGTTAATATAATTTATGGAATCATAGTTATTTTGCATTTATAGATTCTATAAATGCAATAAAAAATTATTAATATGATTGCAGAGAAGATAAATATGATTGCAGTGATTGCAATACAAAAAGCAGGTTTGCAGCAATTGACTTATCTAAATTTTATAAAGTATTCATTTTCTTAATTCTTGAGAAAACTTCCTCTCATTATCTGAGTTTTTACTTTTAGTGCATAGAAACATCATTATGATTACTCCTACAAAACAGGCACCTCTCATAACAAACATATTTTTAATACGTTATTTTTGAATTCTTCAAACCAAATATAATTTTTTCTAAATTTAAAAAAAAAATATTCGTACTGTAAATTCCAATATATAAATGTGTCTGATTTCGCTACTCGCTTTATAGTGTATGTTTTATACTGTTTTTTATTTTATTTTATTTTCTGTTTTTACGTGTTATTTTTACTTATTGCGTTCTATTTTATTTGTTGTAATTTTTGTAAAAAATTTTTTTGAGTGCTCCTCACACTATTGTATTAATATATTTTGCTATGGCTATATTGATACAATATCAGAAAGCACTCTTTTTTACGGATATAATCGTGTGGGCTGATGAAAAGATTATATCTTTTTTTCCCGGTTTTTTAAATAAAATTTCATCTTTTTTTTCTTCTTTTTTTTTAAATCAGTTGTTTGTTATTTTTTTAATTACTATTTCCCCCCCCCTTTTTTTTTTCATATGTCTATAATTTTTCTTTGTTTTATTCNGATTTTGGAGCAAGAGACAGCTTCGTGAGAATCACCCATATATATATATATATATATATATATAGTTATTTAAGTAACAACTAAAAAATCAGTCATTCTCTAACCTTCCTTTATCTTTGCAAAAAATGAGGGGGAAAAGATGCTGTTCCTGTGAAACATTTCGAAAAGTGGCATCTTTTGATCTTTCCAGCTGAAGGGCACAGATTATGAGACCTCACATGTTGAAATGATTCATTAAATGCTCTCAATTCTCTTTCCCCACTGAAAGTTCCTTTGATCTTATAAATTTGACCCCTGTACATAACGCAGCTGGGTTAAAAGAAGATAACAGAAATTTAGTCATGGAGATGTTCATTAAATCAAGCAGTAATTCAGACTCTTGATAACTGATCTTTTGAATACAACTCAATAGGACCTTGAGCCTTACATTTAGGTATTGCCACAATTTTTCATGCATGACAGAAGGTTTATCCTCAAAGAGGTAATTGATGACCATGTCTTCATGGTTTGATAGGAAACCTGATGACTTACCATATCTTCAGATAGATTTGAAAATGCACCATTAAAATATGGTGAGTCGCAGCTGCTTAAAACAATATTCTATTATATCTTTCCTTTCAATTGGAGAAATTTAAATCAATATAGAATTTTTTCATCTATTCGTTTTGTATTGTAAATAATATAATTTTGTTAAGTTTAAATAAATATCAATGTAAATAGTTGGTATAGATTATTTAATTATTTTTATATCATTACAATCATTCTAAAAATAACTTATGGCATTAGCTTTTGTTAATAAGAAACCCTTCCTGTAAAAGGACAACTCTAGTAAGCCAACAATCTTTTAGCCCCAAGAGTGACCACTGTACCAAAGTTTCACTGTTATTACGATAAACTAAATTATTAATTGAACTATTAATTTCTGCTTTTTGTCAATTCATTTCATTGAGCCGCAATGGCTCAGGGGATAGAGCGTTCGCCTTCCAATGAGGCGAACCGGGTTCGAATCCCAGTCAATACGAATTCCGCATCTAGCTTGCACCAACCACAGTGCTGACGTGAAATATCCTCAGTGGTAGACGGATCAGGGATTAGAGTCCCCTTACCGTCTGGCTAACCGTGGGAGGTTCTCGTGGTCTTCCTTTCCATGTAACGTAAATGCGAGTTAGTTCCATCAGAAAGTCCTCCACGAAGGCAAATTTCTCCTAATACTCGATCCAGGAGTTCCCTTATCTTCTGGATTGGGTTTAAAATTACAAGGCTACGGAGTTGAACATTCGTAGCCGTAAACCCAACAGAATTGGGTCGGCTGTTCAACGATAGTTATAAAATAAAATAAAATTCATTTCATTATAAAATTATTATTGTCAAGATTATACTGCTTGTTGAAGAACAATCGTATATTTAACTTTTAACAAAAAGGTTTAAAAATTCTAATTTAAGAAATTATTTATCATATTAGGCTTGTTTCCTCATATGATAATTTTTATCATATGACATGTCATAGTAAAATTTTGTGTAACTTAGTTTCTTTTACATTGTAGTAATGAATAACACTTTTATCAGAAAAAGGTCATTATGTTTATAACACGTAAGATTAATAAAAAACACGAATCAACTGAAAAGGAAATTAAAGCAGTTGTTCTCAGAGCTTGAGTTTCTCAAAAATCTTTATTACATCACAGTGGTGAATGCATTATTATTCTCACTACAAAATATTTTGCAAATTATTATAATAAAAAAACAAAACATACAGTTATGTGCATAATTTGAGTAAATTATTTGGCATCAGCTCAATCCTTCTCTCAGTCAAAATTTATTAAGAGCAATGCAAATATACAATAAAGGCACAAGCAAAAATATTTACAGCAAGATAGTTTCTAATATGTACATCGCTTATAAAAAGGAATTCTTTATTACAGGAAGGACGGTGTGTAAACATAGTTTCCTCGTACTTTAGTTAAAGTCCAAAGTATACTCCTGTGATCTCACTAATTCTTTGTTTTGCATTAACTGCCGCATGGAAAATAAATTATTTAAATATTACAAATGACTCATTTTCTAAATATTGGTCCTAAGCTTGAATAGAAGTGTATGATCTAATTTATTCTTACAATGAATTTATATTAAGAAAAAGCTAAGAACTAATATATATATATATATATATATATATATAAACATCTTTCTATGAAAATCGATATTATTATTATTTTCTAGTTATTGATTAAGATGGAAAACTAATATTGTGTATTCAGAATATGGGAATGAAAATTTGTTTTTAATATTCGTAAAGATAAAGGGTGATTTGAATAGAATTGGAATAAGCAGGGGAGAAGATGAGTTTAAAACTTAACTCCATTTTTCAAGCATGTTCCATATTTTGTTATTGCTACAGTTTAAAACACTTTTATAAAACTTTAATTTTCAAGTCTAGTTTAAGCATATTCGTTTTTAGAAAATTATATTTCATTTAGAAAAATTTTCTTTTAACTTATGACGGAGACCATTCATTATGTTAATATTCCAAAAATAATTGGACTTTCATTTGATTAGAGCTTACAAACTTGGACTTTCATTGTAGGAAAATTTTTCATTTAAGTATGTATTAGATTTTATTTAATTTTTTTATATGTAATTATAGGCACTTAAGGACAAATTAGATGTTATATTTCATATACAAAATAGCTAACTTTTTGAGAAACAAAATTTTTGTTTTGCTCGTATGGTGTACTTATTTCATTTTGAGTTTCTAGTTCTTGAAAAGTATCTATATTGGTCATAAAAATTATTTTAGAAATAGTCTGGTGATCCTATTTTGATTTTGAGGTCTTTTTCTCTTCTTTTTTAACATTTTCCTCATTAAAATATTTAAAAAATTTTAATGAGGAATTTAAAAATAAATAAATGGTCAAGGTTTGCACAAATTTCAGCTTTTTATATCTTTGGAAAGATTTTTATATACAACTGCATATATGATTAATTTAGGTATGCTACATTATGATATTACATTTTTACTTATTGCTGAAATTTAAAAATATTGTAGTGATAATGGAAATTTCATTAAACAAATCTTAATGTACATTACTTTATCAGAAAGCAAAAAATTCTTATTGAAAAAAATTCTATTTATTTTTAATTTTAACTTTTATTTATCCATTAAAACTAACTTGTGAAATTTCAAAGTGCTTTAGCATTTGTAATTTTGTTAAAATAATTATAATAAATTTGTGAAGAATTGTGACTTTTAAAAATAACTGATAAGACAAAACAAGCAGTATAACTAGTAACTACTTAACTGATGAAGGTGAGACATTAATGCAAATCATATCATAATTATCAAATGATGTGTCCTATTTACAAACTAAATATTGTACAAATATTGCTTTTAATTCTCTCTCATAACATATTAGATCATAATTGTGAGTGAATAAAATATTTGATTAATAATAAATTTAATATAAGTAATAAAATAATTTATAAAATTATATTCTTTCAAACAGTAACACACTTATTAAAATTCCTAAAAAATAAAAATCTTTATCTAACAAATATTTCAATAAAAATAAATGTTTTCAGTCATCAATGATAGATATTTTTTTTAAAAAATAATGTATCTCTGGAAAAAAATTTTTTTTTTTTAGCCTTCTGCCATTTCTGTATGTAAAAAGTACCATTTAAATTTTTGGCAAATCAATTTTTCCTGTGTTGTTAGATAGGGAAATGGAGTATAAAGAAAAAAAAATATTAATTAATATTTTGCATTGTATTAAAAATGTGTAACTTAAAAAATTACACATTAAGCCATTTTATTTTAAAATATGCCTATTTTTAATTATTTCATTAAAAATTTGTATTTAAAAATCGGCACTTGTAAGTTAAGTCTCTTAAGTTGTTTCAAGTTTTGTTAGAAATTGTGTTTTCCTCAAAATTGATTCTTTTCCAGGTGATAAAAAAATTGAAAAAGGTGATAAGAAATATAATTTTCTTTCTTTTTATTTTTAATCATTACTTTTAAATTAAAGAAATTCTAACATAGAGGTTTTATTGAATTGGTGAACATAATTTATTACTTTTTTCATATTTCTTGTTATGTTCTTTAAAATTATGCCGATAATTTTAATTATTTAATTTGAATAAAACTTAGATTTATAAACTATGGTGTCTAGAATTGGTATTATGTCAAATTTTTTATTAATGAAAAACGAAATGAAAAAGAGCTTCATACAACGAACATGATATTAATATGGAGTAAGAAAGTGAGGGAAAACACTGTTATCTTTCTCTTTCTTTACTCCAATTCAGAAAATTTTGAAGAGACTTTGAATGCAAGAACTCTAATTCTATTCAATGATAAAGATTCAAAATGTAAAGTTGAAAAACGATTTCGGTTTATAGGATTTATATTAATTTTTAAATCCGATTAAAATTGTATTTTTATAAATTAAATATAAAAATACCCAATAAATTCTTAAAATTGTTCAAAAGCTATTTTAAAATCAATAAAATAAAATAAAAATTATCAAACGATAATTTCCATTGTTTTGATTACCTTCAATTGGGTATAATATGAAAAAAACACAACTACTTCGATTTAGTAGGAACAGCATATGACGCAATGCTAAACGAATGGAATTTAGTTGTTGTTTATTTAGTTATTGTTATTAGTAGTTGTTGTTATTTGTTTTAGTTGTTGTTGTTTATTTAGTTTCAATAACTTTTCTTTATAATGCAATAAAATCTGGCGAGCAGCTATTTAAACGATCGAACACTTCGTTTGTTTATTTGTGGCTAGAAGTTAGGCTCACAGAAAATGCCGTTCATGGGTTAAATTTAGTAGGAACAACACAACATGTGACGTAGGCTATATTATACCCAATTATATACTGTTAAATATCGTTTGCTTACCGAAAATATTTTATGTGATCTTCACTTTCGTTTTTATCTAGTAAAAATCAGTTGTCATGGTTACAGTAGCAGAATGGAGAATGAAAGTTTTGATTTAAAGTGAGAAAAACTTAAGCAGAAAATTGTTTTGAATCCTGGAGTAGATTTTTTGCATACTCTGACATATCTCCAGCTTCTAAAGAAAATCCCATTTCTGACAAGCAGCTTTCATTGAATTAGAAGATTACGTTGGAACAATTTCACAAATATTTTACTTTCCCTAAAAATGGTACACAGACCATCAACTTTGCGTTCTAAAATTTTTTTTCTCTTTAGATAAAAACTTTTCACATTGATTAAACAGAAGAAATTCATGAGAAAAAGTATGACTGGAATTTTAACAACATTCTAGAACAATAGTTACAAAAAGTAATATAAAATCATTTATGGAACTGGACAAGATTTACAGATACTGGACACGTTTACAGATTGTTTTTTTTAATAAGAAACTGAAAGGTAAGGAAAAAATTTTTTTCCTTCCCTTTATTATATCTTGAAACTTTTATGGCTTATGCACAATTTATGTTAATTTTAAGTAAGAAACTCATGATTTTCTTAATCTGAATATTGTTAATATGATACTTACAAATTGTTTAATAACTTTTACAAATTAACAAATTCTTTTAAAATTCATTCCAGAAAAATATTTTATATTTATTTTAAATGTATTTCGAAAGATTTTTGCAAATAAAGCTCGTTTTTATGTACCTACTAATATTAATTAAAATGGTTTTTAAAAAATAAAAGGTACAAGCTCGTTCAAGCATTTTAAAAGCATTACTTATAATTAAAGGTACCCTAAGGCAGTGTTCCCCAACCTTTTTATCACCGCGGACCTGTCAACGTTTGATAATTTCACTGTGGCCCTCTACGGGAGGGGAGGGGNGCCAACTGAGGGGGGGGGCATTGATTGTTTATATTTTAGATTATTTTGATTTTATACCTTTAAAATAAAATACAGTTACACCAAAAAAGAAAGTGATTTAACATTTTAACTTACTAGAACGTTAAATCAATGAGAACCCTGAGCTTCTTTCTTTGCAATGAGACGGTTCCATCTGGGGGTAATCGGAGACAATGATACATTAGAAACATTTAAAAATTATGTCACTACCTTCGGGGGCCCCTTTTTTTCTTTAAATAAATAAAATTTAATGGAACACAGATATTTTCGGCCCGGTACCATTTGATCCACGGACCGGTACCGGTCCGTGGACCGGGGGTTGGGGAACACTGCCCTAAGGTACCCGCTTTTATGCTCCTAGCATACAATGAAATATATTGTATGATTCAATATCGTTATGGCAATATCAAAGATCGGCTGAATTATAATAATTGGTAATATCTTACTATCTATAAAAATGTAATGATGGTGTTCTAGTTTTATTGGCTGAAAATCATGTGGCAAGATCCAATTTTTCCTCACTCATTTCTATATTGTATTGGTTGTCATCATCATCATAAAAGTATTGTTTTTCTATAAATATTTTTGTATCCTCATTTAAAGTTATTTTACTGTAATTATTCAAGTCAATTTCCTGTATTTATCCTGTATTAATTCAAAAGTTTAAAACTAAGAGAATTGTTTTATTATTATTATTATTATAATGTAATTCTGAGCTACATTTTAAGATACAGTTTTTTAGAAAGGCGGTCTAATCTTATTAACCGTTTCGCAATTATAACTTCAGTAGAATTTTTTTTTTTTTTTTTTTTTTTTTTTTTTTTTTTTTTTTTTTTGCAAAGAAACAACAAGCTACAGGGTACTATGGGGCCCCTAGTTCAAAAATATTTTCTTGATAACCCTTTCAATTTATTTCCCGTGTTAATTTTGATAATAAAATATTATAATTTTTTAAAAATTTAAAAAAAAAATTTAATTTAGAAACTTATTAAGATTAATGATTTCAAGCTCTTTCTGTTGTAAATATTTTGTTGTGGAACAAAGAGCTAGGACATAATTATCATGGTTGTGCCCAAATATTGGTTTTATTAAAAATCCTGTAAATATATCATCCACATATTCATATAAGTAATTTTTCTCTAACTTTGCTAGAGATTTAATATGAGTATGCAATGGTAAGAAGTAAGTTTTGAACAATTATTTCATATTTTCTAACTTAAAAACAAAAAAATTGCTGTGAAAATTCAAAAATAGTTTCTTACAGAGCTTTTATGTTTGAAATCTAATTCCCCTTCTAAGAATTATTAATAATAATTTTTATCTACCAAGTTTGTAAAAAGATGGCGTAGACAGTTATGATAAGTTCTAAAGTATTTCGAATTTTCACATTTTATGTTTTTCAAAATTGTAGAAATTATAAAAAATTTTTTTACACTTTTTCATACTTTTTATTTGGAAACCCTAAATCATGAATATCCTTGAGGAAATATTTAGGTATACCAACATTTTTATTAACAACATTAGATTAGAAAAATGATTTATATTGTGTGTTGTATGTAGTATAAATACTATAATTAACAGTAAAGTTAATTTTTTTTTAATTACTAACCCAATTCTGAAATCCTGAGTATATGGAGTGCACAATATAAATAAATATAGCATGCATTTATGCCACATCTTAACTTTTTTTCCCTCTAGAATTGATTGTTTTAAAAAATTAAATTTGTACGTATAATCTTCTTCTGCGCTTTGTTTTGTTATCCCTCTTCCATTTCCCTTCTTAGAAACTGAAGTAGAAAATATTCGAAGTTAAGCTGATTTCTAAAATAGTGTGTTTTCCAATTGCCAAATCTCATGATCAGCGATCAAAGTTTTTTGTGGTCCTTATTTTTTTGTCTTCTTTATTATTTTAAACAACCTTTTACGATAGCTTCTGTTTTTCATGATTTTCTCTTATAAAAACGTGCTAAGCCAGACTTAAAACTATAAAAAGTATAACACTATAATATTATATAATTGTTTTACCTGAGAATTGTTTTATATGAAATGATAAATAGTTATTGATAGTTAAATAATTGCTAATGTGATCATACTTTTCATTTTTAAATCCTCATAATATGATACAAAAAGTACCAGGAAAATTATATCGATGTTTTATGCTCAAGTTATAAATAAAAGCTACAATTTTGAGTTAGATTATTGTCACGACATTCACGATGGTTAAGTGGGCATTTTTTTAAATTAAGACTAAAAAAAAAGTACAGCACCGTTGAGAGATTTTGTTTGAAATCCAGATTTCAAACGGCGTGGAACTAAGCATTTAGAACTGTAGCAATGCTTCACTCTGCACAGTTCGGGTTGAAATAATAGTTTTTCAACAATGAATGACTTAGCTGAACTCTGGAGAGAGAGTCTATTAAATTACAATTCACAGCCTAGTTGCCTGACTGTCTGGATTATCTTCGTCCATGGTTTTACCATTGAGCATGGTAATGGGTGGGCTTTTGCCATTAACATTGATTTCAATGACGACGTCCTTAGTAACGGCAGGTTCTACGTTTACTTTTGTAGCTTTGAAGGAAGAACTAGGCAACATACTGTCGTCGCTGCTGCTGCGACGTGTTGCAGTTGCGTCGCTGTATATGGAATCTTGACTGCTCCTCCTCGCGTTGGCTATTTTTTGCGAATTTTCATCATTGAAAATGTCGAACACAGCTGGGGCACTCACTCTCTTAGAATTATTCCCGAGTCGACTTATGAGCGTGTTGGTGGGTGAACTGTGTAAGTGATAGTCGCGATTTTCTATCCAAGACGGGAATTCTTGCTGGCGAATAACATATTTTTCTGTTTCATCTACTCCTGTTTCGACGTCACGTTTCCAAGGTAGGGTGAGTTCCGTCAGCGTTTTTGAAGGAGCTGATAGTGAAATACTGTCATCATTGCTATCTGAATCCTGTGCAAAATCTGAAAAAAATTAATTCAATTTATAAATGCTTAAAAAGGCATCTTCATTAAAGTCATTGAAACTTTTCAGGCCGATTGGCCAAAATTGTAGATTAGTGAATTATAAACAGTAAACATAACTGTAATGTAAGCAATTTTTAAATTCTTTATTTATAAAATGAAATTATTTTAGAAATTTTTTCCGATATAAGAAAGTTGGTTTCTTATAACCATTGTACACAAATCCCTTTTTATCAGCGAAAATAAATGAAACGCTAATTTTCATCGCACCTTAGGTGCCTACACAATATTTAAATGGATTTATACCGGTTTTTATACTCTTGATATTTAAATAATGAAAATCTTTCAGTTTTGACAATCAGGGCAATTTTTTAACAATAAATTGCAAGATAAAAACAACAAACGGGGCTTTACCTTTGGCTTTTGTTTCTGGGTGTGGTAACGGCGTACAGGGTCGAATATGAGCTGTGAAAACGATACCATCATCATCATAGGTGGAAGAAACATCTAGTAGAGAACTGTAGTTAGATAAAGGTTCATCCATGGCCGTACCCGTTTGAGTAGGCATAGGAGTTGGTAAATCGTACTCTGAAGAAGGATCATCCGCAACACTGAAGCGCAATTTAGGAAGATGAGTATTTTCTAAAAAGTGAAAAAAATTAAAAATGTTTTATTTCTTCTTTTTTTATATATATATATATATCCGTCGTTGAACAGCCGACCCAATTTTTGGGTTTACGACTACTAATGTTCAACTCCGTAGCCTTGTAATTTTAAACCAATCCAGAAGACAAGGAAACTCCTGGATCAGTACCCCCAGAGGTATTGATTTGTTATGGGAACATGGAGGACTTAGCGACTCGACAGATATAACGTGCATCAGTCACAATTTACTACACGGAGAGTCTTCGGCCGGCTGGCATCGAACCCACGAACTCTTGGACATGGGCCGAGTAACCTACCAACCAAACTATCCCGGTCTTTTTGTTAATTCGTTGAAGAACACAACATCAGGAGAAATAACTAGCAACAGATGGAAAATACTAAATAACTGTTGTTACTGGTGATGGATGAGTTTAATGGCAATGCGCATATGAAGTGAACAAATTCCTGTGCTGCTACTAATATATAAAATACTTTCACTAGAGAATTTTATGCAATAACACGTCTTTTGACTTGTTTAACTTGTTTGAGCGTTTCATTTATATTCTCATGTTTATTTCTGCTGCTTCGATGCATAAAATTGTTAACGCATAAAAATAATTTCTATAATAAGGTTGGAAAATTTTTTTGATAGTTTTAAAGTCTATCACGTCTTTATTAGAAAGTATAAAAAAAAAACAAATGCACTGTGCGCACCAAAAAAAAAAAAAAAAAAAAAAAAAAAAAAAAAAAAAAAAAAAAAAAAANAAAAAAAAAAATGAACCACCTGAATAACTTTTGATCTAATGATTGGATCTTCACTTTCTAGGACTAAATCTTAATGGTTCGAGGGAGAGATCTCAAGTATGCCAATTAATTTGTGCAGATGATATTTTAAATTAAGAAATAAGACACAATAGCGTACGTTCTTTTAATAAACATACCTTTTTTTCGGTGGATAAGGATTTTTGACAATGTAGGTGGTAGCGTCTATCTGGTAAATATGGTCCCCATTAATTTGGTCAGGAGAGTGATTCGAAGTTTATATTTTTACGTATCCATTTCGCCAATATCTCGAGAACTTTTTAAGCGAATTGAAGAATTTTTGCACTCAATTATAAAATTCGTTTGTTCAAAGATAATTCCATGCAAAAAATACATTTTAGTAAATATAATTAAATTTTATTATTTTATTTTATAATAGCGGGAAAATTTCGAATTGTAAGGTATGCAATTGCTTACGTCATTTTAAAGTATGTAATTTTACATGGCAAAATATAAATTCGGTTGTATAGTTCCTTAGAAATCGAATTTTAAGACGTCGTATTATTAAATTTCGATTTACCTCCTATATAAAACCCTACCCCCTATATTCCTTTATATTTTCGGTGTCCGAAATACGAATCCGTAGAAAAAAAAGGTATGTTTATTCAGAGGAAGTATGTTAAGTCTGATTTCATAATTTAAAATACTGTCTGCTTATTTTGTAGCATATTTGAGGTAATCCCCTCGATCCATTAAGATTGCGTTCTGGAACTGAAAGATTGATCATTAAACCAAGTTACTCAGTGTGGTCCGTTTTTTTTTCTTGGCATACTGTATATTAGCCTTGATTAGCAATCGGGTATGGAAAAATTGCTTCAACAAATATTATTTAAAGATACTTGAAGAAAAAAAACCTGTTTTTTTGCAAGACAGTATTATTTTTGATCTAAAAATTCTAGTCTTTAAATGGTCTTCCTTAAAGATTTCTGAACTGACGTTATTTGAAGGTACTTTAGCTTCATCATCAATTGATTGCTAATAACAACAAAAGTAAAAGAAAAAATGTATACTGCCGTCTTGAAAGAAGACAGTATCTTTAATTTGAGGTACTGTTTCTTTCTTAAGACGGCTCAATATAAGACGCAGTCAATTTATTGATAGCTGAAGATCAAACTGATTTAATTCAGTCTCGTAGGTGGGACATCTTTATTCAACTTGTTTACTTTCCTGAACTGCGAAGTATTTCACCCATTTTTACACATTACATATTCTGAAACAACTGGCTGGATGGCGCAGTTGGTTTGTCGTTGGCCTTCTGAGCTCAAGTCTGCGGGTTCGATCCCCGGCCCAGACACCGGATTTTCGGGATGCAGAAAATCCTCAGCGGCCATGTATGGTTATGCGGCATGTAAAAGATCCCAGGAGTGCCTTATTGGCTCTTGGCATTTCCGGCAAAATTAAATTCCTAGTGCACTTCAGCATCCAAATAGAGTCTCGGTGCTGCCATCTAGTGTGGCAGAAACTAGACGTCCAAATTAACATGACCAACGGTATCTCACCCATTGTGGTGGTCCTGAAAGAGTGGATACCACCCCTGGAGAACACACTAGGTCTGCTCATCGGCAAGACCGATTGTGCAGCTCATTGGAAATAAATAAAAAAATATTCTGAAGCCCAAAAAAAAAAATTTTTTTTTTTGAAATTTACTTTAGATGTAACAGGTTTGGTGAAAATAAATAAAAAAAACTACCAGTTTTAAAACGTACTTTTCTTTCCGTTCAGAAGACCTCGTGTGTTGGTCCCGTCTGAAGAATTGGAACCCAAACTTCGTTCCGAGTTGCTACCACCATGTTGAGTGTTATTGCTATTGGCCAAGCTTGATTTCAGAGGAACTGCGTGACTATAAGTGTGACTGCTGAGTCTTCGGTGAGGTATTCGTTCGTCAATCATATGACGCATCTGGAGTCTTGTTTGGTGTGAATCGTTGGTGGGATCATTGCTGCGACCATATATTGAATTTCGATTAATGTATCGCTGTAAAGAGAACTTACATGAATATGGTTTTAAAATAATTGATAAATCACACCAATACTTGCCTTTATAAAATTAGCTACAAAATTTACTGATTAAATTATCTGTGATTCCGATTGCGTGCTACATAGCACGTTAAATACTCCAGAAATTGTAGAGGGGGAGAAAAAAATAAGTCATTGGGCATAACCTGGGACGCGTATTTCACCAGCATGGAAAAAAAATAGCATGTATTTAAAATTACAATCAAATCATAAATATATACATAAAAAAAAAGCGTTTTTTTTCTTTATTAGCAGCTAAAGAAAATTAGAAAAATTCTGAGCATTGTTGCTTTTCCTTCATGATCATCCCGAATTAAAAGCTCTGATTGTTCAAATATAATTTATTTCTTGCTTTAAAATTCTTAGTTTTGTTTCGTAATAGAATCATTATGAATGTGTATATTAATAGGTAAAATCTTATAAGATTAAGGGGTAAAGAATTCGCGTTTTAAACAGAGACCCAGAAATTTGGATGTCCTGGGTTTTTAAAACTCGTAGTTTCCTAAGTCTAGCGAAATCGCTGAAAAAGGAATAACTCTTTCATTAACTTGAAAGTAATATATGCAGTTTAATATCAACTAATGTGAATAAACTAATAACTACAGCATTATTATGGTAGTATAGGAAGTAATATTTTGTAATCATACTTTTCTTGGTGGTTTGAACATGGCATCGGAAAGTATATGGTGTAGTTGGGCATCAGCGAGATCTTTCGTACTAGGTGAGTATTCAAGTTCTGCTATATCTACATTTAAAAAGCTTGAATCATTTCGTGGAATATCATTGTTATTTTTGGCCTCCTTTTCATCTATTGGACTAAAAAAGAAAGAAACTGTTAAAGGTAGTTTTTATAAATAATTTATGCCGAGCATCAATTTATGCTACTGCGATTTAAATTACAGAACATTCTTACTCGCAACTGTTTTAAATTTTGCACAAATGATTTGGGGAAATATAACTATAATCTTTTTAAATTATTCAAGAAAATATTTTTGGTGTCAAAGAAAAAAAAAAAAAAGAAAAGCAATAACAAGGAACAGCATGTAAAAATTTCACCATTTCGAAAAAGCGTGGTTATTATACCAAGCCTACCATTCTTAATATGAAGTGCTCGTTCTCTATTTTATTTGTTTTGTTTTTTTACCATTTTTATTCTTTAGGATTATGAATTGAACAATATTTATGAATTGAACATTATTATTGAATTGAACATTAATTATGAAAAAGGTTTTATATAAACTCATATTGGGTAATAAGCCTAACATTCAAAACTGCAATTCACTTTTAAGAAATGTGTTTGCTAATTTTAGAAGATCGTATATATATATATATATATATATATGTTCAAAATGAAGAATAAAACAAAGAAAAATAATAGACAAATGTAAAAAAGTGGGGGAAATAATAAG